ATAGCTTAAATGTCTACAACCCCCAACTGTAATTAAATGACAACATGATTTCAATTCGTAGATCAATGCGCAAAACGCCTATATCTTTTTTTAAAAATGTAAATATATTTTGTCTTTGTGAACCTTTATCTAAAATTGTTTTAATTATTCCACAGATATAATTCGTTCTAAACGTAATGATGAATATACGAAAAATGACATTTCACTATCCAATTAAAAATTAACTATCTAATTAAAATTAAGAGATCATTATATAAAATTCAATAACAAACTTAATTTTTTTTATTGTGCCTAAAAACACTAAAAAGGCATTTAGACATTCACCTACATTTTACAGAAAGGGGCCGAGGCTTTTGCAAAATAATAATAGTAGTAGTGATGTCTTGCCTCCACCCACGAATGCTTTTTATCCGGAAGAGATGCTGCATTACAATGGTGCATCTTAATTTCTTTTTTTAGCTTAGGAAACCAGCAGGCCCCATCCTCCTCCCACATGTGAGGTACTGGTTCCAACTCTTTTAAATTTTGTGTATATGTATACTATCTTAAAAAAGTGGCTGCCCATTTTTAAGGAGAAAACAAAACTAAAATATAATTGCACAAATCCACAAATCACTGATACGCAAAGTGAGGTTACGCCTACGAAACCGTTGAACCGTCAACCGTCAAACATTTTTGACAACAATTGACCTATTATAGATCAATAACAGACAACGTCGGGAATCGTTTACGCAGAAAAAAAACACTTTGCGCATAAAAAACTATTTTTTACGCGTAAGAAAATATTCCTATAATTTATTACATTTTCAACATTTCAAACTACACTTTTTCAAACATTTCCTCCAAATTTTTGAATTTAATAGAATCTTCCTAAACAGTAGATGTTCTTTATAAAAATATTTTTAGCAACAGTAATATGCATTACTGTTGCAATGGCGAGCGATACGTCGGATTGCATCAGTGCCGCAAAAAAGTTGAAAAAAGTGTGCAATCATTGCAATAAAAAGGTTGAAAGTGATATAAAGTGTATAAAGTGCAACGGCGTCTTCCATCCAGCATGCTTAAAGCAAGCTGCCGGCCAAAAAACCGCTGTTTGCATTCATGAAGCTGAAATCGAACAAGTAACCAACGAAATATCTGGGAATGAAAATGAACTGTTGAAGACCCTAGTAAAGGAGTTACAAAGTAAGAACAGAATATTAGAAGAAAATGGAGTTTTACTAAAGGAAAAAATATCATATTTAGAAGAAAAACTTAAGAATTTGGAAAACAAGAGCGAAAAAAACATTGTAAACAATCATAGAATAAATAATAGTACTGCGAAGTCTCCCGAGAAAACGATGAACTATAGCTTGGCTGTAACGAACACTGTAGTCGGACAGGCAAATAACTTATCTAGTGTATCACAGATGGCGTCCAGTTCGTCAAATAATGCAGATAATGCAAATAATCAAACGAAAGTCGATTTTCTGGAAATTCCAAGGTCAAAACATCATGACTTACGTAAGCGACCACCCAGTGTATCTAAGGAGAACAATGAATCAAGGAAGGATGCAACTAAACTAAAAAAAAATCATCAAAAGGAAGAGATGAAGCATCAGAAAAAGAACATTGGAAACAGTGAAGAAAATTCTTCTGTTTTTGTGGGTGTTCCAAGAAAGATATGGCTTCATGTCTCAAGGGTGGCTAAAGGTGTGACAGACGATGTTATTCAAAAATATATACATAATAAAATCAAGGGTGAATTAAGGAATATTACAGTAAAATTAACAAACAATAGTAATGAACAAAACAGCTTTATGGTGGGAGTACCCTATGATCAAAAAGAAGCAGTATATGAAAATAATTTCTGGCCAAAAGGGGTTGCTTACAGAAGGTACAATTTCAGAAGAAATAAAAGTAATGAGCAGAGTGAATCTTTTTTAGAGAAAACAAACCGAATAGGTTCACAGGATTAACACAGCGAAGTGAAAATTCAACATCTGAAAACATCATAAAATTAGTTCATCAAAATATGCAGTCAGTGGGAAATAAACTCGATGATTTGGAAATATTCTTAACTTTAAAAGATATTGATGTTATGTGTATATCGGAAACATGGTGCGGGACTGAGTGGATCCAATGTTTTAACATACCCGGTTACACTTTAGCTAATTTTTATTGCCGAACTTTAAACAAACATGGCGGCGTAGCAATCTTAGTAAAAAATAGTCTAAATTATGAGCGTATGCACGAGGTTGACAAATGTTCCATAGAAAAGGTATTCGAGGTAACTTGCATCAAGTTGTGTCTTGCAAATTTTGAGGTTTGTATTATGTGTATTTATCGGTCTCCGTCTGCATCTGCGCATGCATTTCTTCACCAATTTGAACAGTGTTTAACTTTTATCTTAACTTTACAAAATTGTAATATAATTGTAATGGGCGATCTCAATATTGATTCTCTTGTGTGTTCACATTCTCAAACATTACTGTCTGATTTGTTATGCTCGTATTGCCTTACACCAGCCTTCAGCCTACCCACGCGAGTAACGTCAACAACATCGACTGCAATTGATTATATTTGCACCAATTTCGATAATTTGATAGTTGGAAGATGTGTTGATGAAAACGGTCTATCGGATCATCGCTATCAACTTATTGAACTCCCAGTGAGTGAAAACATTTCCCAGACTTACTGCAAATCGTACTCGTTCTCATTCAAGAATCAGAAACAGTTTACAAATTATCTCAATCAGGAAAATTGGTTTGCCTTATATTCAGAACAGAATAATGCTGATCAAGCATTCAAAATCTTTTCAGAGTCTATGGAATATTACTATAATATATCGTTTATAAATAGGAATGAATATTGCAGAAAGTCAAACAAAAACAAAAGTAAACCGTGGTTAACAATTGGTCTAAAAACATCATCAAAAAATATAAAACAGTTACATATACAAGCGAAACAAGGTCTAGTTACTGCCGAATATTATAAAAAATATAAACAAATATATAGACGTTTACTCAGATCCGCAAAAAGGAAATTCTCAGACAATAAAATCATCAATTCTAAAAATAAGTCAAGAACTGTTTGGAATTTAATAAACGCCACAATAAAAAAACCTGTAAATAAATCTGTATCTTTTTTGCACGAATCTAGAGAATACACGGATTTCTCGGAAATAGCCAACCTATTTAATAATTATTTTGTCAATATACCCAAAAAAATCGAAAATGCAAATAGTAATATTCAATTTTCTGACTCTGTGCAAATACACAAAACTACCAATACTTTATATTTGTATCCTGTCCATAATAACGAAGTTTTAAATGCAATAAATGAATTGAAAAACACTACTTCTTGTGGTTACGATGGCTTTTCTACCAATATCATTAAATCTAATTGTCGTCAACTCTGCGGCCCGCTGACACATCTCATAAACATTAGTTTTTCTAGCGGAATTTTTCCTGATGCGTTAAAAATTTCCAAAGTTATAACTTTACACAAGAAAGGAAATGCAAAAGATATAAAAAATTACCGACCTATTTCTTTGCTATCTGTATTCTCAAAAATATATGAAAGGCTTTTATATAAACGCATTTACTTTTTCTTAGAATCCCACAAACTCATCTCAGGTACTCAACATGGTTTTCGAGCAAAACATTCCACAATTTCGGCGCTATGTTCAATTTTAGATAATGTATACGGGCAACTTGATTCAGGAAATAAGGTAATTGCTGCAATGGTTGATCTCACAAAGGCATTTGATTGTGTGAATCATGAGTGTTTACTATCAAAACTTGAAACCTATGGAATTCGCGGTTTGAGTAATAATTTGTTACGATCCTATTTAAATAATCGTAGGCAGTTTGTGGAATTCAACGGTAAAAAATCAAGCAACTTAAATTTTGAGACTGGTGTTCCACAGGGAAGTGTACTCGGCCCGTTGCTGTTTATCTTGTACATAAATGATATATCCAGTGCTCTGCTTACTTATCACTGTGAATTTGCTGATGATGTAACACTCATTGCCTGTGATGTGTCAGCTGATGCCGCTGTAAATAACTTAAGTAATAGTTTGGATAAACTTTCGGACTATCTAGAAAACAACAGTTTGTCGTTAAACTCTACCAAGACAACAATAATGCAGTTTTATCCACAAAAATGTATGTACAACCAAAGTAATTTAATTAGATTAAAAGGGAGATCCCTACAACAAGTAACATCTACGAAGTTATTGGGCTTGCACATCGATATGACTTTGAAGTGGACCGAACATATCGACTATATGTGTAAAAAAATTGCCCCAAACTGCTACGCTTTGCATAGACTAAGGCAAATAGCTGGTAAAGATGCTGTAAAGACTTTTTATAGTTCGAATATTGAGTCATACATTCGCTACGGAATCATTTTGTGGGGTGGATCTTCTGCAGCCAATAGAATATTTAAACTTCAAAAAAGGGCTATTCGATGTATGTTTGGAATGGGTTATCGAGACAGTTGTAGAGAGATTTTCATGTCGGAGTCAATATTGACTTTACCCAGTTTATTTATTTTGGAAATACTCAAATATGTGAAAATGAATAAAATGAAATTTAAAACACTAAATATAACTCACACGTACAGTACTCGTTATGGCCAAAATTTGCAATTTGAAAGGCACAAATTAGAATTATATAAGCATAACCCGAATTATATTGGTGCTGTTTTGTATAACAAAATACCCTTATCTGTAAGAAGTCTTAATTTGACCAACTTTCTTGCATACGTGAAATATATATTAACCACAAATGTGTTTTATTCGTTGGATGAATTTTTAAATGTTTCACTGTAATGTAAATTGTTTAAATTATTTTAGTGTGTTAAGTATTATGTCTATTTATTGTTTTAGTATATATAAGATTTTAACATGTTTCCTATCAATTAATTATATTTGTAACTTTTGACTTGTTTTATATCACTTCGAGTGATCCATTGAATCAATAAATCTATTTCTATTTCTATTTCTATTTCTATTTCTATAAATAAAACATGTGATTACCTGGTGCTGTACCCAAGAACCAGTCTCTCATATGATCAGAGGCGGCTTTGGCAGCTGACATTGCCGAAGACATTTTCCTGGCGGCAATGACGGCAGCTCCTCGTTTTTGGACAGTTTCCACAAACACCGATCCCAACCAATCACAATCTAAATAAATAAATGTACATCTGCTACAGTTTAATTTATTCTTCATACAGTAGGAAATTGAACAAAAAAAAACATAACACATGACATATTTGACAAAAGGGGTAATTCTAAGATACCTACTAACTGTACAAGGTGTTAAAACATAGAGATCATACCAAATAAACTTTTAGTCACGTGATTAAGCTTGACCGGCACAGCGTTGCCCACTTTTACATATTTTGTTTTAATCAAAATATTTTAGGAATCAAAAATAAATTACAGTTATTATTTACATCAACAAAACTCTTAACACATAAAGTGCCACTACTACCGCTTTCCCGTTCAAAATACTCTAATAAGGTTGCGATGAGTTTTTTGCAATGGCTATTAAGGTATCTTGTAAATTTCGCACTAAAAGAGGTTCTAATAAGAACAATGTTTGACTGCAAGGTCTGCTAGTTAAATTTTTTTAAGCTTAAAGTATCACAACACAATTAATTTAAACCAAAAACTAGTAATACAAAACTAAAGTGTCAAAAGGAATGACATTGTCAGGAAATAAATAAATAAATGTGGTAGCTGATAATATTTACAGCAGAGCTACCACCTGAAATCCCAGGCTAAAATTTAAATTTCAGTAGTCAGCCCGGCGCCGAATATGTCCATGGTTGGTAACAATGAATTTAAAAATCGCGTCTTCGGTTACGTAATTAAAAGCTTAATTGGGTATCGCTTATAGTATATCAAACTTCAGTGAGTGGTTCTGATAAAATTAAATCAGAAAGCTTTTATGAACATAATCACTCAAAAAAAAACATATAAAAATAAATAACTACAACATTGTACTTAGATTTTTATAAACATACTAGTTGAAGCCTGGCGCATCCGCCACGACATCAAAAAAAAAACTTTTTATTTATTTTTTTTAATTAAATGAAAAACAAAAAATCCGGCGACGACAGTTTTTAGAAGAGCAAATTAGCTATCTTTTAGTAAAAAAAGCAACTTTCTAGAGCAAGTCGTTACTTCAGTAGAGATGACACAGATAAACATTAGCATTTTATATACATATGTAGACTAGCGTGTACCAGCGACTTCGTTCCCGTCGAATTAATCATTTGTAATGGTGATGATAAAGCAAAGCAAGAATTCCCATTAACATACACACTGGATAATATTTTCTCACATTTATTGCAGCATGCGAAAAAACAATATGGCGATATTATTATATAACTTGGTAATATTTGAGGGGTAGTTTCATCTCATTGGAATTTGACTTTCGAAATCCGTTAGCTGAAAAAAGCAGTTTAAGCAGAATCGTGATTACTCAATGGTCATATTTTATGAAACACCCTGTATAAATTTTTAAAAAATCTTAAAATATGTAAAACAACAAAATAAAATATACGTGTTTAAGTTTTTCCGAAAAACTGACCGGTTTTTAAATATATTCTAATAATATTCTAATATTTGAGGGGTGGTTTCACCCCCTTAGAATTCGAGTTTCGAAAAATCCCTTCTTACCGAACCTCTACACCCTAAAGTCAATCCGTTCGCCAAAAATAAGCTTTTTACGTCAAGCAGTTTAAGCAGAATCGTGGTTAAGAAATCACCCAACTTTTTGGAACACCCTGTATGATTTTTTAAAAAATTTCAAAATATGTAAAAAAACCAAATAAATTATGCTTGTCCAAGCGTTTTCCCGAAAGACTGACCGTTTTTTAAAAAACAAATATTGTAATATTTGAGGAGCGTTTTCACCCTCTTGGAATTTGAGATTCGAGAAACCCCTCCTTATCGACACCCCATAGTCAATCCGTTTGCCAAAAATCAGCTTTAAACGTCAAGCAGTTTAAGCATAATCGTGATTACTCAATGGTCATATTTTATGAAACACCCTGTATAAATTTATAAAAAATCTTAAAATATGTAAAACAACAAAATAAAATATATCCGAAAAACTTACCGGTTTTTAAATAAAAAATATTTTAATATTTGAGGGATAGTTTCACCCCCTTAGAATTCGAGTTTCGAAAAATCCCTTCTTATCGAGCCTATACACCCTAAAGTCAATCTGTTTTCCAAAAATCAGCTTTTTACGTCAAGCGCTTTAAGCAGGATCGTGATAAAGTGATTAATCAATGACCAGATTTTTCGAAATACCCTGTGTACATTTTTAAAAAATCTTAAAATATGTAAAAAAAAACAAAATAAAATATACGTTTTTAAGCGTTTTTTTCGGAAACTTGACCGTTTTTTAAATAAAAAATATTGTAATATTTGAGGGGTGGTTTCACTCTTTTGGAACTGGAATTTCGAAAAATTCCTTCTTATCGAACCTCTACACCCTAGAATCAACCTGTATGCCAAAATTGAGCTTCTTACATTGAGTGATTTGAGCAGGATCAGTATGCATACCCTAGACACTCAATGGTAATTTTATAGAACTACAAATTTAGTTTCTTCCGCATCGCCAGACGGCGCAAAAGACATTAAAGTACAGGTTTCTAATTTATATTATGAAGATGACATGACAGTCTCTATGTTAACTACTGTCTATGGTCTAGTTTTTGTCTAGTTGACAAAATGTTGGTGATCCGTCAAGTTATTTTTAAATCATTATTTAAATAATTATTAATTCAGATATTCCCAGATATTCCTGATTTGTCGGAAAGTTCAGTGAATTGTGTTTATAGTTTGTGTTTTTATTAGTTTGTGCATTCTGATACTTACAGTCGATCATCATTTTCGTGTTAGATACTAAACTTTTTTATTAAAGTCATTTTAGAAATAATAATTTATAAACCAAATAAAAAAATAGTTTAATCATAAATAAGTAAGTACATAGTTGGTAATATATAGTATTTTTAGTAACAGTTAATTAGTAGTTTATAATATTTTTACTATATTATAATTTAGTTGTTAAATCAAAAAAATAGGCGCTATGTGATCTATTGTTGGTGTTTAAAATGTATGTATTTAAAATTTTAATTTTGTTGTAATTATGTTACACTTCTAATGATCTAATAAAACATAAAATGGCAGTAAAAAAGTCTATATTTATTATTTTATATTTTACAAGGAATAATTTTGCGCTTGAATAACGTTACCGTTTTAATTAGCGTTAATAAGTAACGGAACGCTAAAATTATGTTATGCCAAAACTCTCCATTAGTTTCTTCCGGATCACCAGGTGGCTCTAAATGACGGACCCATTTGTTTTATATCAGTGTCCAATCTATCTCTAGTACGTGACATTAGTCTATGTCAGTCACTTAAGGATTTTATATAGGTATTAGTATAGATGACACACAATTATTGTTGTACTAGCTAAGTTATTATTCTCCCCCAACTCAGTTTACAATAGTGCCTATATAATAACAGCAAATTGTATCAAAAAAATATAATAGTGTTTCAATTTTTGTAATAATGATTTTTATTTCAATTTCAGTGAGTACAATCTAAATATTCTCTAATATCACCACACGCTTGTTCGCGATTTTCGTATAAAATAAAGCATATTTGGTTAATTTGGAGATTTACAAATTGATAAAAATAATAGGTCCAACGTGATGCCTAGTACCATTTTAGGCGCAAAATGCAGCAGTGTTTTCTACAATTTATTTTCCGTGTAAGCCCTAAGATGCTTCCTGAGGAAGTTACAATCCGTCAAAATTTTTACAGCCTGTAGAACCTTCACTTGATACATAGCTTGTACATTTTTAGAGCATATCTAGCAAAGGTATGTATCTATACTCTGTTTTTTTTTCCTCAGGTAAGATTTCGACAGACGATGACAGAAAAAATGCAGATGACGTCCATACCAATCCATTTATTTAACTAAAAAAAGTTTCTAATATTTTTTAAGTTAACTATGGATGGGTTTATATATAAATCCGTCATGCGTCATCTTTTGTTGTTTTTAACCAGTTTAATTGGTTTATTTCAAAAAATGGCAGATCATATTTCAATATTATTGGTTTGACGGAAAGATGAACGACAAACGAACGCCGATGCGTGTGAACTCGTCTTAAGATTTTTGAGAGTTGTCAAAGTCTTGCCAATTTATAGGTTATAATTTTGTGTCAAATAGAAATGATAAATATTTTGCATTTTGCATTTTGGACTGTGATATTACGTGTTTCGTGTTTTTTAAAATTAAGTGGAGGAAAGCTCGCGGGAAAATTAAGTGTTGAGCCAGACCATAGCTTACAGTTAATATTCGGTGCCTAGAGACCGCCAGAGGCAGTTTGCCAGAGATTATGGCCAGAGAGATGAATTAGCCACAAATAAAGTTTGTATACTATCTTGTATATGATACCAAAAACTGGAGTGCCTGTAAAATAGCAGCACACGATAGGTAAATAATAATCATATTGAATAATTATATTGATAAATGTAACAATAAATGCAGGAAGTTGCTTGAGCTTGAAACACGGCTTGAAAGCCAGAAATCTTTTTTGGTATGTGTTTTTTTTAAATACACCCTTGCTTGTTTTGTATTAACACATACTGTAATTATTGTTTTTAATAAAATAACTCGATTATATTTTCTCAATTTTATAGTTTTATTCACAATATTTTGAAGTAATCACTTGTCACTCAAATTTTAAATATATTAATTTTCTGCTATGCGTTCCAATTGTACCAACTTATTTCTTTGTAAAATAAAATAAACTAATTTGAAAATCAAATGACAGACACATCAATGTCAAGGATCTTGTCGTTGGACAGACTATACATCGTAAATTGTTTTAATACACTGTATTCAAATTCTTCCTTGCCATCAAAAATTTCTTTACATCTCATCATTTCGCTAATATTAAAATCGACGTATTGTAACCTTTAAACGCAAATATCTTCAAAAACCGTTCATCGTTTCGAACTAAACAAAGAGCACCTTTCTTAGGTACGTAAAAAAGTTTTGTCAGAAACTACCCTCTACCCTAACGGAAAGTACCCTTTGAATTGTTAGGGGTTTTTACACTATAGCCACTAGCTTTGGCATTAAAATGTGTGTAAGAATATCAAATTTCAAGAAAAATGGTTTACCAATATAATTCTTAAAAACCAACAAAATATATTATTACCTGAAGTATCACTCATTGAAGTTTGATACACTATTTATTTTACACCCTCTATAATAAACTATAATCCTGAAAAGACTACCTTTGACGGCTTCTGGTACAGGGATCGATTTTCCATCGATGGAAACAGTCGCGTGAGCCGCATCAGGAAACTGAGTGGAGGAATGATTACCCCAAATAATAACGTTGCTCACTTGCTGAACAGGAACACCAACTCTTGATGCTATTTGCGCCTGAGCCCTGTGTAGTTTAAAAATAAATACTGTTACATTATTTATTTCTCACTAAATTAATATAAGTTTATATCGTTTTGGGATCCCTACTACCAGAAATCAACAGTATGATGGAGTATGTATGGAAGAAACTCAATTATTTTCAAATCTAGAATGCCACTTTATCTAAAGAAGAAAATATTCGACCAATGTGTAATACCAGTCATTACATGTGCATGTGAAATCTGGACCCTTCTTAAAACGGACATTATAAGGAAACTGCAGGTCGCACAACGCTGAATGGAACGAAATATATTGGGAATAACCAAGAGAGACAGTAAAAGAATAGAGTGGACGCGTCAAAAGACCCAGGTAATAAATATGATACATAGCTTGTATAGGCCAGGTAATAAATGTTATCTACGGAAACATATCCCTCAAGTGGCAATCGGCAGGACACCTGGCAAAAGAACAGACAACAGATGGACCACACAAATTACGGCATGGTACACACGAGGAATTAAGAGACCTAGAAGAAGACTAAAGCTGAGGTGGGACCATATTAGGAAATTAGCAGGGATAACTTTGGTCCGCATAGCCAACTACAAAGAGAGTATCTAGATATGTGAGGGAGGCTACACCATAATTGGAAATGGTTGAATGAGTTGGAAATGATAATGATGACATAAGATATTATAATAGTTTACCTGTTTTGATCTAGTCTGGTCATCGCAGTAAAATTCTCCTTGGGTATAGATGGAGCATAGCGAGAACAAATTAGAGCGTTGGTGTTGGCCGGGTTGCCTACTACTAATACTTTTACGTCTTTTTTCGCGTACTTGTCCAACGCCTCACCTTGGACTTTGAAAATTTTCACGTTGGCTCCAAGCAAATCCTTGCGTTCCATACCTAAAGTATTATTGTAATTGTAACTGTTAAATACCGTACGATCGAAAAAAAAACGGCGTCAAAGACGGCTGGGGAATGACAATCGGTGATAATTTTGGCGAGGGCAATCTCTAGACACGTCATTTAATAAAAATGACTAACACTACTGATTATAGAAAGATTAAAAAAGGATAGAACGTTTCCAGACACAATTTTTACTCAATATAAAAATAAATTACAAGAGTACGGACCAAGTAAATGATATCTAGGGCTTGACCTCGCCAAAAGTATCATCCATTGCCATTTCCTAGCCGTCTTTGACGCCGTTTTTTTTCGAACGTATGGTATATTTATAATAGCTTTGTTCCAACGACGGAGAAAACCGTACTCGATACGGTAACGCTTCTGCGCAGTGGAGAAAAAGCGTTCCAACCACGAGAGAATCGTTTAGTGAACGATAACTTTTGCGTTCCAACAAGGGTTGTCACTGTTAGTGAATCGATTCCGGGACCGTAATTTCGATACAAGCCTGAAAGCAAGAATCATAGGGACTGACCTGCGCATTAAGAGTGTGTCAACAGATTATTGATTTTTTCTGGACTTTAAGTTCCTTTAGCCATTTCTCTTTTTAATTTTAACAGTTTATTTATATGTTGTTTTGACGACGTTTTGAAGCTTAAAGTTTTATTTGGTGTTTATCGTGTATTTATTTTAAATATTTCTCTATTTTTGAACTATGATGAGTGACGAAGGGGACAGTGATATCGAAGATCTTTGTTGGATACCAGCGAAAATGATTTGAACGAATGATTCAAACGTACAAATATAAATAAATCTCCCCCCAATTTATTAATAATTGTCTTATAGTTCAAGCACGTAAGTACCATAAGATCGAGAAAAAACGGCGTCCAGTTGGCTTGGAACTTGGAAATGATGATCAATGCCATTCTCCATATAATTTTACATATAAAAAATGACAGAGCAATGGCTTACGCCGTTTTTTTTTCAATTATACGGTATATTACTCATTTTGAATCCCTTAGATAATAAAAATCGTATAAAAAATATACCTAACTCTTAGAACTAACCAATAACAATAACAAAAAATAAGGTTATGAATTGCGGTCAGGGCGAAGTCTAAAATCGATTCCCAAACCGTTCCAACTGCATTTAATTTTGGTATCGTAACAGAACTGTCCAAGTCGATAAATGCGCACAAATTCGATCCCGGCGATACCAATATCTGTTCTAGAACGGACCTAATTTCTGCGTTGGAACAAAGCTTATAATTCTGAAAATTTTCCGTTAACATGGTAGAATTAAGTATGTACCTTGTTTGCGAGGCATAGCACCAACCAAAAATGCAGCAGATACATCTTTAAATGCAACGTTGGGATCGTCTGTTGGTATCACCCCGTGTAAAAGAGGCAAAGCACAATCAGACAGTTCCATAACGACACCTTCGAGCACACCCATCATAAATGGGATGTCGAGCAAATGAAGAATGATTGGTTGATTGGGTCCAAAAACATCTCCTTTAGCCACCATGTACAGTAAAGAATAAGCTATCTGACCGGCTGCTCCGGTGATAACTACACGTAGTGGTTCGGCCTGTAAAGAAAATAACATATTGTAGATTAAAATTCGGGTATGATTTTTTTTATTTATATTTTGTAAAAATCACAACCTATACATTAGACAGCTAGTCGACTTAAGGTCATTTAGAACTTACGACCGAGAAAAATGAAAGATTTTCTTTGATTTATAAGAACAACCTTTTTAACAGGATACTAGTCTCCTCAGGAATACCTCAGCACATTGAAGCTAAGAAACAACGACGAATGCAGATTTTGTGGGGAAAATGGGGAAACACAACGAAACGGGATACAAAACGAAAAAAAAAATCTTGTGGTATGCCCTGTATATGATACATGATACACCTATTAAATCATTATAAATATCTATAGTAGGCGTACAAATAAAAAATATCAAATTGTTTTTTATCACAATAAAAGATAAAGTAATAAAAAATTGTATTTATGAACATCAAAATATATTATGAAAATAGCAGATAGTTTGATAAATATGTTGAAGAAAAGGCTTCGGTCTTAAGACTGACTTAAATTAACGATAATAATTTAATTAACTTATATAAAAAAAACGGAGTCAAGTAAGTTTCAAAATAATGGTCGATGACATTCACGATATAATTTTTTTGTCCTTCACAAAGGTGTAAGTTTTTGCTTTGATATAGATTTAAAATTACATATTAAAAATTAAAGAAAGCAATATCAATATGCGAAGCCCAATAAAACTGATAATAATGGATAAAGCTTATAAAGGTTATTTATAAAATAATAGATTATTAGATGATCATATAATATATTAAGCAAATTGTAAAATCTCAGATTGATCTTAAAATATTTTATTAAAAATATCTTCATAACTGACGGCACTACTGAGATTACACTGAGGAAACCATCTTAATTTACCTTTATACAATTATTTCTTTTTACACATGATTTTGGGGAAACTGTTGACAAGGGATTACAGGTTGATGTCATTGATTTATACCGACTTTTCCAAACCTTTTGACAGGATTATTGACCATTCTATAGTCTTGCAGAAGATAGGATGCAATAGGTTTAGTAGCAATTTAATCTCATATCTCATTGCTTGATCCATATTTGACAGGTCGCAGTCAATACTTTGGCAGTCGACATGTATGTATAGATCAAACCAAATAAACTTTCAGTCACGTGATTAAGGTTGACCGGCACAACGTTGCCCATTTTTACATATTTTCTTTTAATCAAAGTATTTTAGAAAACAAAAATAAATTAATTATAAATATATAAAGAGTTATTATTTACAACAACAAAATTCACCTTCTTAACAGCACTTAAGGGACATAACGGGCTATTACCACCGCTTTCCCGTTCAAAATATTCTAATAAGGTTGCAATGAGTTTTTTGCAACGGCCATTAAGCTTCTTGTACATTTTGCACTAAAAGAGTCTCTAAAAAGAACAATGTTCGACTGCAAGGTTTCCTAATAAAAAAATTTAAGCTTAAAGTATCACAACACAATTCATTTGACCCAAAAACTCGTAATACAAAACGAATGACAATGTCAGGAAATAAATAAATGTGGCAACTTGACATTTTTTACAGCAGAGCTACCACCTGAATCCCAGCGGGAAATTTAAGTTCCAGTCAGTCAGCCCGGCGCCGAATATGTCCATGGTTGGCAACAATGAATTTAAAAATCGCACCCTCGATTACGTAACTAAAAGTTTAATTGGTATCGCTCATAAGACTCCAGTGGTGTTCCAAAGGGGAGTATACTGGTTCCACAAAAAATTTTTAATCGAATTTTCTAAATTTAGTTACACCTACAATTATTGAAGGAAAAGAAAAAAGAATAAAAAATAACAGGCTTGAAGATAGATATGGCCTTATTAATTTTTGCCAAAAAAAAAATAACGCAGGCATATTCATCTGCTGGTTTGCATGGTGGGGATATTCAAAAACGATGTAAGTGAACCCTGAAGAAGCTCCTGTTCAAAAGGCTGACAATTTGAAAGCGACCAAATCTCATGACTGATTTTTAGAAATACATAGTACCACAGATAGTACTCAGTAGTCTCAGCACCACCCACACTTTATTGATGATTTTAACTATTTCGGCTTGTGGAAATCGTCAGAGTATGTTATTCCCGTGATTCTTGAATGATTTCCTTCAAAATATTTGAATAAAATGATTAAGGAATTAGTATAATGCTATCCATGTATTCATGAAAGGTAGACGGACAAAGGGCCCTAGGGTGGGGATCTTTGACAGCTCTGTTTGACGATTCATTTGACACATTTCAATTTGATTTGAAATCTTGTGGATTTGTCACTTTTGTCAGTCTTTACTGGGCTTATTTTATGTTATTTATTATTTATTCTACTACTGACAGCTGTTTAAAGGTTGATTGTGTAGCATGCGGTAGATCTAAAAAAATCGAGGGAATAATGGCCATAACTTTTCGCTAGTAAGTGACTATATAATATGTATATTATACGTGTATATTTACGTGTAGTAGACCCCGATCATTTATGAATTTTACTTAAAATTAACTAATTATATTTCATATCAATTAAATTTTTAGTTACGTAATCGAGGGCACGATTTTTAGTTGGCTTACCGCAACCTTATTAGAACATTTTGAACGGGAAAGCGGTAGTAATGGCCTTTTATGTCCCTTAAGTGCTGTTAAAAAAAAAGTTCAAAATAAAAAAATAACCACGTTCGAGAATTCTAGGTGATGTTTTTTAACTTTGTGACTCTTCCATTTCCATATACCACGCTTAAATCGTCAGATTATTTGAATGCACACTTTTCAAGTAATTACCTTAGGTAATTACCTCACCTTGCCTTAATCTTTTCTAACGATTATTTTTGTTCACTACTCTGATCGGCTGCCCTACACGCACGTCCCTGTATAAAAGGTTCATGTACTGTAGGGGTTTGGGGGTACTTAACAAGGTACAAGTTGGTACAAGATTTCTCCCCTTATATTATTCTGCTGCGTTCGAGTAAATCGCAAAGTCCCCGCTTGGGACCCCCTACTATAAGATGTTACGTTTAGATTTAACTAAAAATAATCATGTAAATGTAAATATTAATCACCTTGAATCTTAACCTCTGGTGAAATTGACTGCAGTTATCAGTAAATAAATAATGATATTATTAAACAAACAAAAATTCGGTAATAATAATTTATATTAAACATTTATAATTCTTGTAAAAAATATTTAGGTATTAGAATAGAAGTTAAGAAAAAATATATTTTTGATCTAAAATAAATTTAATTTGAACAAAACAACTACCTACGTTGGCAAAGATAAAAATAAATTTTCGAAAAATACTCAAATATTTGTAAATATTTTTCTCGCTCTTATCTATGTAGTATTTTTAACTTGAACTTTATTTTTATTTACATTAAATAAAGTGTTTTTCAGTGAACGTTACAGTATACTAGGTCCCAAAATTATGCACATTTATTATTTCTGTACAAAAAATTTGTATACCAAACCAAACCATCTATTTTGGGGTAATAGACTTACGAATTTGATTTTTCAATTTTCTTATTTTAACAATGCCTTTTTAAACAATTTGTTATACAGGCTGTTTAAAAGTGCGCAGCCAAACGCCAGGAGGTAATTCCTTATCAGAAAATGTAGAAAAAAGTTCCTATAAATATGGGTCCGGAAATGAGTAGTTTTAAAGATACAGGATGTTCAAACTTCTAGTAAAAAAATAGTTTCTTTTGTCATTATCTTAAACACCCTGTAGCCGACTTTCTAGAAATTTGCCAGTGTTATTTCTAGTAATAATGGGATAATTTAGGTCTAATTAAATTAAAATTAATTACTTTAGTGGCGTCCCAGAGGATACCTTATCGAAAATAATTGAGAAAAATGTACGCCACTGACTTTTCTTGGAATTTTTATATTTTTTTTTGAAAATGCAACTAAAAATACAACTTGTTTTTCTCTTGTACCATGTGCCTATCTAGAACTGATTCCGAAAAAAAAAAAAATCTAGTCATTGCAAGTCTCTGGACCAAGTTAAAAGACTTTAAAAAATTAAATTTCATTTTGTAACTAAAGTATTAAAATAGTTGATAACATAGTTTACAACATTAACGTTCGGTACTACTTACAGCAAATTCAAAAAAAATAATGGTATTTAAGATAATTACAAAAAAAAAACATTTTTTAAAAATTTTAACATCCTCTAAAACTATGCATTTCAGGACCCATGTTTGTAGGAATTTTATTTCGTATTTTTTATGAGAAATCACGTCCTGAAATTTGGCAGTACACTTTTTTAATACCCTGTATACAGTGGCGGATACAGAGGGGGGGCCCGTGGGGCCCGGCCCCCCCCTAAAATCTGTAAGTTTGGTTAAATATTAGCCTTTTGGGTTAAAAATGACGCCCTAAAAGGCATATTTTACATTATTTTTGATTTGGGCCCCCCCTAAAATAAATTCCTGTATCCGCCCCTGCCTGTATATAACCCAAAGTTATACACATTTATCATTTTTGCACAAAATTTTGTCTACCCATCATCTACAATATGTTTGTGTAATACAACGGAAGGGGTGGCTGCTATAACCAGGCAGCTCCACTTTTTTACAAAAATAATATTTTTACTGTTCTTTAAAAATAGTCCAATGGTTCCTTACAACAATCCATTTGTGTATCTCCATTTAACAGTACACGTGTAGCATAAATAGCAACAGTACATAAATGGCGATGTTATTTGGAGCTGCCTTGCTTTCAGTTTATAAGAAGAACCAGGGTAGAGGCTAAATGATCCTGAAACAGTGGAGCACATATGTCACTGTGAGGCTCTGGATTGTAAGCGGCATTTTCTATTTTCGAAATCAATGCTAGAACCGAAGGAACTATGTTCCCGTATCATAATATCAGAGAGCTGTAAAAGCTTGTACAGGGTAAAGATATAGGAGAGAGTGGGTGCAAACATAGAAAGAGGACAAAACAATAATAGGCCTTAGATAGGACGGCCCCTTATCATTGGAAAACATGAACCAGGACAGCTCCTGGAGCTGTTTTCAACAAGCAACATTTTTTAAAATGGAGTTGTATGGTTATTGCAGCCACCCTCAACTATGAATTCGATTTTTAAGTTATTCTATTTTCTGTAATTCGATTTTGACATTCCTAAATATGTCTATTTTAAACAATTTGTTACACATTAATATTAAGATAGTATTAAGTATATAATATTAAGAACTAACAGCATATTAAATAAATAAACCGAAAAAAGGATATAAACTCACCATTTTACTTAATTGTAAATTCTTTTTATAGTTTTATGCAGTGCTAAGTTGAAAGTCGATGGGATGACCTTTAATTGCACACGAGAATAACACTGACACCGCTAAACTATTTTTTAATTTTGTTATTTTTGAATTGACGATAATACGTGACGCAAAGCGATACGGAACACAGCAGTAGTTAATTGTATTTCTTTAATGACCTTGTCCTCTCAGTGCATAAAAAACAAACCACTACTACTACTGCCACCTGTAACATGTACTGACATTAAATCAGCTGACATCACTGACATCAGTGACATTGACATGTTAGAATAAACAGTGACCTACGTACGGAGCTGTGGTTGGCTGTGTTTCATGGCTGTGGTATGGAAGCCCTGCTGAGCTGAGACAACGATTTCTGGAGTGGAACTCTATAAACCAAATAGCGATCGAGAATACGGTCGCTTGGCCGTTTGGCACTCTCTAATGCAATTCGGATGATTCCGGGCATAATACGAGAGACCCGAACGTACTAGAGATAAAGACAAATGAATAGGTGTTTCTTCCAAAGCGATAGTAGTTCTATTTCACTTCAACTTTGTGGCATATGTGTTTTTGGCATAAATAACGATATTGTTTGGTTTTTGCTGGGTTTTTGTCTGATATAAAGACAAAAAGTAGATAAGACATGAAGATAAAATATCACGAGGGCCGTATATCGTGTCAAAAAATCAAAAGTGCCATTTCTGTCAAAAATATTATTTGCACATGTAAAAATGTGTAAAAAACGTATAGACTTTGCCAAAAACCTTAGACAAGGCCAAAAACCAACAAGAATCGTAAGATATAAAAAAACGTAGAAAAATTGTACATTTTAAGGTAAAAAACACAGGAGATGTTTTGGTAAAGATGTGAATCCGGTGGCTGACCTAGACTGGTATTTATAGTTGCATCTCGAGACGCCAAGACGGTCTTGGGCTCTCGAGAGCGGAATCCACAGAATACACGAGCAAACGTCATTTTGGAGATTGCGATTTTCATTTTGGAGATTGTCATTTTGGATAGTTTATGTGATCTGTGGATAGTTTCTTAACCTAACTTTTTTAGTAAACAAAATAAATCCCTTGTAAATCTGTTTTGTCTGATTAAACAGTTTTGAATTTTGAATATGTTAGAAGAGTTTGAGGATATTTGAACCATGTGGAAGAAGAAAATCGTCTTCGAGTTCCAAAAGGTATATACAGGATGCAGAAATCCAATAGAAATGTTTAGCGAGGGGATTTATGCCAATATAGGTTTAACAAGGCTACAATTACAGAAACTATTTTACCTCTTATAAATTGAAGACTTGCAAAAACCTACCAATCGTGGTTTACCCATTCTCCCCGTTGTTCAATTACTAATTTGTTTACAGTTTTATATGACTTGTAATTTTCAGATGGTAAATGGAGACTTGCGTGGTGTTAACCAACCTACAATAAGCCAGATAATCAAGAATAATGCAATAATGTGGAAGTATTTCAAAATCGCAAAAATTTCTTTTAGTCTAAATGTTCAGGTCCCAAAAGGGAAATTATGGATATTATAGTTGGATATCCAGGGTCAAGTCATGATAGTGTTATATTCAATCGAAGTAATTTAAGAATTCTAATGGAAAGGCGTGATATTCGTGATTTACTTCTTGGAGACAATGCATATAGATGTAGGCCAATTCTATTGACTTCTGTTCTACAGCTAGGTAATCAACAAGAAACCAGGTATAACTTTGCCCATAGAAGAAAGCAAAATGATGAAGGGGACTTGGTAAAAACGTCTTCCATTTCTCTGAGGTTTACAAAACAACTGTTGCTATTATTTGTGCAACAGCTGTTCTTCATAATATTGGTTTAAGGGAAAATTTAGATAATTTTGAAGATGCTAATTTACACATTCCAATTATAAATAAAAAGGAAGAGAGTTAGATTTTTGAAGAAATGTTATGTATTTATTGTATTAATATATGTATATCTAGTAATTATGTAATATGTTAAGTAATGTTCCAGGTAACTAGTACCTATATAATAATTTTATTTACTTTTCTATTAGTGTTAAGTTAGTGTTTATATATTTACATGTAACATATTTTAAGTAATTTCTTATAGTCTATTATTAGTTATCATAAAAATACTGTTTTTCTATACTTAAATAACATATGATTTCTTAGTAGTTTTACGCTCACTATGACCAGACAGTTAAGTGCTTGTTTTAACTGGTCACACAGAATTTTCCCACTAATACATTAAAACTAAAAAAATTGTCTTTTTATTTTCTTCATCATGAATATTTATATAAATATCATATCACATAATATACAATATTGGATGTATACCGTATACCTATAATTTTCAAGATTTTATTCCTTGGTGTAAATTCTGTATTCTTATTGAGTTGACCACTCTATATAAAGTTGATACTCCATGTTTTATAGTTTTATTTAGAATAATATTTCACAATACACATTCTATGATTATTGCGTTTTTACTGCTTCCTTATTTCTTCTCGTCTAGATGACATTCTTCTCTATTCTTTTTTTTCTAGTCTGCTACGTAAATCAGTGACTGACAATTTTTGCCTTTACTTATAAATTTAATTTATTCTCTGACACTCGTCCAACCTGACTATGTCTTAGTCTCCAAGACTTAATTAACAAAACTAACTTAAAAATTACCTACAACAATAAAAAAAATATTCATTCTAAATTTATGATATTTAAAGATTTTAAAAATTTATGAAACTATTCAAAACTAAATAAACCAAAAGTAGTATTCATTAAACATTAAACATATTCTTCTAAATACTTCTGTTTATGTGTTTTTCTGTGTCATGGGGTAGAACTTGTGTCACTGTAAATAGTCCCTTATATTTAGTAGCACTTTTCATATAGACCATGTCTCCTATCTTTGTGATACCTTTAAATCTATATGTTTATCATAATTTTTTTATACTTCCTTTGTTCCATTTCTATATGTTCTTTGACCTCTTTTCTCAATTTTTCAGGTAATTGAATACTTTTCATTCTCTACCGTCAATAATCTCACTTATCCATCTTCAATCTTCGGAATATATCCATATAATAATTCAGGAGTTTTTTTCGCCAGTGGATTTATTCACAGATGTATTTATAGCTCTTTCTATATTCTTAATATATGTATCCCATTTGTTGTTATCATCTGCACAAGCTGAAGGCAGTATCATTGGAATAATAATGCTGTTCAACCATTTATGGTTGCATCATACAAATTCACCCAAATGTTCTGCTATTAAAATGGAACCCTCTTGATAATCCTGGCTTATTGTAGGTTGGCTAATACCAAGCATGTCTCCATTTAATATCTGAAAACTACAAGTCGTATAAAACCATAAACAAATTAGTAATTGAATAACGGGGAGAATGGGTAAACCACGATTGGTAGGTTTTTGCAAGTCTTCAATTTATAAGAGGTAAAATAGTTTCTGTAATTGTAGCCTTGTTAAACCTATATCGGCATAAATCCCCCCTCGCTAAACATTTCTATTGGATTTCCTGCATCCCGTACATATCTTTTTGGAACTCGAAGACGATTTTCTTCTTCCACATGGTCCAAAATATCCTCAAACTCTTCTAACATATTCAAAACTGTTTAATCAGACAAAACGGATTTACAAGGGATTTATTTTGTTTACTAAAAAAGTTAGGTTAAGAAACTATCCACAGATACATAAACTATCCAAAATGAAAATCGCAATCTCCAAAATGACGTTTGCTCGTGTATTCTGTGGATTCCGCTCTCGAGAGCCCAAGACCGTCTTGGCGTCTCGAGATGCAACTATAAATACCAGCCCTAGAAGCCCGTATTTGTTGCATTTGATCATCGATACTACGACTCTATATCTCTGCTATCATTTTTTTGTTTTTAAAAAGCACCTATATCGATATTCCGAAAAACATCGATATTACATCGCGCATTCCTACAATTTAAATGTTGTCAACATGTTGTCAAGTCACACTTGACAGCGGCATAATTTTCTGTCAAGTCATAAATACACTCTGACCTGTCTTGAATAATAAAGTGTTCAGTCATTTTACTTTGATTAAAATTAAAGCGTAATATTCATATTATAGTGTTTCAAACATATTAGAAAAGAAAAATGGAATCTTCAGATACCGTAAACAAAACCCCCGATGATTCTTCTGGTGGTATTTTTGGGGCAATTTTAACCGAAACTATTTCAAGCCCTATCAATCTTGCTCTGCTTGGTTTGATCGTGTTTTTAGTGTATAGAATCATCAAAAGCAGGCAAGAGGAACAACGCAGTGAGCCTGTTGAAAAACCTTTGCCCAAACTTAAAAAAAGGGACTTCACTATCCAAGAACTCAAAAAGTTCGATGGTACTGATGAAGAAGGTAGAGTTCTAATTGCAGTGAATGGGGTGGTGTACGATGTTACCAAAGGCAAAGCCTTCTATGGACCAGGTAAGTAATTTAAATCTATACAAATTTATTATAAGATTAAATAGAATAAATTCTCGGTATTTGTGAGTCATGTTTTTAATAGCAGGGTTGGGTACGATGTACAAGGTGTCCCATTTTCATGTGTTTTACAACAGGGTTTCTCGCTTATGAGTAGAGATACAAAGATGCGGTTTTCACATAACTCTGCTAAGGGGAAAAAACCGACAATGACTATTTTATGGCATTTTTAAGTAATCAACTTAATTTGTTGGGAATAGCAATTCCCAACAAATTAAGTTGTCCCAAACACATTCTAAATTGTAACTGAATATCTATAACGACGTCCAAATAACAATGCATACAGTAATAATTTTTGTATCTTTAACATGATATTTTGCATTATTAAATCATCGTTTTCTCCATAAGTTGGTTTTCCCCTTACCCTTCATATGATTCATATTTGATCATTAATTGTTGCAAAATGTGTGTTTTAATAGTTGCCAGATCTAGTCAGTTTTCCCTAGATCTCAGGAATTTGCGGAATTTTGTCTGGAAACCCTGCATTATCAGTCATTGTTGTCAGGTTTTGGAAATTTTCCTATTTCCTCTATGTATTATGAAGTAGTGATCTGAGGAATTTGCAAAAAAATTATCTGGCAACCCTGTCTGGTCATAGTTGCCAGGTCTAGGAAAGTTTCCCTAGACCTAGAGAAAATTCCTTATTTCCTCTATTTTGTAGCCTTTAGGGAATTTGTAAAATTTCGTGTGTCAACCTTTAACCTTAAATCTCGCAGAATTGACAGGTCTAGAGACTTTTCCCTAGATCTATCTGTTAACCCTGTGTTCTCATAGTTGCCAGGTTTATGACATTTTCCCTAAATCTGGTAAAAATTACCTATTTCCTCTATTTGATGATTTGCAAGGAAATTTTCTTCTGACAACGCTGTCCTCTCATAGTTGCCAGATCTATTAAATTTTCTCTAGATCTAGAAAAAAAACTCCCCCCTAGCTTTTTTGAAGCAATGCTCTAGTGAATTTACAAAATTTCATCTGGTAATTCTGTTCTCTCATAGTTACCAGGTCTAGGAAAATTTTCCTAGAACTCGGGAACATTCACTATTTCCTCTGTTTTGTAGCAATTATCTAGGGAACTTGCAAAATTTCATGTAGCAACCCTGTCTGTTCTCTTATAGGTGGGCCGTATTCTGCGTTTGCCGGACGAGATGCCTCCAGAGGATTGGCAACATTTAATGTTACAGCTGGCGGTGACCAATATGATGATTTGAGCGATTTAAGTTCTATTGAAATGGAATCTGTTAAGGAATGGCAGTCACAATTCAATGGTAAGTCTATATACGTATACATTCTTTTTCAACAAGATAATATAATAAATATAAACGGAAATATTGAATAAAAATTTGTGTCTAAAAAAATTGTAAATAAATAGATCATGCATAATTAATATTGCTCCTTTTCATTTCTTTGAATCTAAAAATCTAAATAGCATAGGTAATATGCTTTTTTAGAAATTGTATTTTCTCTGTAGTATTTATAATGCACCATATTATATAGACGTTTAGCAAGAGACAACGTGACAGCACCGGGAAAAATTACAGCCCGATCTTTGTCGCCGAATATTATATGTCTATTATACCGTGCGATAATAAAAAACGGCGTCAAAGACAGCTGGAGAATGAGAATCGATGATAATTTTGGTGAGGTCAATCTCTAGGCGTCATATACTAAAAACTAACGTAAAACTTGTAAAAAATTAACACTAATAATTATAGAAAGATTAACGTTTCCAGATACACAAATCTATTTCCAAAAAAAATTTATCGAATTTTAAACTACATCATTTAAAAGTAATCTTTATTCAATATAAAAATAAATTACAGGCTTCTTAAGGCCAGTTGGCAGTAAGCGCCAATAAAAAGTAAAGAAGAGTACGGGCCAAGTAAATGACGTCTAGGGCTTGACCTCGCCAAAATTACCATCGATTGTCGTTCCCCAGCAGCCTTTGATGCCGTTTTTTTTCCGATAGAATGGTGTTATCTTGTTTATTCTCCTTTTTTACAGAAAAGTACGATATTGTGGGAAGGCTTCTTAAGCCCGGTGAGCAACCAACAAATTACTCTGACGAAGAAGATGAAACTAACACCGAAAAATCAAAGGATGAATAGATTGTTTTTTTCTTGTTTAATTCCAAAAACATAAAGGCTGATTTTACTGAGAGGTTATGTGTGCAAACTAAGTACTGAACACCTTACAGAATTTGTTTGTGATTGTCTTGTATTAATACTAACTGTTTAGGAAAAAGGAATAACAAAAAAATCTATAATAATAAATAAATAATGAGTGTATATTTCAGTACTTTGTTGTGCAGTTTCAAAATGTTTATTATATAGGGTGTTCCCTAAGTAGTCTAAAAAATTTCAGGGTGTGATTTCTCGTGTGTTTTAAAAAAATAAAAATTCATATAAACATGGGCTCTAATGTAGATACTTCGTTTCTGATCTACAGGGTGTTAAAAAAATCAAATTTCTCGCAATATGTCGGAAACTACTTTAGGGATTTTCTTTAATTTTGGTATATTGTTTCCAGGCACAAAGGGGGTTCACTTTTATTAACTGTTGTTTTTCTACTTGATCCAGTGGCTGTCTGTACGACACCCCTGTATTATTTGATGAAAATAAATGGAACATTACTGCTTTTTTCGAGAATATTATTTTTTCTTTATTTTCAATACTTTTTCAACAAGATCGATCTTTTGAGTCTTTTTTGTACGCCGAACGGTTTTCGAGAAAAAAAAATTATAATCGTTAGAAAACGAGCAATAGTCTGTCCAATGAATCAGGGAAGATTTCGACAGATGACATTCAAAACATGACAGAAAATACAATTTGTTAGTGAATTAAAATGATAGACAAGAACTGTTAGTACTGTCAGGGATCCTGCCATTGGACAGACTATACATGGATATCGAGGTGGGCTTTATTTTTTTTCTTTTTTTTCTCGGAAACCGTTCAATATACAAGTAAAACTCAAGAGATGAATTTTGTTAAAAAGATACTGATCACCAAGAAAAAGAAATTGTTTTCTCGAAAAAACGCAATGGTGTACCATTTATATTCCAAAAACATGAGGAATCGCACCCTATTTTTTAGACTACTTAACAAACACCCTTTATATTTGATGGGGATATTCTAAAATTTAATACCTTCAAATTGTTTTTTTCTACTTAAAAAAATATGTAATAGTAATAAGTATAATACTTCTAATCGTCAGCGCGTATTATTTTCTCTTTTTCCTTATTAGTTTTATTAAAATTTCTATCTGTATAGACACATAAGTGTTTTGTTTTTAACCACAGAAGGTAAAAAAAAGGTTTCTAATTTTTTTTCTCTATTTTTAGTACATATTTTGGATGAAAGGGTTAGTTGTAAATTGGTTAGTTTTTTATTAATAAGTATAGTTGACTTGAGTTACTATAAAATATTTTTGGGATGGAAATTATTTCACAATTTATCCTATATTTTATTTTAGAACGTAGGTGTGGTTTTCCAGAATATTTGTTAAACTAAAACATATACGGGGTGTTTAAAAACAAATGCGAAAAACGTCATTTCACTATTCCACTACTGGAATATTATGTAATCCTACTATATAAGCTGATCAACTCCCATTATTTTATGATTGTGGATGACAACCATATTTTTCCGCCATATTTGTACTAAAATGGTTAACGATTATATAACAAAGCATCCTTTACCCTTTATTTATTACCAACCAATCGACCCTTAAATTTTTTTGCATTTGTTTTGAACCATCCAGTATAAGATTAATAAAAAAAAACTCAAGAAGAAGTCAAAAAATGCAAGTATTTATTTTTCAAATTTAAAAATTCATTATTTATTAAAATTCTTGGGTGATACGGTGGTACGTTTTGTATATATTTTCTTCTAATAAATTATTATTAATTATAACTTATAATGGTCACTTCTAGTAAATATTGATTTTTTCTGGATTTTTTTTAAGATAATACAAATTTTAATATTCTACAGTTTGAGTTTGATTTATTTTTCTGAATTTTACTGTATTTTATGTCTGTTTTAATGTGTTCGAAATTCAATAGAAAATTATACATTACATTGTAATATAGTTTCAACTTATTTTTTTAATTATTTATATTTTTGTTATGTAAAATATTTTACTCATTTATTTGGATATACCTGTGGCCAAGTTATATTTTTATAAAAAGATGCATTTTTGGTAAGCAACTAAAATTTAAAAAAAAATTGTCTGACTGATAATATTAATATTACATAACTATAATAGTTTTTTTACGATAATTTTTTATTGGATTTGTTGATATGGTGTTTTTTTTTGTTGAATTTATTAATTATACAAAATATATCTGTATGTACTTGGTAATTTTATTATACTTAAAGAATATTGTTTAATAAAATAATAAATTATTGTGCTTATTATGGTATTATACCAAAAATAAAAAGTATAAAATATGTTAGGTATTTGTCAAGTTATACACACAATTCCAAAATACAATATGACCGAAAAAAGGCGACCATTTTGCTTAGAAATGACGTTCTGACGTTCTATGGTATTCCCTGATATTCCCCATACAATTTTATGGTGCGTTCATACAGCCAAATAAAATAAAATAAGAATAAAATAAAATAAAATAAGAAAGTTGGTTATATGGGATACCGTACATGCGTTCATACAGCCAAATAAAATAAGAAGTCTTTATCTTTTAACTTCTTGTTTTATTTTATGTGAAAACGGCTTTGCGCACGCTTAATTCTAACCTACAAATATTTTCAGTTTGGATTTAATTTATTTTATAATTTCACATAAGTAAAATGTATAATATAGTAGGCAACGAATAAATAAATATACTATAAATAGTAAAATTACTATAAACAATCGTAAAAGTTAACTTTTATCCAGCCTCATCGTACTGCGCATGAGCAAATATATATTTCTTATTTTATTTTATTTGACTGTATGAACGCACACAAATAAGAATTCCTTATTTTATTTTATTCTTATTTTATTTTATTTGGCTGTATGAACGCACCATTATACTCTGCTGGTCATCCAATTTATGTGGTCTGGAATTTAATGCGTGTGACAGAGAATAATATAAATGACCGGTTGACAGACAGAGAGACAAAATCAAAAGCGGCATACAGTGTTGTCGGTTTTTGCATTTGTAGGAAAATTTGTGTAGAAAAAATGATTTTTCAATTTCCATTAAGCTTTGGTGTCTACATCACTGTATTACACGTTAAAATCCAGACCGGACAGTTTCGATGACCAAATCGGTATATAAAATGACAGCGATCATATTTTTTATTTCAATAGCAATCGCTGAAGACGTTTTTTTTTCGATTTTATTTTCCTATATGGACGTCACCAGTCCCCCATTTTTGTGACAGCAGGTGACAGTTCTAATCACAGAACAGATTAAAATAATTTTTTAAAATAATTAACGTTTATATTGAGACACATTTGAATTTAAAATTTTGCGAATTTGTTAAACTTTTCTGAGTTTATTTTGTTATTTTTTAATTATTCTACAAATGGATTTGTTCAGAGGTGTTAAATCTAGAAGAATATTGCGTCAGAAGTTAAACAAACAGTGACGTTATTACGAATTTCAGGAAAAGACTGTAAAATAGTTAGATGTGCAGCGTGGGGTAGATCTCGTCCAAAAATCGGGATAAATAAGGGAATAACTTCACTGGTAAGTAACTATACAGGGTAGAAATAAGTGCAGATATTTTAAGAGGTGGTAGATCTGGCCAAAAGAAACAAGAAACATAATATTTTCTCTTTACCATTTTTAGAATAAATTAACCGAGTAATTTAACTTTGAAAGTTTAAAATAAAAAATTACAACATTTTGAGAGCCGCCGGGTTTGTCGCCCGTTGTTGCCATATCCACTAGAAAGACTAAAAAACTACTTGCAAAATTCCACATCTCAAAAGTGGATGATCGCCAGTAGCTTTACTTCGCAGATTCCATAAAATAAATTAAAAGATAAAATACTTACCGTACATTAAAAAAGAATACCCTGACAGATCGATATAATTGCAAAGCTTGTCAAGCTGTATTTCTTATTGAAATAATGTGAACAGGAAATTTATAATCACCTTATCCTTGTGGTTGACAGATGTTAAAGCCCGTTAGGTTATTTTCTATGGTTAAAGCTCGGGGGCTCGGCTAAAGCCGGAGTCTCATGCATCCGAAATCCGATGACACGACGATCCGACGGTGCTCCTATTGGTCGAAATATTTTGACAACAATTTTTATCCGATAATTTTAACTAATCATCCGACGTCGTATAAAGTTAAATTTTGTTTAACTTTTGTACGATATCGTGTGTTTTTAACCTCACTTTTTTTGAAAACATTTGTTTTTAAAAACAAGTTTAGTGGGAAGTGGGCAATTTCGGGATATTTGGCGAGGAAGTTATTTTTATAAGTGTTTCTCCAATAAAACATGACATGAATCTCTATTCAGCGCAGCAGAAAAATGTTAAAACTGTCAAATTTCGGAACGAACTTTCGGATGTATGTGACAGGCTTTTTTTATTACACACGATAACTTCAAATTTCGGATGTCGTACCATCGGATTTCGGATGCATGAGACTCCGGCTTAAGTCAAGAGCTATGGACTTCAGGCAATTCATGTCTTAGTTTCTTTTTAAAAATAAGAAATAATAGATTAAAAACTTTTCAAAGAAATAATACCAAAGTAATAATTTAAAAAGAGGTCTCTCAGTGACGTAGGCGCTAAGACGATGATTTGACGCGATCGGACAATCTCTTTTGGAATGTACACAACCCTGAAAAAATCTAACCTTACTTTTTATTTATTTTTTATCCCTATCGTATCTAAATTTATTAAAGTTCGTGTTATTAAAATTTTGTTTTTCAGTTGGTTTAGATGGAAAAGAAATATTTTTGGTAAGTTTTTCATCTTGTTTTATTCTTGTACGTAGCTTGGTATTTGTATTGCATGAGATCAAATAGTGTACGTAGAATATTTTTAAAGTCATTTGGATTGGTTTGGAACTTTAATTTGTTTGTCTATTAAGAGCCCCAAACCATTTCAATTATAGAGATAATTTTAAAACATTTAAACCCGAGTAAAACGTACAAGAAAGAAGGTTACTTTTTTTTCTTTTTACACATATCAAATATAAATATCTATAAAATAAGAGCATTTAAGGGGTCTCCTTAAAGGTTAATTCAAGGCCGAAGGGCTCTGACCTAAAAATCTGTTGACGTCATAGACTGGAGGCCATATAGAGGTCTGTTTATATTTTCATTCACATATCGTCTCCGGCACGTACCGTTTCCGTTTCAGTAAACGGACGGTTGACGGTTCCAGTAAGAAGATTTGCAATATATCCAATGTTAAACGAATTAATACAAGTTCCGACAAAATATTGTTTCCGAGTATACTGAACGGAAACGTTATGTGTATGATACGATACGTGCCGGACATATTATTAGCTACAATCTACTGAGGGTGCATCATTGGTGCATCCACATTATCCTAGAAAAAGCGGATCGGGATCGGCGTCTCGTCGTAACGACCTTGAAACGATTTCCAATTTGCAGTAATTCTATTGGCTGAAATTTTTGACAGATGAATTTTTCAGCCAATAGAATTTCTGGAAATCGTTTCAAGGTCGTTACGCCGATCCGCTTTTTCTAGGATAATGGATGCACCCTAAGGTGTTCATTGAGGAGACGTCCCGTTAAAAAAAACCGTGATAATCCGAAGATTGTTCTTACTTAAATCAAGGAAATATTTGATTTTTCTCGACCGTACTCTCTGCCTTAAGAAAGTGGTACAAAAAATAATTTCCACTCTATTGAAAAATATACAGGGTTGTTTAAAATAAATAATTTTTGGTAATATTCACAAGTAATGACATGTAACAGCAAAAAAACTGACTTTGTGGTTTAATAAATTCTCTGTGGTATTTTTTAGCGTTCTATCTCATATTTCCACCTAAAATTCCGAATTATAATACAGGGAACATTTAAGTAACCAACATAAACATGAGGGTTGTAGCTCTAGTCAGTGGAGGTAAAGATAGTACCTTTAATATGATGCAATGTGTCGCTGCAGGCCATAAAATAGTTGCCTTAGCAAATTTGTTTCCTTATAATCAATCTGAGATAGATAGTTTTATGTATCAGAGTGTGGGTAAGTGTTTTGAGTTAGTATTTTTATAATATAGTGTATTGTACGGTATGATTGAAAAAAAACGGTGTCAAAGACGGCTGGGGAATGACAATCGATAATAATTTTGGTGGGGTCAATCTCTAGGCGCCATTTACTCAAAATTGATATAAAACTTGTCAAAAATTAGTACTAATAATTCTAGAAAGATTAAAAAAGGATTGAACGTTTCTAACACACAAATCTATTTCCAAAAAAATACTCGAATATTAAACTACCTACATACAACATTTAAAAATCATTTTTACTCAATACAAAAATAAGTTACAACTTTCTTAAGGCCAGCTGGCAGTAAGCGTCATTAAAAAATAAATCAGAGTACTGGCTAACTAAATGACGTCTAGAGCTTGACCTCGCCAAAGTTATCATCAATTGTCATTTCCCAGACATCTTTGACGACATTTTTTTCGGTGGGGTGGTATTATTTTCTTGTTGTCTAGGTCACGAAGCAGTTGATTTGATTGCGCAAGCAATTGATTTGCCAATTTACAAAAAATGCACATACGGGGTGTCAAAGAAAAAAGGCAAGAACTATGATCCATGTGATCCCTCTGATGAGGTAGAAGATTTGTATAATTTACTCAAAGAAATTCAAAATGAGATTGAATTTGACGGTGTTTCCGTTGGGGCTATTTTAAGCAATTACCAAAGAATTCGGGTTGAAAATGTGTAAGTAGAGTATAATGTTATTACATACATATATTTGAGAAAGTTTCATTTTATATAGGTTGAGTTTTAAATAAATTAAAAATTAAAAAAAAAATTAAAGTAATATAAAACTCTGCTATTTTTCAGAAAATATTTGCACTTATTTAAGACTCACCCTGTATAATAAACGAATAGGGGCTAAAAAGTATGTACGGGGTGTCCCATTTTCGTGTTTACTATGCATAGTAAAACGGGAAAATTTTGTTGAAGTCCTAGATCATATATACCGTGTGATCGAAAAAAAAACGGCGTCAGCGATGGCTATGAAATGAAGATCGCTGTCATTTTATATCTAAATTCATATGGGAGATGTCATCGATCGTTCTTTCCCAGCCAACTGGGCGCCGTTTTTCTCGATCATGCGGTACTTACGTGGATAAGTAAATCACTATGGAAACTGTCGCAAACATATCAACGACTTCCATTTATCTTCTTTTTTTTATTGCACACGCGGTGCTTCTACTCTATCTATCCTTGTCGAGGACCTATCGTCCGCGCGCCAAATTGGAACATTAATTTTAGAAATTTAATTTGTAAATTGCTTATATTTGAACAATAAATTGAATGTTTACTGTCACAAAAATTAAATTATATAAAAAATACTATAGAAAGTGTGCATGTAGCTTAATATAAATAAAAGAACAACTGAATACTTTACTTGCCTATGAAAAGTGAAAAGATAATTCGGGGACCTTTATATTAGAACTTTCACACATTAAACACTTTCTAGTCATTTTTACGAGTATTTAGAAAATCCAACGATAAAAAAAAATTGAAATATAGTTGCACACACTTAAAATTACCTTCTCACTGAACACACTTGCATCTTTGAATATAAAAGCGGTCGATAATAGAGTAATTAATACAATTTTTAAAATAAAAACGCAAGAAACAAGCGTTGTTACACAATGGAAATAAGATTATGATATATGATTATGACCAGGATTATGACAATATGATATGAATATGATGTCAATGAAAACTTGGTTTCCATAACAATGTGCGCGTTCAGGGACCACAGCGGCTGACGGACCGCTGAGTATTTTGCTCAGCGGCTGACTGTTTTTGCGTGTAAAAAGTGACCGTTTAGGGGAACCGCTTACTCAGCCACTCAGCCGCTGACCGTCTCTGAACGCGCCCATTGTATGTACTTTCTAAATCGTATAAAATTGTGATTATTTTGGAAATACGTGCGTGTAAATATAGTGAAAAACTTTTAATGCGCATGCGCAAAGTAAGGTCCTCGAGAAAGTCAAACCTATTGAACGTTTCATAAGTGCAATAAAGAAGGTTTGAAAATGGCATGTCGTGATGTTGGAGACATATTTTTTAATGCTAAACTTGTGGCGTTGATTTATTCACGTGTTAAAGTATCAGTTTTTGGACTCAGAATTTGTTTCTAATATACAGGCTGGGTCCATTTTTGTGTGTTTACACGGTTTTTCGTTTATGAGTAGAGGTACAAATACAAAGATGCGGTTTTCACATTAATATGCTACTTTTTTATGAAACTAAAGCTGCTACAAACAGATTTGTCCTAGCAGTTAAAGCTATATTATTATTAAGTTTAATTTACTTGAGCATTTTTTTACAGGTGCATTAGACTAAATTTAACTCCCTTGGCGTATTTATGGCAACGCAATCAAGAGGACTTATTAGATGATATAATCAAGTGTGAAGTTGATGCTATAGTGATCAAAGTGGCAGCCTTAGGACTAGAACCGAAAAAACACTTAGGCCATAGTTTAAGCCAATTACAACCATATTTACTATCGATGCACGAAAAATATGGTATTAACGTTTGCGGAGAGGGGGGAGAATATGAAAGTCTGACGTTAGACTGTCCATTGTTTATGAGCCGCCTTGTAGTGTAAGTAATCATTATCATCATCATCATTTTTAGCTTATTCAACCATTTCCAATGGGCTCTTTCACTATATTTTGGAATTAGCATAATTGAATAAAGCAATTAATTCTAGAATTTTCTGCTATCTCACTTTCGAAAAATTTGAAGTCGTTCTTAAGAAAATAAATAAAAACAAAAAAGCTCAGAATAAAAATCCGCACTTTATTTTTAATACGTCACACCTGGCATGTTGAAAAGCGGCAACACGGCCGGGCCATCTTGCTGACCCACCACCACCTCCACACAAGGCCATTCAACCTTTTCCAATATGACGGAGATAGAAGTGCTTTATTTGGCGCGTATTTTAAAACCTGTTTTATTTCCAAATAGACATTTTTCACACAAATGTGTTAGATTACGTAATATTTTACTAAGTATAAAAGAGAGTCTAAAGCTCTCCACATAGGTATGGCATTTTTTTGTATTATTACTTTTATGAAAACATCAGTTAGTTACTTTTTATAAAAAGGTCTGTTTTCTCAGAAAATAGGTAGGTACTGTACTAATGTGTAAATACTCAAATTTGAGGTAGCATATATAGGGTGTTCAAAATCATCGGAAAAAGAAATAACCAGAAATATATGACAGAAAATAGCAATATAAACTAAATATTCAATTGCACTTATCTACCATAGTTTAGAATTTACTGCACGTTTGATAAATATATACTATTATGGACAGTATAGGAAGTTACTTGTCTTAGTAAAAGCCTTGGTAAATGCTCTTGGAATTATAAAGTACACTGGCTTGGGTCAAAAAATATGGAATATTTTTCTATGTTTAGCACTATTATACAAATGGGAATATATTTAAACTATAATAGGTGAGGATAACTAAAAAATATAATATGTGTTTCAATATTTTATATAGAAAAAAAACTAAATACCTTTTTATAACGTCATTCCTTTTTTTTGCATAGTTCTTCAATAAAATATTGGATATTCTGAACAAGATGGATTTAATAATAAATTCCGACGTATGTGAGGGGCAATTGTGACTTAAAAAAAGACTTACATCCAGGCAGGCCATTTATATTTTCAAATGTGAATGTTGTCAATATCTTTCTGTGATCTTTTTGATGTAAAAAGCTTGATTATTCTTCCAATATTTTACTTATAGTGAGGTAAGTGTAAGCAGTAGCCATAACTACATCCTCACTAGGGTAACAGGGGCTTTGGCCTTTGGCCTTTTTGAGGCATATTTAATGCACTTCTTAACCGAGAACTACTAGTAGGAGTGAAATTATCTCTTTTAATAGCTGTCAACCATTTTTTACGAAGCTCGTCATTTTTGGGAAATATAAAAGCAGAAACCTTGTGACCCCCTCTATAATTCTCGTGACAATTTGGAACAGAGCATGTAAAAGGTATGCTACAATAAAATGTTAATACCTATCTTTTGATTATTATAAGTAACCATTATAAAGTACTATGCAGACTGGCGGTGAAGGCTTTTTACTCATTTAGGTGTAATATCTTGATAAATACTTCTAGTTCTTACCTTAAAATAATTAATAATAGAGGATTACGACAAGCACAAAAGTTTGAAGTTCCCTATGTGGAATGTCTGGTTTGGATTTTTATTACACTGTTATTTTATCACAATTTTCTGATCACACCATGCACTGAACACTAAGAACTAAACAAACGTGTTGCAGAATCACAACAAACTAGAGATAATTAATTATTTCTGGTATGCAATCGGAACGAGAAACCACTACCGGCTTTTCAGGTTAAAGGTAAACAATTTAATAATGCGCTGCCTTCGCCGCCATATTTGCCTTGCCCATATCATGTTGATTGAGTTGAGGTGGTGCTGGTCAAATCAAATCGCAATGTTGCCAGTTGTTGGCTGGCGCACGAGCACGGTTCTGCAATGTGATTGGGCGTATTTTTCATACGTCATCAATTGGCGCTTTAAATTTATTTCAAATTAAAGCAATTTTGAGGACCTATAAAAAAATTATTCAATGTCATGGAACTGTTTTTCTTGGATAAATATACTGAAAATAGTATTCTATTTCAGATTTTGTCCTTGAATTGGGTATTTTATTTTTTGTGAAAGAGCCCATACCCTTCTTCACATATTTAGATCTCTCTCTCTCTTTATAGTTGGGCCCATTGTTGGCTATGCGAGCCCAAGTTATTCCTGGTAATTTCCTAATATACCTGATCTTAGGTTTGGTCTTCTTCTATGTCTCTGAATTCCTCGTAGGTACCATGCTGTAATTTTTTTGGTCCATTTGTTTGTCCGTCCTTCTTGCCAGGTGTCCTGCCCATTGTCGCTTGTCGCTTGAGCGAATTCCACTCTATCCTTTTACGGTCTTTTTTGGTTATTCCCGGCATATTTCGTTCCATTCAACGTTGTGCGACCTGCAGTTAATGTCGCCGTATAACGTCCGTTTTTGCAGGTTCCGCCTGCATAGGTCATGACTGGTAGTACACATTGGTTGAATGTTTTCTTCTTAAGGTAAAGTGGCATTCTAGATTCATCAGCGAATTTTTGATGGTTAAGATATACTCCATCTAATTTTAATCCTTTGTTGGTACAGTCCAGTCAATGGAAGATTTTTTCTAGTGTTGCTGTAAACGGCTTTGGGGATATCGCATCTCCCAGTCGTACTCCTTTGCCAGTTGGGAACTCTACAGGGTTCGACAATAGTGCGTCGGGCATCTGTAGCCTGTAGCTCCTAGAATAAAAAACTTGAGAATTTTCGTTTAAGTGCAAACCTAAAGTATTTACTAGGATGTATTTAAGGAAAATATTTTAACTTCTATAGTGTGAGTAGATTAATATTATATTAATATTTTAACTTCAAAAAAGTGTGAGTAGATTGGATGATTTTTTAAATTGAGCACCCTGTATATTATTGGATTTTTGGCTTCCTTTCAGATCACTTCACATAATCCTAAGATATCAGTTAATAATATTTCGATAATTTCAGAGATATTAATAAATAAATAAAAAATATATTTTTCATCTTTTTAAAAAAAATATATTAAAAATACAAAAATGTCCATTTTTGTAGTTCTTCATCTATTGAAAAAACAATATACAGGGTATTTGGTTTGGTTCACTTCTGACACAACCGAAAATAGCCTTGATAGAAACGAAAATACACATCGAAACGTCGGTAATTTTTTAAATAAAAGATTGTCTATCTCCTGATCCTAAACCTGCGAATGCAATTTCATCTACTGATGAATATATTATGAGTATTGTAGTAGATTGTAATCTGTTTATACTCCCATATTTGTAAATAATTAAATAAATAGGTTCTTGTTAGGGAAGACTCGGAAATAGTGATGCACCAAGATGACCCTATAGCTCCAGTGGGGTACTTAAAATTCAACAAAATTTCATTGGAATTTAAGCTTCCCGCTCTAGACTTACAAAGTAGACTACAAGGCTTACCATTGAAAGACAGTTACGGGTATATTTTGGAAGATGGCGAAGAAATATTAGAGTTAAGTAATGAAGAAGATGGTAAGTTCGGACGGGATTGTTTATGTTTAGAGATGAGCAAATGCAAGACCAAGAGCAAGACTCCCTTGGACTTGGTCTTGCAGGGTTCAATCTTAGTCTTGGTCTAGCTGCAAGACCCTTGCAAGTATTGCATTTCCTTAATAGATTTTTACTACTGTAATCGCAAAACATTTTCCGATGCACTTCATTAATCTTATCGAAATTGATACTAAAGTCTATAAACTTGACTAAATGTTTAAATTTGTTGTATAATTTAAGATACCGAGCAGCTCCTCACTTTACTTTATAGAGCAAATGATTGTGACAGATATTTTATTAGATTAAAGATACCAAAAATTAGTTTAAACCAAATTTTATTATCGCTATGTTGGTCACATTGCGCCGTGTTCAGCAACATTGTCCTTTATTATTTGACAACTATCGTAATGTCAGTCATTATTTTATATAATATCATGTTGTTATTGAGTCTTTGTGAGTAATTCTCGTTTTTGCCTATTTTCATAGTTTTTTTTTAAATTGTACTTTTAAGCACAAACAATTCTTTTAAGAACTAAATTTTCGAGTTTTGTATTGCATTTCTTGAAATTGTTTGTTGAAAATATGCTGAACCATTTAAACAGTCGATGCAAAGAGTTTGTAACTTCCCTGAAACTATTTTGAACGAGAACATAACAATAAAGGTCCTTTATCCTTGACTGCAGTCAGAGAAGTAAGTTGATTGGTAATGTTCTGATGTAACGATATAAAACTACCCGTTTTATACCGAGTACACGGTTCGTAGTAAATAAAAGTCGCGATTTGATAAAACACTAACTTTTACTTATCAAAAAAGAACTAGTTAAGTGAAAAGAGCCGAATTTAATACAGTATTAACTAATAAAAGTACGGAACGATCGTTTTCTTACAGCTCTCAAAAACAGACTGTCTCAATGACATGCTCAATGACACTATTATCTAACCTAACCTAAACTAAAATAATTTAATTGTTGTACATAAAGTATACAAAATACAAAGGTAACAGAAGGTAATAATAAAATGTAAATTAATTAAACAATGTTTTTAACATGGCTCTGACAGGTAAGCACATTATACCACTTTCAAAGTTATTTCTACGTTAGTTTTTAGTAAATTCTGTGATTATTAGTTTGTGCATTAATGCTCTTACTTGTTATTACTTGTGGTGTTTTGAGATGTACATCAATAAACAAATAAATAAAAAGAACCGTAATAACGCTTAGAATAATCTTCTAATGGACTAGTTTTTGCCAATATATAATAAGTAAAATAAGCTATAAAACAAATAAATCAATTAATTACTAAAGTATTATTTATTAAATTAAAAATAAAACGTAAAAATCTTTAAAAAATGAGATAATAAATAGATAAAAGATAAATTGATCACGTGCATCGAAAATTGTTTTGCGATTACCGTAGATGCACTTTCTACATAAATCTTTAAATAAATAGTATTTTTAGTGATTATATTATATCAAATCAGTATTTCTTTCTTTAAAATTATATGGCAATAGTGGAAATACACTATTTGCAATGAATCAAAACAATTATTTTGAACAAATAAGTAATTTCTTAAATCATATGAACGTGAAAAATATGCAAGACGGAATTGCAAGATCAAGACCAGTCTCTCTTAACACTATTTACGTTTAGCAAAAGCTACTCGTCATTTTTAGAAACCGAGAACTCCTTTTTACTGGCTAGTGAAATACCTCAAATTAATATTAAGCCATGTTTAATTCAACAACCTCATTATGGAAAAAGCAAAGACGGGTGGTTGTGGATTGGCGGAATCCAAGGATTAGCTTCAAATCCTGAAGAAGCATTAGAGGAAGCAATAGATAAAATTAAGTGTAGGTATGCATTGAATTTAATTGTACCCATTTGAAGTTTTATTAGTTCTTTATAAACATTTTAATTATCTTGCCTTTTGATCCAAATAGTATATTGTTTTATTAGAAGTAAATATGATACTTTTTGTGGAGAGGCTATAAATATAACGACATAAGCAAGGCACAAAAGAACATGCTTTTTTTTCAAACGTTCACAAATAATTTTTTAAACAATTTCAAATGCTGCATATAATATAAAAAAGATTTAAGAGTAATACCTTGTAAGTAATTATATATCGAGAAATTATGGTTACACTCGTTGAATTTGAAACTTTTGAAACCTATGTCAGTTTAATCATATATTTTCGTACTTGTGTGCTTAGATGCAAAAGTGCTTTACTTTGATGTCTAGGCGTTCCAATGACTTTTTATATTGTCAATCAAGTCGCAAAAATTAATACTTCTCTGACGTTTGAAAAACAAGTATATATTTTTTTATTAAAATTTACTTTTAATGTCGCATGTTTAATATTGTTTTTTTAATATTGTGTCATGTTCTATTTGTTATTTAAAATTTAGGCATCCTTCATTCAAATGCCCACGATGTAAAAGATGTATGTTCAGTTATAATGTACATCAGAGATATGTCTGAATATTCGCAGTTAAACGCCACATATATTAAAGCTTTTAATCATACCAATCCACCAACAAGAGCTTGTGTTCAAGTGCCTATAGGACATCCTGTACAATTAGAAGTTATATCATGGAAAAAATTAACTGGAGAACTAGCTGGAGATGGAGAAATTGACAGGTAGGTAATGGTATCTATGGCGTCAAAGACGTCTGAGTGACAATGGATGGTAATTTTGACGAGGTCAAGCCCTAGACGTCGTTTACTTAGTCTGTACCCTTCTTCATTGTTTTCTAGTTGAAATTGAAACCATATGCTCAAGTAAAATTAATGTAAAAAAAAGATACGGCCGTTTATGCCGAAAAAAAACGTATATTTTGACACTCACAAGACGCGAATCAAAATTTTTCGTACCCTCTTATACTTATACTACAAGTGTAGGGAAAAATCTGAAAACTATACATTTTTAATTAAATCAAAAAATGTAGTCTTTTTAGGGAACCTTTATAGTCAGACTTGTACTTGTCCTGGTTTTTTTAATATAAATTTGAATTATTGTTGAAAATTATGCAATTGATTTTGTATTTCCAGACAAACAATGCACGTGCAAAGTATTTCTCACTGGGCACCATGTAACATAGGGCCTTATAGCCAAGCTGTCAAAATTGGCGATTTTATTCACCTTGCCGGTCAAATTGCTTTGGTCCCAGGCAACATGCAGTTAGTTAGTCAAGGCATTATATCTCAGTGTAAGGTAGTTGTTAGACATATAGGACGACTACTGACAGCTGTGGATAACACTGTCAATTTAAGAGACGTTGTACAGGTAAAGATAAAAATATTTTTTTTCAAACGTCACAAAAATATTAATTTTTGCGACGTGACAATATAAAAAAGTCATTTTAACGCCTACACATAAAAGTAAAGCACTTTTACGTCTAAGCACAAAAGTACGAAAATATATTATTAAATTGACATAAAATGTCAAATTCAACTAGCGGGGATAAATTCGGGAAGGAAGAATATGTTTCCTTTCATACAATCTACAATCCCTGAAATTAGGCAGTTTTTTTTTAAACATTCTGTATTATTTTAAATACCTATATTGAAAAATATTATTTATAGGGTATTTGTTATTTAACTCACCACAATTATATTGACCTGGCAAGAAGATACTGGGAGTCTAAAACTAACAATGCTATAGTGGAATATGTGGTGGTTACAGGCTTGCCAAGGTCAGCTGCCATTGAATGGCAGGTCTGGGCTCACAAACACAACAATCAATTCGAGTGTAAGTATATTTTACACATAAAATTACAGCGATTTTCATTTCCCAGTCAACTGTGACGCCTTTTTTTTCAATGGCATGGTATTAAGGTTTATCAGGTTTTGAGTTTTGCACTTATGGAGCTAGAACCTCTTACCATCTTGAAAGAATAAGTACTATTCAAAATATTTTCTATAAATCTGTATATCTATCAAGGAATTCTACTCAATATGCATATAATGTGTGTGTTGATTGACAATATAAAAAAAATATATAAGGCAAATTTTCCTGTTCTTTTCTCAATCAATACATCCATACTATGTTCAAAATTTACATTAATTTAACATAAAACCATAGAGAGTACTGTAAACTGCCTATGTAGCAATTTTTTTTACGATTTTTACATTAAAAGAGAAGACCTAGATGCAAAAAAAATCTCAAAAAAATGTACAGAGGGGGCACTAGAAAAGACACTATGTAAATTTATTCAAGTATACATATAAGCACTATGTAATAAGCGATACCAATTAAACTTTTAGTTATGTAATCGAGGGCGCGATTTTTAAATTCATTGTTGCCAACCATGGAAATACTCGGCGCCGGGCTGACTAACTGGAATTTAAATTTCCCGCTGGAATTTAGGTGGTAGCTCTGCTGTTAAAACTGTCAAGTTGACACATGTATTTATTTATTTCCTGAGATTGTTATTCGTTTTGACACTTTAGTTTTGTATTAGATCTATTTAGTTTTGTATTAAACTCTAGTTTTTGGTTTAAATGAATTGTGTTGTGATACTTTAAGCTTAAAAATTTTTACTAGCAGACCTTGTTCTCAACATTGTTCTTTTATAGAGCCTCTTTTAGTGCGAAGTGTACAAGAAGCTTAATAGCCGTTGCAAAAAACTCATTGCAACCTTATTAGAATATTTTGAACGGGTAGTAAAGGCCCTTTATGCCCCTTAAGTGCTGTTAAGGTGGTGAGTTTTAATGATGTAAATAATTGTTTATATATTTATAATAAATTTAGTTTTGTTTCCTAAAATATTTTGATTGAAAGAAAATATGTAAAAGTGGGCAACTCTGTGCCGGTCAAGCTTAATCACGCGACTAAAAGTTTATTTGGTATTTTGAATAAAAAATTTGGTATAGTCATATATCAAAAAGATGATAATTGTGATTTTTATCTTTTTTAGATGAGGAAAGAGGCAAATGTATAGATAATTACTCAATTTCTCTCTACAGAAGAATAAACTATGATAATAACGTAGCAGCTATAGTCTGTCGCGTAGAAAACATAGAAGAATCACAGTCATTTGACTCCAAAATATTTTTGGAAGCTGTATCATATTCAATTGATAAGTTGAAACAAGGAACTGATCACGACCCTAATACAGTGTACAATTTGAAAATATTCTACTCCGTTTTTAAGTTAAACAATCCAGAAGATCTCTTGGAAATTATGCACGATTTTATAGACGGTACTAATGTTTTAGTGTACAACTTTATACCAGTGATAGAATTAAAAAATAAGAATACTATATTGTCTATATGCGGTGTCCGTAATCAGTGATTGATATATAAAAATAGAATAATAAAAGTTGTAAGCATACCTATATTTTACTTTATAATAAATTTTTTTAAAATTATTCGAATTTTAATTACTTTTTTATTTAACTTTTTGACTTCCCTCTGTAACCTATGCGAGCAAATCACTATATCTCTGGGTATAAGCCGTGAGCCATAACTTATTTGTATTCTATAGCAACAACTTTTGACATTCTTTCGGTTATTTATTCTGTGGTGTTATATCTGTCAGAGTTTCAAAAGGTAAAAAATGAAAAAGAGTTATTAATTTGAATAAAATACTGTTTTAAAAATGCAGAGATAAATTTCTTTGATATTCGAGGTATAATAGGTAAGTGCCAATAATAATTACCAATTATAAAATCTTAATACTTGCGCATACTTACATGATAAAAATTTGTTTACTTATTAGGCATTTAAATGTTGCATATTTTTTATATCTCTTTGTTATTTTTTAGGTGCTATTTGCTATTATAGATGAAAATGTTCTCTGTGAAGAATATTTAGAGCTTGTGGCACACTAATTCTAAACTAAACCGTAATTCAGAGCGAAAGTTGTATTAATACTAAACCAGCTGAAAATCTTTTAAACGTGTTGGTGGCTTGTTCCTTCAGAAAAAAAATCATTCTCAGACATAGTAGCTGATGGTTTTTGGGATGAATTTGCCAAACAGGTTTGTATTGAATTGTTAACCCTTCTGTGTGTTCCAGTACATTTTAAAATCCCCTACGATTTTTGATATAACTTTAACCATTAATATCCTAAAACTTTGTATATGTTTCATTGAGGTAAACGTATTTCCTTAGCTGTGATTTTCAAGTCAGTTTTCAGTGGGTCTCAAGTCCTTTTACTAGTGTAACTTATAAGTTCTAAAACATTAAATGTTTTTTTTTATTTATATAGGATCTTGCAACATCTTTAAAGTTGTAGGTCCTATAAAAAAGAATTTTTTAACTAGAAACCTTAGAAAACTTAATTTTTTAAAACTAGAACTTTTTAAAATATTCAGAGTGCCATGGTCTATCAAATAAAGTAAAAACTCCGCAAGGTGTCATTTAAAAATCGAAAGTTGTAGTAATTTCTGGTGAAACAGGAAGTGACTGGAAACAATTGAATATGTCAATCAATCCTGATTTATGTCAAATATTAACGTACCAAATCAATAGTTATAGGGGCGAGCCACTTTTGAAAAACACCTGGTATACCTACAATTTTTTATTTTTATTATAGCGTAGAAGGTAGCTCCGCCTTGAAAAAAACATCAGATTTGCTGGAAACTTTGCGAAAAGAATTAAGTATTAATCGTGAAATACCAACTAAACTAGATGAAGTACCTAGTGTTAAAGTCGAAATTAGTATAAACGGAGCTAAGGAACTGCCATGCAGAAGAAAGAAGAAGAGTAAATACCAGAAAATGAAAAATAAACACTCTAGTAAACGTGAAGATAATGTAATGCCTAGCACGTATGTAATATTTGAAAGTATGGCTGGAGAGGCATTATGTATGACCAGCGTTTGTCCTAAAAGTTCATCTCCCCAATGGAATTATAGATGTGTAGTTGATTTGCCTTTAGATTTATTTACTCGTGTAAGTATTATATTATTTTATAAGTAATGACAATACCTTTTATTGGGTATTTAGGGTATTTATATTCCAATGAAAGGGGATTCTAAAAAAATCTGTTTCTAGATGCTCTGTAAACTTGTAACAACATTAATACTTGCTCCTTAAGCCTTAATCTCTAATTCCTAAATCCTAATCTCTAAATCCAGTTTCCAAATCCTTAATTATTAAATCAAACCATTGACAATATAACTGCTTGATTTTGATACATATATTTTAGGATAACAAACAGTTGATTTTTAAAGTTTGGAACAAATGTACAAACACTGTACTACAACCCAACATACAAACTGATCTTATATTAGGATTCTGTGCTGTAGATGTCAGTGTATTGATCGATGGGTCTCCAAATGTACAGGGCTGGTTTAATATTGTCGATTTTTGCGGCAAACCTAACGGTCAAATTAATGTAAGTAACATGTATAAAGGTACCCACATACAGACAGGTTTTTCTCAATGCAAAACCGCGTAATACAAATATTAGTATTTTATTAAAACATGCTTTTAGATGTATCAAATTTAATGAGAGATACTTTATCTCTACATATGTTTCGGCTTGTTAGGCCTTTTTCCAAGAGTTTTTTAAAACTAACTGTCTAACTACATTTAAAGTTTTTTTTTGCTATGGTGGTGGGTTTAAGGAGTTTACAAAGGTAAATAAAATAAAAGTAAAGTGGTAATAAAAAATGTGTTTAGAAATCCTTGTTTGTTTACATTATTGTCGTTTTTAGCTGATTTTAATATTTCTAACTATTCAATGTAATTTAAGCGTCTGCTTTTTGTTTCTCTATGTAGTAATTTAAATGAATTTATATTAATTGTGTGACTATATTTAATATACAGTGGGCTGCAGACCGGAACTTAGCTGGAGATTATAATAGATTTTATATGTTCTTTAATCCTTATATCTAAATTTGTATCTGTTTGGCGTGTACACAGTATCAGAATTATGGCATCCACCCTATACCAGATGTGTCTCGAAAGTGGCTCACTAGGGTTGCCAACTGGCCGGTTTTCCATTAACAAGGCTGGGTGCCGGTTAGCATCGAAAAAAAGCCGGTTTTCTTAGCATATCATTCATATCAACAACCAGACAATCACAACATCATCACCAAGTCGAAAACAGGTCCAAAATCGAACTCTCCAATCATTATTGTAATTAAATAGCAATACAAGGCGCCATCTAGTGAAATTGAGAGGTAGTTCTATTAATTTTTATTATACACAAGTTAAAAACAGTTCCGTTTCCTTTTTTCGTTTTGTTTTATTGTGTTCCGCCGCGGGGATCCTCCGCCGGGATTTGGGGGATTTACGATTTACTCGAATATACATCACAGTTTTATACCTAACCCTAACCTATACCGCAACTCGGCAACCGCTGTTGTATCCGCGTTATTTTTAATTTAGTTGAGTTCTTGTAATTATATAGTTGTACGAAATTGCGTTAATCCTGTTGAAAATGAGTGATGACTCTGATGACCGTGAAACAAACATAGGTACATTTAAAAAAGTAATCGGAATCTTTTTTTTACATTTTTGAGTTTTTTGACTAAAAATCGAATACTGTTAAATAAATTCTAGAGATTTGTTGGCAACCCATCGTTCCGTGCCCATTCTCGTGACAACGCCGCAAAAGGGTTCTGGGCCTATGAATATCATAGATGACACTTAGGTCTTTATCATACACCTTCACATTCAAAGCCTTGAGGAAACCCTGAATGTTTGTGGCTACTTTAATAGAGCTAAAAATATAAAATTATGGAAATTAATTTTTTTTATCAGCTTTCTATAAGTCCGTTAGAAAACGTGCAAAAATATAAATACTACTGTCTGTACAAAAATTCTACGGTCACTGGAAGAACCACTGTTAATTCAACACCTCTGTCAACAACTTCTTCAAATATGACGGAAAATAGTAGCGAACTTTTTAGTAAAACGCTTAAAAGAAAGTTTTCAGAATTGGATGAAATCACTGAGCGATTAAGAGCCAGGTAATGTATGCTCGATGTTACACTGTTTTAAAAAGAGCTACCATAAGAATATATACTTCATACCAATTAAACTTTTAGTCATGTGATTAAGCTTGACCGTTACAGCGTTGCCAATTTTACATATTTCCTTTTAGTCAAAATATTTTAGGAAACGAAAATAGATTAATTATAAATATATAAACAGTTATTATTTACGTCAACAAAACTCACCTCCTTAACATCACTTAAGGGACAATAAGGGCTAAAATATTCTAATAAGGTTGCAATGAGTTTTTTGCATTGGTTATTAAGCTCTAGCTTGTACAGGGTGGGTCAAATTCGACGCTTTTAAATGGAAACACCCTTTTCTATAGGAAATAGACAAAAACTAATATCGGTGTCTGGAGCTTAATTTTTGTCAAAAACATGATGGTGAAAACCGCATATCGGTATCTGTTACCGAGTTACGGGGTGTTTTTCTAAAATATGCATTTTTAACAAATCGCTGTAAATTTTTTGCTATGGAAAATTTTGTATTTTTATGAAAACATTTCCAAAGCACCTTTTTACGTAGAATTTAATGGTTTAAGTATAATTTTTTTAAAATTAATAATTTAAGAATTATCAACATAATATTTGATTTCTCTATATATTTTTAATTTATTGAAAAGAAATTAAAATTACCTTTCCAAAAGGTAATAACAACTTGATATTTTGCTCGATTCCTCTTCGAGATATAGAGTATATAAAAATTCGCCCGCTTTAAATAAGTAGGCTTTGAACGGCACCGGCTGTAATGGAAAAAAAATCTAGCTGTGAGAATCAATTAAAACGAAAATAATATTTGCTATGAGAGATGCAGAATTTTATAACAATTTAAATTATATTTAAACAACATCAACACATTTAAACTATATCTAATAACAATAAAAATAAATAGTAAACCAAGACATGAGATTTTGCTATATTTGTGTTCGACATATCGACCGTCTGCTGTTATGGACCGACGCGACGGGGCCGTTTTTGAACATTTTTCGCGGAATTCATTAACTCAGTTGGGGTGAAAGATCCCCCTCATAACTGCTAAGTATTTCTAATTCTTGTCTAGATTATACGGAAGAATAAGGAACCTTTATTGTTCCAGAAATATATCCATAGGATTAGATCCATGGGCACTAAGTCAGGCGGTCTCGACGGCCAACGGCTGGGATCTTGGTTAGGTATTCAATTATTCTTAAAATTGGCTGCAAAAATCTGAAAACTTCAGCATCAGAGGCGGTGCATCGTTTTGCTGGAAAAATATGTTTTCGAGTTCCATTAAGGGCATATCATCAATAAGGGGTCCAAAGCCTACTAGTTAAAAGTGGCGAACTTTTAAATATTCTATATTTCGAAGGGGATTATGACAAAATATAAAGTGTGCTATATTTTTGGAAAGGTAATTTTAAATTCTTTTCAGTTAATTAAAAATATAGAGGGTGTCCCAAATAAAAAATCAAATTTACTGTTGATAACTCTTAAATTATTAATTTAAAAAAATATATACTTAAACCATTAAATTCTACGTAAAAAGATGCTTTGGAAATGTTTTCATAGAAATACAAAATTTTCCATAGCAAAAAAGTTACAGCGATTTGTTAAAAATGCACATTTTTGAAAAACACCCCGTAACTCCGAAACGGTAACAGATATTGATGTGCGGTTTTCACCATCATGTTTTTGATGAAAATTGAGCTCCAGACACCGATATTAGTTTTCGTCTATCTCCTATAGAAAAGGGTGTTTCCATTTAAAAGCGTCGAATTTGACCCACCCTGTACACTTCACACTAAAAGAGGTTCTAAAAAGAAAAATGTTCGATTGCAAGGTCTGCTAGTAAAAAAAATTAAGCTTAAAGTAGCACAACACAATTCATTTCAAACCAAAAACTCGTAATACAAAACTAAAGTGTCAAAACGAATGACAGTGTCAGGAAATAAATAAACAAATAAATGTAGCAATTTGACATTTTCTACAGCAGAGCTACCACCTGAATCCACAGCGGGAAATTTAAATTCCAGATATTCAGCCTGGTACCGAATATGTCCATGGTTGGCAACAGTGAATTTAAAAATCGCGCCCTCGATTACGTAACTAAAAGTTTAATTGGTATCGTTTATAGGTATATTGGTGGTATAATTATTATTTCTAGATTATCTGAAGTAGTTCAGGAAGATTCAGATGACTTAAATGACGTTTTAATGGATCAATTTGAGCGTGACATTAATAACTCAGAAGTAGATGATCTGAATTTATTGAATTTTGACCAAGAAGCTATAAAATTTTCAAACAAGATTTCTGATGTCAAAAATAACTTAAATGATAGTGATTATGATAGTAAAATGTATCGGATTGGAGAAGAAAATGATCCTAAATATTGTAAAGTCGACGCAAAAGATTCTGGAGCTAGAAAAATTAAAAATACTGACTTAAATATGGATAGTGAAAAAATAGCGTCAAATGAACTACTGGCCAAAGGTAAGCATTGTTTGTTTAATATACAGGGTGGTCCGAATTGTATTAGGGAAACTTCGGCAGCCGATAAAAATGGGTAGAAAAGTTCGTATGTATGTCTTAAAATGCTTCGTTTTGGAGATAGAGGGTGTAGAAAGATACAGCCGTTTATGCCGCAAAAAACGAACATTTTGACACTCTCAGAAGAATCAGAATTTATAGGGTATTTTTTGTTGACCTAGAACTATGAAATTTGGCAAGTAATACCGTCTTATACTACAAGTATAGGCGAAAATGTGAAAATTATACATTTGTGATCAAATCATAATGCCGGGTCCAGACAAAGCAGACAAAACAACGACAAGACAGAAACATTCATGTTTTACGACAAAATTGCGACAAATCCAATACATTTCTGCGACATTTTTGTTTTGTTTCAAAATTTGGATACTTTTCAATGTCCCGTCTCGAGTCGGTAAAGATCAAAGTATCTATGTTTTGTTCGTATATTGTAGGACAAGTTGTCGGCGCAGTGTGGATGGCGCATGGCGTGTGCTGCCAACAGTAGGAGACCAGTGAAATCACACATGGTTAATAAAACTCATTCGCAACAAATAAACTTTTGACTTTGTTGTACTTTTGTCCTTGCGGTGTGGACAATTTGTCTCAAGTTTGTCTTGTCAGAATACCCCATTTTTTGTCGCAAGTTTGTCTTGTTTTTGTCTCAAAATCTTGTTTACTTTTTGTCGCCTTGGTCTGGACCCAGCATAAAAAATACAGTCTTTATTTAAACTACGTAATCAATCATCTTAAGGTCATAATTGTGCGGGTAATCATATCTTTTTGTAGATTTTTTTAAATTTTTACTAATTTGTACAGAAGATAAAAATCTAAAAGCAGTATAATTTTAATTAAACCCAAAAAAAACGGTCTTTATGCAAGGGACAGATAATACAGATTTAAACAGATTTTTAATTATTTTTGATGATGTATAGTTTTCGATTTATGATGTGGAATGAAAAAAAAAAACTGGCGTATGCACCTAGAAATTTATACGGAACCCCCAGTTGTCCGGTTTTTTAATCTATGGTCAATATTTGCTTTATTTCGTTAGTAAGTGTAACATTATATTAAAATAATATAAAATTATATCATTTTTTTTTGTTTGCAGGAAGCGGACATATCGATAACCTATTCAATAAATTAAGTTTATTTGCTTTAGATGCCAACCATACTTTAACCTCAAAACCAACAAATAATTCAGCAAACACTTCAAGTATAGAAAGGTTATGTAATGAATTGGTTTCTCACGGCATAGCTAGAGAGCTTAAACCTGACAGTTTGACTAGTAATATTAGTGCAGATATATCCAATTCGAACACTAGTTCTGAAACTACTAGTATGATTATTAGTAGTATTACTACCAGTAACATTACTAGTAACGTTACGGATATTTCAGATTGCAAACCTTCCTTACTAGAAAATTAAGAATTTATAACACAAATATACACTCTTGGGATACTTAATATTTAGCTTGTATTGTTTTTTTCTTATACTAAAACTTGTGTAAAAATCATTTTTAATACATTTATGTAATAATAAAAGTGTAATACTGATAGAAATATATGTTAATATCAATAAAAACTAATGTGTCTGATATTTTAACAATCTATTTCATTCAAGGTCTATAAATATCGCAAAAAAAAACGGCGTCAAAGATGGCTGGGGAATTTCCGTGCTCTTCTTTATTTTTTAATGGCGCTTACTGCCAGTTGCTCTTAAGAACGTTGTAATTTGTTTTTATATTGAGTAAAAATGATTTTTAAATTGTGTAGTTTAAAATTCGAGAATTTTTTTTAGAAATAGTGTGGGTATGTGAGGAAACGTTCTATCCTTTTTTGATTTTTCTATAATTAATGTTAATTTTTAAAATTTTGTGTTAATTTTTAGTAAAAGACTAGAAATTGACCTCGCCAAAATTATCATTGATTGTCATTCGCCAGCCATCTTTGACGCCGTTTTTTTTTCGATCATTCGGTACTTCTCTATAGAATGATGATAAGGATGGGTAACATTAGGTCAAAACCTCCTCTATAGCTATATATTTTTTAGAAGAAAAACTCAGAACTTACGACCGATAAAAATCAAAGAGATTTTCCTTGATTTAAGTAAGAACAATCTTCGGATTGTCACGATGTTTTGAACAGGGCACTCTCTCCTCAATGAACACATCAGTAGATTGAAGCTATGAAACAATGGCGCATGCAGATTCTGTGGGAAAAACAGGGAAACATCAAAACACCTCATCACTGAGAGCACCGAGACGACAACCATTCGATATCGAAGATGGAGAACTAACCTCTGCAAAACCGTTTCAGATACGGGGGTCAAAGCCCTGAGGCTGTAAGATGAGTCCTAACTCAAGAAGGGGGGGTTATAAATAGATCTATAAGGTCGCGGTGATGTAACTTCCATCTCCCATACAGTCTACATCTACATCTTAGAAGTTAGAAGAAAAATGTATATGTATATAAAAAAAGTTTATTATTTTATTTACAATACATATATACCAATTATAATACAATCACTAAATATATAGACTAGATTAGGGTAAATTTTAATTTAAAAAATTATTAACAGTTATTAAAAGTTATATAGACTCAAAAACTTAGTCACTTAGCGTGTTTAACATAGGTATAATTAAACACAATATGTGGGAAAAATTTTAATATAATATAATTTCCGATATTTTCATTCTTGGCAAATGTCTGAATTTTAGTTATTTTTATTTAAAATCCGGTACATTCCAAAGTAATACATTGAATTTTGACTGAAGCCTGTTCCACACAAATCAGTTAAGATTTATTTCTACAGACGACATCCAAAAAATGACAGAAAATACTATCACAGATTATACAGATTATAATCTTTGTTCTTTCTTTATTGTTTTTCGTGGTTCCAATTTTCGGAATCGGGCACTAGTTAGGTGACTAGTTTGCGCACGTAGCACGCCCACTTATGGCCTCTAAAATTGTGCACAGCGCCTGACCGGCACAGTTATTAGAGAGATATCGGAAAACCGAATAGCGTCATCCAGTATTTACGCGTACCTTATCATGGTTACGATATGCGCGAGTCAACGCAACACCCGCTAATAACGTTACCGCCTGACGTAATTTGCGGGTCAATTACACCAAGCGCTCTTTCTAAATAACCTCTGATAACGTTTAAAAATTGCTTAAATGGGCATGTGCGGGTATTTGACAACCGGAGCCGGCCGGCGAGATCTTTTATTTTAGGTTGAATTGTTTTGAATTATTTCTTTAGTTTTATTAGGTAATTTGATATTTAAGTTATATATTATATTTAAGAATTAGTTTTAATTAAATAAATATGGCCCAAAATATGGATTCCACCTCTTCCAATACTAAAGAACCTATAAAGAGTCTTAGGTTTACAGCAGATGACGACTTAAGCTTGATTTTTATGCGTCCGTTATCCGTTGATACGATGGTCCGATATTAATTTTATTGGTTGACTTTAAAGACTTCAATTGGTTAGAAACGGTTATCCAATCGAAGTCTTTAAATTCAACCAATAAAATTAATATCGTATCGTCGGAAAACGGATGCATGAAAATCAAGCTTTAGCCCTTCTAAGAGAATTTGTTGCTTGTTGTCCTAAACCCATTGGCAGACGTTGAACAAGAAAGCACTGGAAATAAGCACTTTAGCCCTTTAGTTTTAAAATACCTAGTAAAGAAAACAATTTCAAAGTTTTAAATTCAAAGTTAGGTTAAGTTTAAATAGCGGACGCGACGCGATCAGAATTCTTTCCGATCCGATAACTATAAATGAAGAGAGTTAATACCACCTCACGTAAAGGAAATAACACCTGGCCTTATTAACGTCCTTGCACGCTATTCGGTTTAGCGATATCTCTCTATTACGCTGTTTATTGTTATTTTACGCGAGTTTATTTTTGCGCATAGAAAATTTGACTCGTTTGCACATCGTCATAAAAAACAATTTTCGTATCACGAATTAGGGACAAGATTTTTATCTGTATACTTATAGGATACCTAATCTGTGATACTATTTACCTTTGAATGAAAATGACATACAACAGTTGTCACTGTTCTGTATGCTCTCTTTGGACAGACTTTAGCAATTTTCTAGGCTTTTATATGGATGTTTATTTATTTTCTCTATTTGTGCCAATATCTTGAACATTCAGTTTAAATTAACTAATAAATTAATTTTTGTGACTTCCATTGTCGTTGATATTGTAAATTAGTCGATTAAATAACATACAGGATGGTCCCCCTTGTATTCTGGAAATTTCTGTAGAATATTCTGCAGATAATAAATAAGTAGAAGAGTTCGTATATTCGATACAAGATGAAGAAGTTCTATTTTTATTCCGATTTTTTCCCATTAATTTCTGAACTCACTGGCTTTCTGTGTCTGGGTGTTTTTTGACATGAAAAATTCGATGTCAATATGACTCTTACTTCTTCCCCTAGGAGATGCAAGACCTTGTCGTTGGTGGGGAAGCTCCTGGTCAGGTGCTGGGGGGAATCCCCTCTAACACTTGGCTTGGTCTAAGAAGCATCTCACTCATCGTCTTGTCCCTGACTGTAGTGTCGTGGCCAGGGAATTGCACCAAGACATATAACGATACCGGGCGGGGCTACGGACAGCCTCAATCTTGGGGCACCGGGGGGCACCCCATTGTATTTTACCCCTTACTTCTACATGCGGGGCTCTGTAGAAGTGGACCGACTGTCCTTAGCGACTCATAGAAACACTATGAGATCTGGTAATAGTAGTAATAAAAACATCACCGGTGAAGCTGTGGGGAAACCCCCTAGCGACACTGGGAACAGTAACAATGGAAGTTCCAAGGGGCCAAACCCAAAGAGAACTACAGGAGAGGCGGCTGACACTTGCGTGAGACCATCCTCCGCAAGTGGCATACAAGCTACCACCTCCTCCAAGGTTCGGGAGCCTACCTCCTACCTCTAAACCCAACAGGCGACACAAGCTACCGTTTCGTCTACCCGTCCTGGGTCGTAGCTCCTCGACTGTGAGGGACACGGGTCTCCGTAGGAAGTCCTGGGACTGTATGATGAGTTATAACTCAAGAAAGGGGGACACAATAGATCTCTAAGGTCGCAGAGATTAACCCCCGTCCCACTTATTCTAATTCTAATGACTCTTACTTGTAGGGGGAGCCACCTACATATTTTTAACTGGTTTGAAGTGTAATAACTTTTTATGAGCATCTGTATAAAACTACTGAGTGGCAGAATATACATTTTCGCCGTTCAATACGTAAAAAATGTCTCTTGTTAAAAATCGCTACGAGCAGAGATGGGGAAACACCCAGTATATTGAAATTTGAATTGAATATTGAGATATATACCCGATAGGTAAATACAGGGTACATTGAATTTGGGTAAATATTATATACCCGGTATAGCATAGATCTGTAAGGTCGCAGTGATTAACCCCCCCCCCCCACTCATTCTAATTCTAATATACCCGGTATGTACCCAGTAGTATATTTATTTTGTTAATTTAACGTACTATAACAAATTTTAACAACAATTGACACAAAGACTGCACAATAACACAATAGCCTTATTTGTTTCGAAAATACAGCACAACGCAGACAGTTCAAAGGGGTTCCCCGACGAAATATACCCTCAATAGGTATATACCAACCGCCCATCACTGTCTACGAATAACTGTTCTCGAGATACCTATTTGGAATGTAAATTATCAATACATGTCATTATTGACAAAAAATAAATATGTTGGCTAGATAGTTATTTGACTGAAATGATAAATTTAGGAACTTATTATTTCTTTTAATTAGTTATAATTTATTCTGTAGTTTTAATTTATTCTGGAAGAAATTATGATGAAACTTGTGTTGAATCTTTGGCACATAAACATACCAAATTTATGATTTCAGTCTAGTAACATCAGATCAACATGTTCAATTTTTGTCAATAATGACATGTATTGATTATTTCGATTCCAAATATCTCGAGAACCATTACTCATAGCGATGTTTACCTAAAAACCTTTTTTTACATAAAATACCGTGGAAACATATTTTTTCACTCGGTAGTTTTATACAGGTACGGACGAAAAGTTATTACTCTTCAAACCAGTTAAAAAATATGCATGTAGCGCCCCCTACAACTAGGAGTCATACTGACATCTAAATCAAATTTATCATTTTAAAAACACACCCAGACACCCATTTTCATTTTACATTAACATTAGTTCAGAAATTATTTGGAAAAAAAAATCGAAATAACAATGAAACTTCTACACTCTGTATCTCCGAAACCAAGAATTTTAGGACATACATTTATAGGAACATTTTTACTTATTTTTTTCCGAATAAAATTCGTACCACCCTGTATAACTCTATATAAAGTAAGTAGAAAATGCATTATATACAGAGTGAGCTCAAGAAGGGCCTGCAGTTAAGTCACACGATTTTACCGAAATACTATCTAAGCTATCTGAAGCCATATCGACTGACTCAGGTGGGTATAACTCTTTGTATTCATTTTCCTGTATATCCCGAACATTATCAGGTAAATAGTCCTTCCATGATCTGAATAAGTATCTCGTAAATTTTCTTAACTGTCTAAATTTACAATATGTCGCACCCTCAGCTGATTCTAACTGTTGAGTTTGAATCAAAAAACCCTTTTCCTTAAAAGTTTGTTCTAGTTTTTCCCTCTGTAGAGATTTTTTAGATTTCCTTTTTTTATTCCTTAAAGCCGAGGCACTGTTGCCAGATGTTTCCTGTTGAATAGCCGTCAAAGCAGTACTGGGCAGTTCGGTAGTGAGCAAAAAATCGGTGTTTGAGCAGGCTCCAGATCCAGAAGTACTATCCAAGGGGGACAGTGGATACATTTTTTCGCCGCTGGCTTGGAGGAAGGCACCCGTACTGGAACCTTGAGTACTGCTGATCTGCTGTTGAAGTGTTTCCCTGGGAAAGAATTCGTAGCCTCTCATACTTTTATCGCCAGTACCACTGTAGTACCTAAAACAAAAAAATAAATATACAGGGTGGCGCCTTTCATACGACGCGGAGGCTCCAAGGAGGACGATGGTTTGTATTTAATTAAGTAGGTTAATTTAGAGCATTTTTTAAAAATATATAGAGTTCTACAGGGTGTCCCTCAAAAAAGTTACACATCAAAGTTGTGTTTTTTGCAACGGAACGCCCTATATATTAATTGATTTTGTATTTTAAAAAACTTTGGTACGACCGAAATCGGGGATGGAGAACTAACCTCTGTAAAACCGTCTCAGATACAGGCTTTTGTCAAAGCACTGAGACTGTGTAATGAGTTATAACTCAAGAAAGGAGGGTACAATAGATCTATAAGGACGCGGTGATTAATTTCTACTAACTACTACGAGATATCTAGATAATAATTAAGAGAGAGTTAGAAAATAGTCAAGAGAGTGAGTTAGAGAATAGTGAAGAAAGACAGTTAGAGAATAATCATGAGAGAGTTTGAGAATAGTGAAGAAAGACAGTTAGAGAATAGTCATGAGAGAGTTTGAGAATAGTCGAGAGAAAAAGGCAATGGTCAAGAGGCAGTAAGAGAATAGTCAAAAAAGGGGAGATAGCGTTAGAGAATAGTCAAGGGAGAGTTAGAGAATACGAGAGAGCTAGATAATAGTCAATAGAAGAGAGGGAGAGAGCGTTAGAGAGGCTTAGCGAATATTTAAGAGGAAAAGAGAGTTAGAGAATAGTGGCATATTATTTTTGGGGATACCCTGTAGAACTCTATATATTTTTAAAAATGCCCTATACTAATCTATATATGCTCAAAAAAATCATTCCAGTACAAACTGTTGTTCTCCTTGGAGTCTGCGCATCGAAAGAGTTAGATAATGGTTATGAGAGAGTTAGAGAACACAAGAGAGATTTAGAGAATAGTTAAAAGAGAGTTAGAAGTATAGTCAATAGAAGAGAGATAGCCTTAGAGAGAGTTAGAGAATGGTGAAAAAAGAGTTAGAGAATAGTCAAGATACGAAAATAAACTAAAATTCGCTCACCTGAAATTGCCTCCCGAATCAACAGACAGCATCTTCTTCTCTTGCAAGCTGGGTTTAGCGCCTCCAGTAAACTTAAACTTGCATATACTGACTTCTGTTGCGGGATTGGTCGAATTCTCCATCGGAATCGGCGGTATAAAAATGGCAGAACGTTTTCTTTTGGCCGGAGAGGTTTTGTCCGTAAAATTTAGGCTAGCGTTTCTTTTAGGTTTATGTAGACTACTACTGTCAGCTACCTTATTGATTTGTTTTGGCAGTTTGGGAACTATCTTTCTTAGTTGGTCCGATGGTTCTTCTATCTCAATCTCGTTAGGATTAGGACCAGGTCTGGGGCTAGTACTCGGAATAGGACAGTTCATGTTCTTCGCTAGACGCTGGTACATCATCAGTTGCTGCTGAAGCGCTAGTGGATGGATGAAGACACCAGCGTTGGGCCAATACATATAGCTGAAAATATCAAATACTTATACCGGGTGTTTCTCACTTACGTTAGGAAAAACAATAACGCATAAAATTTGGCAAAAAGAGCGGCATTTTTGTTTCTTAAAAAAGTATACCGTTGGGTAGCGGTATACTTTATATATTTAGCAACAACCGCCGTAGTTGAAAAAATTATTTCGTTTTTAGCGGTATTTCTGTTTTTCTTTAAATATATACCGCCGAACGGCGGTATTTCTTTCGTCGAATTGTCTATACCGCCGGCGGAAACATGCTAGGTGAGACCCGTGCGGGTTAGTGTGCGTGTACCTTTATAGTTACCTTAGAATAAAATTATGATAGTACTTACCCACCAGGTTCACTTGTTCCTTCTGGGGTTAGCGGTATATCGGGACTTGAAGTGGAAGTACTATGTGGCGTGGTTGGTGGAAACTTCAAATCATTTCTGAGCTTTGGTGATGGAGTTTCATTAATTATTTCAATATCACTATCGGACTGGGCTTCTAATTTCAGTTCCGTACCAGGTTTTTCGTTACTATCCATTAATCCTATTTTAAGATGGTTTAAATCACGAATACATAAATTTAATGGTTCATTTTGATCTTCTTTGGGTTCACTCTAAAATAAAATTGGAATCTGGATAAAATTTAATAATTGTACCTATAAGTGATGGGCATTACGATTCTTTTTAGTGGCGCCTTGATTAAAAATTATTGTTTTTAACACAGCTATGGCACTCTAGATTGAAATTTAAAATACAATTTTTTAAGCGAAGAGAATGACAAAAGTTGACTATGATATGTGATTCTATTCGGAGTGTTATTTTCTATTAAACAAAGTAAAAAAAAAATACTGAGGGTGCTATTTAAAAATCAAAAGTTGTAGTCATTTTCGGTGAAATAGGAAGTGACCGAAAACATTTGAATACATCGTAATTTAATCGTTATTTAGGTCATATACCAAATCTCGTTTTTTATATGAAAGTTATAGGTGTAAAATAAAAAAGTTATAGCCACTTTTGAGACGCACCTGGTATACTTTTTATTTATATATTAATATCTCTGAAATTATCGAAATGTATTTACTCATATGGATTATGTAAAGTGATCTGAAAGGAAGCCAAAAATGCAATAATATACAGGGTGTTTCCGTATTAAAAAATCATCCCGATCCACTCACACTTTTTTGAGTCACCCTATAGAATTTAAATATTTTCCTGAATTACATCCTCATACATTCTCTACAGTTTTTTTATTCTATGAGCTACAGATGCCCGACGCATTATTGGCGGACCCTGTATAATTCAAATATTAATTTTTTAAACGAACCGTATTTTAAGCAATGAATCAATTCTCACGATTCTTTGAACGAACGAGCCGTAGAAACAAACGAGTCGCATTCTGATCCGATTCAATTTCGTTCAAATTTTATGGATCCGTACTGGCCACGATTCAGTTGAACGAATCGTATTCTAGGCGTTGCGTTGAGTCGAATCTCGCGAATGATTTTTAATACTCGTTTAAGTGAACGACTCATTCAATCGTTGCCCACCTCTTTTAGTAACATACCGTGTAGTTTTTACTCTCTTGAGTCAGTCTTTTTTCCAGTAAGCTACTTATAATTTTACTCTGCACGTCATTTCGGTTAACCAGGTCAAAATCACTTTCCATAGTGACATTTTGTTTTTTAAAATTTTGGTTACTGTCTTTTTCTAAGTAGATATTGGCATTGGGTGTTCCAGGGAAAATTGTTCCGTAATTTTTGTAAATCAGATGACAAATGTCAGCTTTTTTTGGTTTTCTGCCTCTCCGTGGTTTGGAATTATCCAAAGTTATTTCCCCCATATAAGGCAAGTCTTGATACTTCACTATTCTGGTACTATTAATTTGTTGTTGAACAGTACTACTAGTTGTTTTTTTGGTTGTGTGTATTTCGTTGATTTTTTGAAGCCAGTTTTTCACCGATTCGTTCGGGCTTTCTTCGGGTATTCCCGGGAACTCTCGGGCCGTCGTCGGAGGGAGTTTGCATGACGTCACTGGGTTTTCTTCTTTGGAAGTTTTCGAAGAATTCTTGGATTCAACCTCAACTTTTTCAATATCATCTTCTAGATTGATGTTACTGATCATCGGTGAACTAGGTGGCCTAAAATGATGTAAAATTAATTAAGCACTTCGAGTAGAGACTTTAAAAATATACAGGGTGTCCCAATACAAGGGTGTTGGGACCCCTATAACTTTCTTATTTTTTTCAGATAAAAAAACAAACGATGACATATTCTTTCAATTTCAATCTAGGGAGACTAATTTTTAATCAAGGAGCCTTGGAAACATAGATTTGATCGTCTAATGTTTTTCGTGTCTTTTCCTGGCTGGTAAAAAGATGACCAAATCATATTTGTCATCTTAACTCGATTTTTTCAAATGGAACGAGTGTGGCTTATTTGGAAAAGGCATTTTTTAACGAATAGGTCAAATTATCGTTATATTTATGACTCTGGCAGTCTAGATTGACATTTAAAATACAATTTTTTTAAGAGAAAATGTCAAAACATGACATGTCATTCTATGAAAAAATACCGAATGTGTCATTTAAAAATAAAAAGTGGTAGTAATTTCCGGTGAAACAGGAAGTGACCGAAAAGAATTGAATACGTCAAGCAATCTTCATTTATGTCGTATACTAACATACCAAATCTCGTTATTTTATCTGAAGAAATAAAAAAGTTATAGGGTTTTGCCATTTTTGAGAAATACCCGGTATATATTTTTGTGTTTCTTCTTGAAATACATTGAAAACACCGATCATCTGAAAAACAGGCTGAGCCGCTCCGCGCCGTGCAAATAATTTTTTTTTAATATATACTTTTGTGCGCGCTAAAAAAATATGCTTCAAAAGTACACGTTAAAAAAATGTCTTGCGCGGAGCGGCGCGGCGCAGCCGGTGTGAACGCACCTTTATATGGGACACTATATGATTGACTTTAAAGTGTATTTAGAATTAATTAATACAGATAACATAGTATTTATGTTATATGCGAGCTATTAAACTAAAAGAAAATCTATTTTCATAAGATCATAAAATGCGATACTTACTCTGCTTTTGGTGTTGAATTTTTCAGTAATTTCTCGGGGATTGTCATGGAACTTGGTTCGGAATACGTCATTTTCTCCGGCAAAGGCAACGTTGGACAAAAAATGGGTTTGTCAAGTTCGTCCGATTGCATTGTAATTAATACTGCAAAAATGATCAATAAATTATTAATCTAAAATTGAAAATAAATTTATTTATTAATGAACATTAATATTAGTGAAAATCCCCATAAACTCGATCAAAAAAAATTCCAGAAAATATATATTATAATACACCGAGGTCTAAGAAAAATACACTGAAAATAATTATACAGGGTGGTGCCTCTCATAGAAGCGGAGACTCCAAGAAGAACGACACTTTGGATTGAAAAGAAATTTTCGTTTGAAAAAGTGTTCAAAAAAGTTATAGAAGTTGTGTTTTTTGTAATGGAACACCCTATATATTAATTGATTTCCTGATTCTAATAGAAAAATATAGGCGAGTTTCATTAGAGAAGCATAATATGGCTAAAATGTAAAGTTTTTGATATTTTATGCAGCGAATAGGAAAGGAAACATATTGGGCATTTTATTTCATCTAGGTATTTTTGTAATTATACGCTTATATCTATTTTTAATTATGTAATAATTAAAATGTTTTAAATATGTATCTTTTTAGTACCCTTCAGTATTTTACTCTACATCCTTTAATTTTTGTTAAATTATCAAAAGGTATATCACAGCCACCTAGATTTTATTAAATAATAAGATCTACTGAGGCAAAATCATAAAAAAAATATCTAGGAAAATCTTTGTCTGAAGGGTAAGCAACATTAATAGTATTTTAAAGATATATGAATTCTCCATTGGATACCGGTATAATATACTGGGTGTTCCATTTAAAATAAAAGAGTAACTTGCTTTTAACAGTGGCCAATGTTCAGTATTAATTTCGTCTCACCCTGTATAACTTTTTGGGACAAATTTTAATTTGGTTTAAGATACAATGGTTATTGTAATTAAATATCAGACTATACAGGGTAAATTACAATTTAAGTAGCTGTTATTGAAATTTAAAATTTATTCTACATTTTCACAAAATGTGAAATAAGTATGTCAAAATCCTTACATTTTAGGCATATGCTTCGTTAATAAAACTCACCTTTATTTTTTTCCTATAATCCGAAAATCAATTAATATATAGGGTGTTCCATTATAAAAAAACAAACTTTGATGCGTAACTTTTTTGGAGGACACCCTATAGAACTCTATATATTTTTATAAATTGCTTTCAATTAACCTACATATGCTTCCAAAATTTCATTTCGATATAAACTCCCTTTCTTCTTGGAGCCTCCGCGTCGTTTGAGAGGCGCCACCCTGTATATTAAATGGAATTCAGTTAGGTAACTTACTATCAAGCATATTTAACTCGTTCTAACTATTACAGAGATATCACAGCACAGACCAATCATCTCAAATAGGAAGTTTACGGAAGTTTCCTTAGTTAAGGAACTAAAGAATTCTTCTACGTTATAAAATGCCCAAAAAACTCACTATAACTCGAAAACCCCGCGTTTTAAGTAAGTTTTTCCTACTTAAGGAACTAAAGAACCGTTCTATGCTAAGAAAAATCGTCCAAAAACTCGCTATAACCCGAAAATCCCGCTGCTACTGGCCATAGAAGGCCGTTATTGGTGTCGCGGACGGCGTTATTTTTGGCGTCGGGACGCTCTGCCTCTCCCGGCGTCCCGCGATTTATTCTTAATTTGGCCGTCGTGTAACCCGAGATTGAACCGTATTTGGGCTTAGAGGCGATCGGTTTACAATTATTATTAAACCGAGCTGGCCATCTTGAGTTGCCAGTTCGGTGTTTTGCAACGGACTTATATATTTTTAGTATTCGCTGATTTCCTGATTGTTATGTTGCATCGAAAATTCCTACTAATGCTAAGATAATATACATAAACTAATATCACAAATGTTATACACATGTCATACAATTTTTTTTTAATTTTTATCCTCTAATTTTTTTATTTTTTTTATCTTTAGTCTCAAGTTATATAAAGTTATGTAAATTATATAAGAGCAAATTTTTTTCTAAAAGTTTGAAGAGTTTTACAGAAATTAAAGATAAAAAACTGCATTATATACAGGGTGAGTCTTAAATAAGTGCAAATATTTTTAGGGGTACTATATTTCAACCCCAGAAACACGTATATGAAGTTTTTTTTGCAAAATGAAAAATTTTCGGGTTTTTTTAGTTTTTAGTTAAAAATAATAAATTTCTTGATAATATGGCAGTATACGTAGTAGATTAAATTTGCATGAAAGAAAACCCAAAAAAGATTCAGTGATTCTCAAAATTTATTCAAAAAATTATTTTTTTTTTAATTTTCAAAGTAAAATAACTCAGTTATTTTGGACTTGCTTGAAAAACGGCAAAGAGAAAATATGTTTCTTTTATCGAAATCTACCAGCCCTGAAAATATTTGCAGGTATTTAAGACTCGCCCTGTATAACTTTTTAACATACCTACATCAACGTAGTTTAAACGAGTATTATTATTATTTTATTTCATTTCATTTAACCAGATAATTTTGTTTTCCATCGTGTTATCTTAATAAACCGCACTAAAAATGAATTTGTGCGAGTGAGTTTATTGAGTGAGTTAATTGATATTTTTGATGCACTAGTGCAATAATTCTACATGTCGAAACTAGCGTGGAATGGCCAATAACCAAAATTTGACGTCAATTATATTACTCGATTATTTTGATTTTGATTACCCAATTTAATCTAGTCGCCTATGTTAAAAAATAAAATAATGCATTTGTTACCTTTATTTGTGAAAATAAGTATACCGGGGGCATCTCAAAAGTTTTGGTATGTTAGTATATGGCATAAATTAGGATTGACTGACTTATTCAGTTGTTTTCGGCCACTTCCTGTTTTACCGGAAATAACTACAACTTTTGATTTTTAAATGGTACCCTCTGTATTTTGTTACTTTATTGGATAGAAAATGACACTCTGAATAGAACGACATATCATATGTCAACTTTTGACATTTTCGAAAATGGTTTATTTCAAATTGCAAAATGCGATTCATAATGACAATTTGACTCGAAATACCAAGTGTGTGGTACCAAATTATTCGTAAAAAAGTGCTTTTGCCAGATATGCTAAGGAGCCACCCTCGTTCCGTTTGAAAAAAAATGAGATATGATTAAAAATACTATTTTGGCATCTTTTAACCCGCCAGGACAAGACACAAATAAAATTAGACGATCAAATCTATTTTTCCAAGGCTCATTGATTAAAAATTAGTGTTTTTAACATAGCCTCTAGATTGAAATTGAAAATTCAATTTTGTTTTAAGCAAAAATGTGAAAAGTTGACATATGATATGTCATTCTATTCAGAATATAATTTTCTATCGAATGAAGTAAAAAATACCGAGGGTGCCATTTAAAAATCATTGTTGTAGTCATTTCCAGAGAAACAGGAAGTGACCAAAAAGAATTGAATTCGTAAATCAATCCTAATTTATGTCATATATCAAATACATTATGACACACTTAATCTCGTTTTTTTATCTGAAAAAAAAATAAAAAAGTTATAGGGGTGAGCCACTTTTGAGACGCACCCTTTAGAGTGTATTATATTCTTACAAAGGTCATAATAAGGCAATTAAAATAAAGAACTAATATATATAGGGCGTTCTCTTACAAACATAAATTTGAATAACTAAATAAATCACGATATCTCCAAAATTATACGCTCGCTTGATGTGAAGCGACCGTATAGTTAAAGCGATTAAGGGACACCCTGTATACCAACATTGCAAAGGTATAGAGAAATATATCCTTCCAAATGTTTTATGCGCAAAAAAAGGCAAGTATCAACCAGTATTAGTATTATAAAAATTATGATTACCTATATGGTACTTACTTTAAAAAACTGTTTTCGTAATCCATGGTAAAATTAATTTGATGTCTGTCAAGTCATTCCTGTAAGCACAAAAACAAATTCACTATCATCACAATAATAACTATTAACCATACGTTTGTCACCAGTATTACACCATTTTTACTCCCGTATTACACTTTAAACAGATTAGAAAAATAATACTTAAAATTCTTAAATTAATTATAAAATTAATCTTTGCAAAAAATAACAAAAATGCTCTTTATATGATAAAATAACGAGTTTGAATAATAAGTTTACAAAAAATACTTATTGATCTAGTTCGAAAATTATTTTGTTAGATTCTTTTTTGGTTTGCGACTGTAAAAACAAGAATATACGAAAGGCATGCTTCAATTTACTGTATTAATGACATAAATAGATTGAAAATGTGTAGGTTTTCATTCAGGGCGGGCTATAGAAGGACGAGAGTAAATCGGTCTGGACGTTCAAATATGTATTTGCATGTCGCGCGTTTTTCTCAGAGATGCGAATCTCTGAAATAACTACACTCGCCGCACAGTGGAGTATTTTTCATATCTACGAAATAATAATTAGGAAATCAACCCTTATAGATTACTTTAATTTAACTGAATCTTTGTTGGTATGGTTATGACAGTAAAATCTTATCTATCTTATTTCTTATTTATTTTTAATTCGTAGTCAGCGCCCAAATATGTCAATACAAGTCACAGAATCATACCAACAATCTGTTTATAGAATTTGTTATCAAAAGTGCCGTAGTAATATTAATATGATATACAGGGTGGTCCGATTTGTATTCCGGAAACTTCGGTAGCATATTCTGCAGATAAAAATAAGTAAAAAAATTCGTATATATGTATGTCCTAAAGTACTTAGTTTTGGAGATGTACAGGGTGTAGAAGTTTTATTTTTATTTCGATTTTTTCTAAATAGTTTCTGAAGTAACGTCAATATTTGGATGAAAATTGGTTTCTGGGAGTTTTGTGACACGGGAAATTTGATTTTGATGTCAAAATGACTCCTATTTGTAGGGGGCGCCACCTACATGTGTTTTAACTGTTTTGAAGAGTAATAACTTTTTGTCCGTACCTGTATAAAACTATTGAATAAAAAAATATACATTTCCATGACTTTTTACGTAAAAAATGTCTCTTGGTAAAAATTGCTACGAGCAACCGTTCTCAAGATATTTAGAATGGAAATAGTCAATACATGTCATTATTGACAAAAAATAAGCACGTTGAGAGTATAGTTATTTAACTTACTTTATTTATTACTTTATTTAACTGAAATAAATACGTTTTTTTTTAATTAATCATAAATTTTTCTGCGAAAAAATGATGATTAAACTGTTTCTGTTGAACTTTTGGCACAAAAATATTTCAAATTTATGTTTCATTCTAATAACTATTTAGTTAACATCTTCAGTTTATGTCAATGATGACAGGTATTGATAATTTCAGTTCCAAATATCTCGAGAATCATTACTCGTAGCGATTTTTACCAAGATGCCTTTTTTATGTAAAAAAAGTTGTAAATGTATATTTTTTACTCAGTAGTTTTATACAGGTATGGACGAAAAGTTATTACTCTTCAAACCAGTTAAAACATATGTAGGTGGCGCCCTCTACAAGAAGGAGTGATATTGACATGACACCAATTTTCATCCAAATATTGACGTTAGTTCATAAATTATTTGGAACAAATTGAAATAAAAATGAAACTTCTACACTCTGTATCTCAGAAACTAAGCATTTTAGGACATACATTTATACGAACTTTTACATTTATTTTAATCTGCAGAATATGCTGCCGAAGTTTCCGGAATACAGTTCGGACCACCCTGTATATTTGAAGTACTTGGACGTCTTTGTAAAGATGTATTTTAGCATAAACTTATTTGTAGTTTTGACCTTTTTTCCTGTTAAATATAACTTGTACTATATTGACATTCTGATTGGGCGATTTTTAATTTCCTTTTCAAAACTGTAGTAGCTAAAAACTGATATTCGACCGGATTCGGGTTGACTTAATTTTTTTCTTATTAAACAGTCACTCTGCATTATTTTCCATTAGAATTCAACTGCCGGTAGCTAATATACAGGGACTTTTCAGGTGCCATGTCTTTATGAAAGAAATCTTTTCAAGTCTGGTGTCACGAAAAGAACGTCAAAGCGAAAAACTTGGCTGTCTTTCAGTATGTTGTTAAAAAATTAAATATAGAAGATCCTGATGAATACACATATACTGAAATTATCAAAAAAAATTACAGGTAAATTAAATGAAAAGTGGCATATCTGCCATCACACTTTAAAAGTGTTCGTTGCGCGCTTTCATCATGTGGTTTGATGAAGAAATAGATATCCTTCCTAGTCAATGTGGTGCAAATATGGTTCCAGCAAATAATGTTGGTACAACAAAAAATTCTTTTAAAACAATATAGATATCAAGCAAGAATAATTTAAATATTTCTTATAGAGTTTGTCTAATTGACTTTGGTCTTAATATCTTGATATAGTATTCTTTGTTGAGGAAAATTCATAGCTGTAGACATTTTAATTTTACAAGAACTTTCAAATAATCATTAATATCAGATTTAATAGAATTAAAAGTTTTTTGTATTTTAATACCGTATGATAAAAAAAACGGCGCCAAACACGGCTGGGGAATGACAATCGATGATAATTTTGGCGCGATCAATCTCTTAGACGGCATTTACTAAAAATTGACATAAAACTTAACATTAATTATAGACAGATTAAAAAAGGATAGAACGGTTCCAGACACACAAATCTATTTCCAAAAGGAATTTTAAACTACACCATTTAAAATTCCAATTTTTATTCAATATAAAAAATACAGCCTTCAGAAGGCCAACTAGGAGATACGAGGTCCTGTCGTTAGTGCGGAAGCTCCTAGTGAGGTGCTAGGGGGAATCTCCTCTAGCAGTTTGCCTGGGTTTACGGAGAGTCTCACTGGTCTTGTCCCTCGTTGTAGTGTCGTGGCCAGGGAATTGCACCAAGACGTATAAACTATGCTGGATGGGACTACCCTGTGCGTGGTCCCAGACACCCTCTACTGTCTGTGGTCATGTATCACCGGCAAAGGGTGTGGAGGGGTCTTCGCTTAACCGCCTGGACCAAGAGGAGACAACCTCACCAAAAATCTAAATGCTACGATGGCGGGACCAGGCCAAGGGGATGCGTAACTAGATAGAAGACAAGCCTCTACTGGTCTCAATCTTGGGGCACCAGGGGGCAACCTATTGGATTCTCGTCTCCCTCTCTGTAGAAGTGGAACTAACACGACACTGTCTAAGTTATTTAGATTAATTAGAATCATAATGAATATTTATAATAATTTTGTTTAATTTTAACAGAAATAATGTAAAAACTTATTATTTTAATGTAAATAAATTATGATTGAAAGTGTGTTAAATATTCTTGCTCGGCGCTTATGATTCGAAAATATTGCGTGGATTCGTCAAATCCACGTGGGTGGATCAGACGAGTAGGTACTTCTATATCGAAGCAAGCCGTGTTTCTAACCGGGCGAGTTCTTTCAGTACTGCTGCGACAACGTACTGTCTCTCTTCTATACAGATCAATACAAGATTTCCACGCAAATTCTTCATTAAAATTAATAATATATACAGGGTGTCACAATATTCCGTGGACATAGAACTACTATGTATTTTTGGAATCGAAATGAGTTCATTGAACACAATTTACCTCTGTACAAAAGTGCTTTGTTGGTTCGCTAGGGGGCATCAAATTTTAAAAAAATAAACACATTTTTTAAGACATTTTAAGAACCGTTATTCCTATTTGAATGAGATTTTGGGTGACTATGTTTTTCTAAGAGCTTTAACATTTGCTTACATAAATTTTAGTGTAAATATTTTCCAACTCCACCGACGACAGATTTTCGTAAAATGGTCCTTCTAGTATTTACCTTTACTACATTTTTTGTCTTTTGTAAAAAACGCCACATCGCATAGTTTTTGATAAAAAATGTTTTGGATAATTTATTTTTCCAAAGCAGATCTATATGAAATATACAGGGAGTTCCAATATTCCGTGGACATAGAAGAACTACGTATTTTTTTAATCAAAATATGTTAATCCCACACAATTTATCTTTATACAAAAGTGCTTCGTTTGTCCGTTAGAGGGCACCATTAAAACATAAATTCGAACGTTAATTAATTTAAAATTTATTAATTTTTTTAACGCTTTTTATGAAGCTTATTGTCAAATAAAATTTATTCCAACTAAATGATTAGACTATAATTAATTTTATGCGCCTATGGAGGCCTTGATGTGTCAAAAAACATTTTTTGAAAATCAGCTACAGAATTTTTTTTTCTCAAAAAGTATGTAGGGTGGCGTTTTTTTATAAGTGACAAATAATGTAGTAAATACTAGAAGGACTATTTCACGAACAAAAAATCGGTCGTCGGTTGAGTTGGAAACTATTTATACTAAAATTGATGTAGGTGTGGGAGTAGTTTCCACCCTTCTCATATTTTTTCTTAATTATTGTGAAAGTCAAATGTTAGATCGCTTAGCAAAACATAGACGCCCAAAATTCCATTCAAATCGGAATAAACGGTTCTTAAATTATCTGAAAAAATGTGTTTATTTTTTAAATTTTGAGGCCCTCCACCGGACAAACGAAGCACTTTTGTATAGAGGTAAATTGTGTCCAATGAATTTATTTTGATTCCATAAACACATAGTAGTCCTATGTCCACGGAATATTGGGACACCCTGTATATTCCATTTTCTTATTTATTTATTTTTACTTACACCACGTTTCGATCAAATGTATGAGTCTCTGATTTCTCGATGCGTATATATACTCTTAATAATAATAATATAAGCAATAAGCAGTAATATCACAGGTAATATAGAGTATACTCATTTTTAAGCTTTAAGACAAAATAATCGACGGAAATACCGTTGTTTTTCCCGGGCCCTCTTGAAATTTGTTTTTTTAGACAGTGAGTTTATAAACATTTACAAACGTTTGGTGAAACTTATTTGCCAATTTTTCTTAAGTGTGTACGCGCTTTAAAACGCCTGCATATTTCCAACCCTGGCCTAACAATTTCAAATTTTAATTAAATTAATAAAATCCATTTAAAGGTGTACTAATTTAATTTGTAGGTATTAAATTGTTTAAAAGCAAACATATACCATGCACATATTTTCTTATTACCAAACCAAACATATCTTACAAAAAAATGTTTTAGTTGTTCAAGTAGGTATAACATTATTATTTATAGATATAAACAAATATTATACCATATAGTACCCTACCAGACCCTACTGAGACAATGTTGTGCTACTAAATAAAGGTAATATTAATATTGTATTACTAAAATAATTGTTATAATCAAGATAGTCAGTAAAAGTTCACAATAAAGTGCGATCTGTGAACAAATTATAATATAGTCAATTTGCCACATTTCTGTCAAATACCATTGGATCGAATAAAAAAACGGCATCAAAGACGGCTGGGAATGATAATCGATGATAATTTTGGCGAGGTCAAGCCCTAGACTTTATTACTTGGTCCGTACTCTTTATTTTTAATCGCGCTTACTACCAGTTGGCCTTAAGAAGGTTGTAATTTATTTTTATTTAATTAGAGTTCGTTTTTGACAAGTTTTATGTTATTTTTAATAAATGACGTCTAGAGATTGACCTCGCCAAAATTATCACCCGTTGTCATTCCCCAGCCGTCTTTCCCTCCTTTTTTTTTGCGATCATACGGTAATTCTGAGTCAAGGATATATAGAAGAAGGATATTCAACTCCCTATAGCGGGCTATGTTGGAAAATATGCCGTATTTTGTCGAGGAAGACGATTTCGTCACGACCAATGAGCGTCGAGTATTTGATATTGAAAACATATAAATTGACGGTAACCTATGTTTTTTGACTTATTTCACTGACAGATGTGATGAGATTATTATTGTAATTTATAGATCCAAACGTTTTTTGCAAAAATAATGTATTTTAAAGTTATTTCCTAGAGTTTGGTTTGGCCTTCTATATTCTGGTATTTGTCTACTAATAAATAATATCTCGTTTGCAATGGATATTAATAAATTCTAGCCAATTTGTACAATGTACAATGCAGGCAATATTTCTGCCTCCTAACGCACTATTCTCGTAAAAGAAGATGTGGGTATTGTATATTAGTGTATCTAATTAAAAGAACAATGAAAAGTTGAATACCATAGGGGTACGTATATTATACAAAGAATTTGCATCAACATTTTTTTGGTTATATACTTGTACTGATATTTGTTTCTTGAACTAAAGAATTATACAGTACCTACAGTATACACAATATATAATCTGCAGCTACATAGGTAGGTAGCTATTGGTAATTAAATTTTTTATCCAATATAATATCTAACATCAGAAATATTGTTAATTATCAACTATAAACAACTAAGAACTAGAATTATCAACTATAAACACAATATAATATACTGTATCTTAAGCAATATGTAATTATTTAACAATTAATTTTTTTGGGAAATAAAAACTGGTACTAAATTCTTTTTGACTATTTAATTTCTAAGTCACAAATAATGGTGGACAAATAGCAAGAAAATTATACAAGTAAAACATAATTTTAACTTATTTCTCTAATGGGATTTTGGTATTGATCTACTTAGTAGGATATGCAGTTATCAATCATATTTTTGAATATTTATATGCAATATTGTTCAGGAACAGCCCAATTACTCTGAAAAAAAATATATGGTCAAATTCTTTGAAAAGAAACTTTTAAAATCAGTAATGATAAAAAAATATATAATTGTTGTATAGCAGAACCAGGGGACACAGAATTAGGGGAATTAACAATAGATTATTAAAAACTGCCTTCTCTTAAAAAAGTAGTATTATATGCACTTAGAAAGACTATAAAGGATATAAGTATGCATAGAAAGAAAGTATCTATACTACTGATATATATAACTATATATGAATACGATACCTACAGTATACAATATTACTAGTATAAAAATAACAGCACAGTCGGCACACTTTAAAATAAAAAAGCAGCATAATATTCAGGTATGTATATAAGTAATATTTTCTCAAAAATATTAGAATATGAAATAAATTGCAACTAAATTTTAATTAATAAACATAAACAAATAAAATTGTCAGTGTTATTAAAACTTTATGCAAATATATGTTACCTTAATACTTTGTCTTTAATCCTACTCTTCTGACATGGCTTTTCAAACTTATCCCCAAATCTCAATTCTTGTTATTAAGAATAATATTTATGAACTTTTGTTTCCATATTAATTTCAATATATTTGAATAAAACTGGAAAAATAATCAATATTGGCACTTGAAATTTTAATTTCTTATGTCCTTAAATTATTTATATCGTGTTATACATAATACTTACATAAATATTCAATTTAAAAAATAGATCAGCACTTGAACGAGTGAATATAAAATAGTATATTATCAATTTCTATGAGCAATATCATTACTAAATCAAGGAAATCTATTCCTAATGCCAATTTAAATTCTGTGAAGGCACAACACTTTCTTCAATATTTGTTTACTTCCAAAGGGCAAAGGGTATAACTTGAAATATTTCAACCAATATTTCAAGTATATATTTTAATTTTTGACATTAAGCACTCACATTTAGAACATCTGAAATAAGAAATTTTGTTATTCTATGCGTCTAAAAAGATATAACATTTTTCTCACTATAGAGCGAAATTTCTTTGCGGCTTCAGATACAAAACTTGCGGATTTCCATACATCGAAATACAAAATAAGATATTATTTATTAGTAGACAAATACCAGAATATAGAAGGCCAAACCAAACCTCTAGGAAATAACTTTAAAATAAATTATTTATTCAAAAAACGTTTGGATTTTGGATCTATAAATTACAATAACAATCTCATCACATTTGTCAGTGAAATGAGATAATAATAAATTTTAACTAGATAACAACACAAACGAAAAAAAAAACAAAACAAACAGATGTCAATTAAAGAGGGGAAGTGACAGCGAGACCTGGAAGATGTCTGCCATCTTGCCGTCGACAAAAATTTGGATGCGCACTCGTCGAAGCTCATTCTCCCACTTCCATATCTCTGGTATAATCCTTAAATCTTAATTCTTATTCAACATGATTTTAGACTTTAGACCCATTTTTAATTTATTACGTATATTTTACACCACAACGTAAAAAAGGCTGTTCTGGTAACAGGACGTAAAGCTAATGAAGAAATACTTGACTAGTGATGAATATTAGCTTAAATTAAATTAACTTAGTATTTTTATTAAAAATATGTATCTACAGTCTACAGTATCTACAGTCTACAGTATCTACCTATTTGCATTAATATATCGATGTATTTTAAAACATCGATACATCTTTGCCGTCCCTACCCAGCAGCTTGGTTTGACAATCTTGACATTTTTGACAAGCGAAGGTCACCACTTGACACTGACCGCTGACAGTAATCAACAAATTTTTGTAGTTTAAAATTGACAATATCTTTAAATTAACATTTGTTGTTTGTGTTTCGGGTTCCACAAAGTGTTATTCTTTTTCCTGTTATGTTATTCTTTCATTATTGTATTTACTAGCACGTAGCTTGAACTAGACAAGGTATATTTTTGTAATACATACGTATTTATTTGCCGAACTATTTCTATTAACATTTAAATTTCGTAGGCCATGTCTTATAAATATTGTTGCTTCATAGCCAGACAGAAAATGGTCTTAAAATAAGGGAGATAAGCAGTACCTAAGGTACAGACAGCAGAATGACGAAGAAGTTTGAATTTGACTGGCATGTTCCGGTACCGGAACCACTGCTTACTGGATGTGTTGTGGATAGATGGACAGAGGAAAGAGATAATAGTGAGTTGGAATCAAAGTGTACGTTTAAAGTTGATGAATATGGTTTTTTCATATATTGGAAAAGTGAAGGAAAGGTAAGAATAGTCTATATAAACAGTTTATTTACATTTACATATTCGCTACCAACAAGGCACTATCTCTGATAGACTGCAGCACTGTTGGAAATATTAGCTCCCCTGTTAATTTTACAGTTAAGCCATATAAACCATAAATAGGTTTTTTAAAGGTCTGCATATGCTGAATACACATGCCAAATTTGAAGAATTTTGCCAAAAAAGTGTGAGTGGATTGGTATAATTTTTTTATAATATATACCATATATTTTGGTATAATGTTCTATATATTATTGCATTTCTTGCTTTCTTCTTAATCACTTTATATAGTCTTGAGACATAACTAAATTTGATTTTATAATTTCAGGGCTATAAATAATAAATGAAAAAAAAAGGATTTTCAGCCCTTTAAAAAAAATAATAAAAATATAACATGTGTCCTTGTCAAAACTATGCTAGGTACTTACTATAATTGGTCTGAATTCTTTTACTTTATTATAAACATGGTAATCTTAAATCATAAGGGGTGTTCAAAATTCTATGCCAAACTTTCTAAAATATAAACTAATTTTTCTTTGTTTTTTAAATGGAACACATTGTGTATTATTTTTTTGTTACATGAATAATTATGAATTGAACATTTTTTGTATTTAAAGTATTTAAAAATTTTTAGCTGTTTTGCAGATATTCGCGATAATCACAGCCACCTAGGTTTTATCAAATATTAAAATTATTATTATTTATAAAATAATAAATCTATTGACTCTATCATAGAGAAAACTAATTCCTTCTGTATATTTAGGATGGTGACGTTATTGAGCTGTGTCAAGTTAGCGATATAAGGGCAGGAGGGTTGCCTAAGGACACCAAATTACTATCCAGCTTAACCAAAAAACATGGAAATGATTTGGAAGATAAATCCTTAACTATTTGTAGCGGTACTGACTATATAAATATTAATTACCAACATATGGTCTGTCCCACTGCAGAAACAGCCAAGGTACAATTTTTTCTGAGGTTATACTAAAGTATATTCCCGGATTGTCTTTACAAGAGTAAACTACACTATTTTATTATTGCCATTTGAAGAAAAATGCATTCTTCATAAAAATTTTTTGCTTGCTCTAAAATAGTTTAACCCCGTTTATACTTTTCCAAATTTCCATACCGTTTTAGAGAAAATTAAAAAAAAAACATGAAAATATGATGGATTTTTTTCTCCAAAGTCCTAATAAATGGTAATATAATTTCGATTTCATTCTTTGATAGATGGTTATTATTAATTTTGATTAACATCATACTTTTTGCTGTTGTTAAAGTATCATTTTTTATTAATACGCTCTCTGTAGCATTGAACAAAAAATAAATTTTGTCGTTCTTTAACATTTTAAAACAGCAAAAAATATGACGTTAATTAAAATTCTATCAATAACAATCAATCAAAGAGTGAAAATGAAATTATATTACCATAGAAACGCGTTTTGATTTTTAGAAAATAATTATTATATTTTAATTTTTTTTTAATTTTCTCTAAGCATTTTAGAACAAGCAAAAAATTTTATGAAGAATGCATTTTTCTCGAAATGTTTTTCCTCTTGTAAAGACAATACAGGGACATACTGTATACTGTGTATATGATCGAAAAAAAAACGGCGTCAAAGACGGCTGGGAAATGACAATCGATGATAATTTTGGTGAGGTCAAGCACTAGACGTCATTTACTTAACCTGCACTCTTTATTTTTTAATGGCGCCTACTGTCAATTGGCCTTAAGAATATTGTATTTTATTTTTATATCGAGTAAAAATGATTTTTTGGAAATAGATTTGTGTTTTTGGAAACGTTCTATCTAACGGTTCTATCCCTTTTTAATCTTTCTATAATTAGTGTTAATTTTTGACAAGTTTTATGTCAATTTTTAGTAAATGACGCCTAGAGATTGACCTTGCCAACATTATCGTCGACTGCCATTTTCCAATCTCATTTTTCAAATTTTTAGCATGGTCATTTGGTTGGCAATAAATTTAAGAAATTCGTATATTTATTGATATATTTGTATATTATAAAAATTAAATAATATGAACAGGCAACTTGGCCCCAATTTAAACAACCTCGTATCCCTTACCATTTAAACACCCGGTATACAAGAATTAGACGTCAACGAATTGACATAATTTACTTTATCATCGGTACCACTCACTAATCCTAAAATTCTTTAACCATGTATTGCCAGCTACCTTTTTTTTGATATAACAATTAGTTAACTAACCACGAAACTAGTAGTTAACTAACTTGAACTATTTTTAAGGATTGGTTGGATGGCCTGAGAAAAATTACTCACAATGTTAAAGCTAACAATTTTTGCCCAATGACCTGTTTAAAAAAACAGTAAGTTTAAAAAATACATTTAAACATTTCTAGCATGTGGCCAGTGTTTAATAGGAAAAGAAATGGAAAAAGAGTATCAGCAAAACCCGCTAAAAATTGCGCCAAAAACTCGCGTGAATAATATATTTTACATAAAGAAGTCTTTGAAATTTCTTGGAGAAAATTAGCTCAGGTTTGTTTGTGGACTTCCAGTCTAGAACAGCTGAGAAGGTATATAGACAACAGCGGGTTTTGTTGATATTTCTTTCTTTGCTTTTGTTGCTGCTTATGTTTCGCTTATATGTGAATTCATTATATTTGAAGTACCATACTATCGAAAAAAAAACGGCGTCAAAGACGGCTGGGGAATGACAATCAATAATTTTTGTCAGGTCAAGCTCTAGACGTCATTTACTTGGCCCGTCTGTCATTTTTTTAATCTTTCTATAATTAGTGTTAATTTTTGACAAGTTTTATGTAAATTGTTAATAAATGACGCCTAGAGATTGACCTCGCCAAATATTATCATCGTCATTCCCCTGCGTTCTCTGACACCGGTTTTTATGATAATACGGGACTACATACCAGTAAAAAAAGTACAGTAAAAAAACAGTAAATATATAGTTCTGTTATAAGCTTAAAGCTACCTAGAGTTCTAAATTTGCGAAACCTCTAGAAATGCCTTAAGAACCTTGCAATTAGTGGAATAAATTAGTGGTTTCAATTACACTTTATACTTTTTAGTTTACGATCATTCACAATAATAATAATAATAATAATAATAATAATAGGAGACAGAAGTTACACACTGAGATGAATAAAACCTTCCCTCATTTGAAATTAACGCAGCAAAATGTATCAGATCGACTTAGGGCAATATACTCTAAGAAACTATTAGCGCAACAAGAAATAGATCAGATCAGAAGAGAAGTTGGACATATTTTAACCCAAATTCAAACTAATTTAGAAATTCGAGAAGATACATCCATAGACTTCACACATTCCTATCATAGAGACACCCCAGTTGCAATAAGAGAAGTAACCGAACCAGTGAGCACTACTGAGCGCGAGACATATGAATTGTTTCAGTTCAACTATAGTTTATTTCATAGTACTGATCCTTTAAGTAGACCTCTCATTCCGCAACTGAATTTCAAAAAGAACACTACAAAAATCCTGAATGATGTAAAGTTCATATTCCAAAATCACATTAAAGACATAGATGAAATAGAACAGTTCCATCTTGCGCTATATGCTGCTGCTGTCACTACAATTGAACTCAATTGCCAACAAGTGATGGAAAAGAATAAATCTCATAAGCAGCAATTGCAGAAAGAGCCGGCATGGAAAGTTAGACTAACAAAAACTATAGACGATCTTCGAAGACAGATAAGTACAATCACCGAATACTTAAATGGTAATACCAGTAATCGAATAGCCAGAAAATTGAAAATTATCTTGAAGCATACTCATATCAACCCAGAGGAACACGAAAAGACGCGCAAGTTAATTGTGGTTAGAGATGAGCTCAGCCAGAAATGCAAGGCTAAAGGTGCACGATTGCGTAGGTACAACAAAGCAACAAGGCGTAAAGAAGACAACTTTCAATACTCCAAATGTCCTAAGAAATTCTATCAGAAGCTAGAAAATCCGACAGATGATAGGAGGATGGATATTGAAATGGATTCATCACAGTTTTTCTCATTCTGGCGGGATACGTGGGCGACACCATCTAATTTCAAGACTGATACCGAATGGATGAATGTGGTAGAAAACTCGACACATGACATAAATGCGATGCCTCAAATACAATTCACTAAAGACGATATAGCGATATGCCTAAAATCCTTACGAAATTGGCGCGCACCAGGACCAGACGGTATTCAAAATTTCTGGTTAAAAACATTTGGCGGCAATGGTGAAGCCATTGCCAGGTGCTTCAATAAAATTATCGAGAACCCTAGTGCTCTTCCTACATTCCTTGCTAGTGGAAATACTTTCCTTTTTTACAAAAAAGGTGATAGGTCAAAACCTGAAAACTATAGACCTATCACGTGTTTATCATCGGTTTATAAACTACTTACAGCTGCAATAACTTGCAAAATATATGACCATTGCACGCTTAATAATATAATTGCATCCGAACAAAAAGGGTGCATCAAAAACTCATTAGGTAGTAAAGAACAGCTTACTATAGATGCAATATTGATCAAACATGCACAGGTGAAACGCCGGAATATCAATATGAGTTACATAGATTATAGCAAAGCATTCGATTCGGTACCGCATGACTGGCTGATTAAGGTTCTAGATATCTATAAAATTCACCCATCTATTAAAATGTTGCTAAATACTGCAATGAAAAAGTGGAATACACAGCTTTTTGCTAACAACACAAACTTAGGCCAAATTGACATCAAAAAGGGAATATTCCAAGGAGATTCACTGAGCCCACTGTGGTTTGTGTTATCCCTTAACCCGCTATCACTCCTACTTAACTCAACGACACATGGCTACAGACCAAACCCTAAGGAAAACAACAAAATTAGCCATCTTATGTTTATGGACGACATTAAATTATATGCAGAAACACCGGCCCATCTTCACCAACTAATTGACACAACCAAGACATTTAGTAATGATATTCAAATGAATTTTGGAATGGAGAAGTGCGCAACAATATATATTAATAAAGGTAAGTGGCAAAACGAAAACTTACCAATATCTGAAATCAAACCACTCAGTCAAACAGATACGTACAAATATTTGGGAGTGGCGCAAAACCGGTCGATAGATCACACTACGCTTAAGAAAGAATTTAAGGAAAAATACAGGAGCCGACTAACCAAGCTTTTAAACACGTATCTCAATTCGCGAAATCTTATATCAGCTGTTAATTCTTGGGCTGTGTCAACACTCACGTATTCCTTTGGGATATTGAGGTACTCAGATGCAGACCTGGATGAACTGGACCGACTTACACGCCGGCTGCTCAAAAAATTTAGATGCCACCATCCGCAATCTGCGTTGGAAAGATTATACTTAAAAAGAAAAGAAGGAGGTAGAGGTCTGCTGAATATTAAGTCATTGTGTAGATCACAGGAACAGAGTATGAAAGCATATTTTATAAAGTCAAATAGCAACCTTCATAAATTAATTGTTACGGCGGACAACAAATATACCCCACTAAATTTAAGCACAGATAATGGTGATATCCAACAAAAGAAAACGACAATGGTTGATGCCCAACATTCTTGGCGACAAAAAATTCTTCATGGCAAGTTTCCTGCCTCTCTCGATGATCCAAATATCGACAAAGAAAACTCCCTTACTTGGTTGAGAAAAGGAGTTCTGCACCCTGAAACTGAAGGATTTGTAATATCCATACAAGACCGTGTCATACGCACTAGAAACTATGAAAAACATATATTAAATAAAAATGTCCAGGATACCTGTCGAAAATGTGGAGCAGCTAATGAAACAATTGACCATGTCATAGCCGGATGTCCCTGTTTATCGGACACAGCTTACCTCGCAAGGCACAACCAGATCGCTAAAATCATACACAAAGAAATGGCTCTAAAATACCGCCTTATAGAACATCCACCTCCTTATTATCGCTACTCACCTGAACCGGTCTTGGAATCAGCTCATTTAGTGCTTTACTGGGATCGCCCGATCATAACAGATAGAACCATCGACTACAACAGACCAGACTTGGTACTAATAGATAAGGACAACAAGAAGGCACTAATAATAGATATAGCATGCCCCTTAACTCACAATTTACACAAAACTGAAGTAGAAAAAATACGAAAATATGAGAATTTGGCTGTCGAGCTGAAGCATGTATGGCAATTGAGCACAGTAGAAATAATACCAATTGTAATATCGGCATGCGGGGTTATGACTACTAACTTAAGGAAAAATATAGACCGGCTCGGATTGTGTAAAGAACTCAGCAGTCTGATGCAAAAAAGTGTACTCCTCCAAACCTGTGCAATAACGAGAAAATTTCTAAATGTTTAGCAGAATAAAATGAAGTTTTTCTCTGCCACATAGTAAATTGAACCAGCATTAGCTGAGAAAGCAAAACCAAAAAAAAAATAATAATAATAAGTAAGAACAGAAGAACTTATCCAAACAGAAATGCAACCAACCCAAACAACAACTCAATAAATAGAAATCATAGAAACTCCATCAACTATCACAGTGCCAAGACCACAAATAAAAACATCACTAAGCGCTGAAGGAATATACAACGAATTACAAGAAAATATAATTAAATGGACAGGAATCGATCCAATCAATCGGGCACCATTACCAAAACTTATATTTAAAAAACACACGAACAACATTATTAATACAGTCAATACCTTAATAAAAGAAGAAATAGAGAACACAATCACATTAGAAGACCTTCATCTTCTGGTATATGCATCCGCTACAACGGTGATAATACAAAATAAACAACTTAGAGACAACAAAAGAAACTGTAATAGAAAGCAACTGAAACCTACTTGGCTTATTAGGATAGAAAAGAGAATAGAGAATATAAGGAAAGATCTAGGTAGATTGACACAATATTGCAGGGGAAACTGATCAAAACAAGTCATAAAACAATTAAAGCACATTATCAATAAAAACAACAATGAAACACCAATAGAAGCATTAGATACATTAAAACAAAAGTTAGCTGTATACTCTACTAGACCAAAAAGATACACCGAATCTAACGAAAGAAGGAAACAAAACGCACAATTTAATGCAAGTCAAAAACTATTTTATACCAGCATGGCCAAACCAACACATAATCCAATATTACCTCCAAATGCAGAAGAAATCAAACAATTTTGGGAAAGTATATGGTCAAACCCAATAACTCATAACGAAAGTGCCCCGTGGATTGAAGAAGAACAAAATAAGTACAAACATATACAACAACAAGCAAATCCTACATTTACAATAGCAAGCAATTCTAATAGCAGATAAGCAGTACAAGCCGCTCAACTTAAACAAATATGATGCCGGTGGTGGTGCTGAGGAAAATAGATGCACAAATCCAAAACAAGAAAAGAAAGATACCTGGGCAGGTAAGGCACTTCACGGGACGCATTATGCCATAATGCAAAACTCACAAATAGATGTAGGATTATCATACAAGTGGTTGTCTGAAGGGTTTCTGTTAGCCATTCAGGACAGAGTCATAGCAACCAAAAATTATAGGAAATATATACTGAAAGAGAGAATGGATACAGACAAATGTCGAAAATGTCAGCAGTATCCAGAAACAATCGAGCATATAACGGGGGGTTGCAAAATACTAGCGGGAACAGATTACACTGATCGACATAACACGGTAGCAAAGATAATCCATCAAGAACTGGCACTCAAATACAGCTTAATGACAACAAGGTTGCAATATTATAAGTACACTCCCGAAAACGTAATGGAAAATGAAACACATAAACTGTACTGGGACAGAACAATCCATACAGATAAAACAATAATAAACAATAGGCCTGACATAACACTGATCAATAAAATAGATAAACAGACATTTATTATCGATATCGCTGTACCCAACGACAGCAATGTAACATCAAAAGAAAGAGAAAAAATTGTAAAATACACACCACTTGCTATAGAAATTCAGAAAATGTGGAAACAAAATAAAGTAACAATTATACCTATAGTTATATCAGTAATAGGTATAACTACAAAAGTATTCTCTCAACATATACAATCAATAGATCTACCCCCATACATTCACACTAACATGCAGAAAGCTGTAATCCTAAAAACTACAACTATAGTAAGAAAATTTATGCAATAGAGAGACATACGACTTGGTGTTAACCCGTCTATACTCTAAAACCACAATAGTGAGTAACTAGAAACATAATAAGTATCTTTATTGTAGGACTTGCCTAATATACAAAAACATTTACAATGTATACACATATGTACAGGGATATGTATGCCTAATATACAAAAACATTTACAATGTATACACATATGTACAGGGTGAGTCAACGATAGAGTAAAGTCCATTATCTCATTTGTTTCAAGGTTTACAAAAAAATATTAAATATAAAAGTTATAGGGACGGTTAAGATACACATTTTAAAATTATTATAGAGTATACAGGGTGCTTCAAAAAAGTGTGGCGAATATAACATGTTTTTTTAAATGCAACACCCTATTTTTTATTATATTTTTAGATTCTGCGTAAAATTCCATAACTTTTTTGTATATAATGTTATATATCTAAAATTAATAGTTTTTGTAATATTTAAATTTGTTTAAACAAATGTTAGATTGCAGTGTGATAAAAAATTGTCAATGATGGCATTGTTTCTGAAGTTGGACAACTAATATTTGGTAGGAGAATTTATAGAGATATAGGAAAAGACCTATGTAAAGATATTTTAGTTAGATGCTACAGGGTGTTCAAAATATATTTATGAATTTCAGCTATTTAAAATTAAGAAATTTCATTTTTTTTAAATGGTACACCCTATATATTATTATTTTTTCTGATAGATTTTACAAAACTCTTCAACTTTTATTAAGTATATCTTATACCTATTTTTAGTAGTTTCCGATTTATTCCAATTTTTTCTATTTTTATTCATATTTTTAATACAATTACGCTATAAAATCATACTTACCATGACGAAAAGTAATAATTATCAAAATTTCTTGTCTGTTGAGCAAGTTAAGGACAAAATTTAAATTTTAGTTTAATTTGTTTTAATAAGTATAAATGCTAGAGATAATAGTTACAGATTTTCCTGAAATGAATTAGTCAATGTGACTGATACACACGAACAAGCCCAGATATTTTTTGGTTCAGTACTATATATTATAAGTAGTTTGCTAAGTAGTATAAGAATAGATGTAGATTATCTAGAAAACATCTTCAGTGTGTAATGGGACGGTTTCGCGGCAGTAGTGATATTGGCTTTACCAAATGAATTATAAACCAGCATTACTGCGAGAAAAAAACTTTACTGTATGTCGAAGAAAATTCCTATATATATATATATCAGTATAGTCTTCAACAATTACGTCTATTATTACCCTAATCTGTGGCTATTCGCTCCGACGGAAAATCCAAACCAAGAAATACACCAAGAAATTCACGACTGCGATTTTAATTTATTTGAGTAAATTAATTAATTTTAACAAATACCAGTAATTATAACTAATTATTAAGGTACTTGTTAAAGATAAGTAATAAATAGTTTGTTTTGTCATGGTAACTATGATTTTATAGGGTAATTGTATTAAAAATATGGGTAAAAATAGAAAAAATTTGAATAAATCGCGAACTATTAAAAATAGGTATATGGCGTACTTAATAAAAGTTGAAGAGTTTTGTAAAATCTATCAGAAAAAATAATAATATATAGGGTGTCCCATTTAAAGAGATTTTTTAATTTTAAGTAGTTGAAATTCATAAATATATTTTGAACACCCTGTATCATTTAACTAAACTATCTTTACATATATCTTTTTTTTGATCTCTATAAAACTATCCTGCCAAATTTTGGTCCTCCAACTTCAGAAACAATGGCACCGCTGACAATTTTTTACCACACTGCAATTTAACATTTGTTTAAACAAATTGAAATATTACAAAAAGTATTAATTTTAGGTATATAACATTATATATAAAAAAGTTATGAAATTTTACGCAGAATCTAAAAATAAAATAAAAAATAGGTAGTGTTGCATTTAAAAAAGCATATGTTATATTCGCCACACTTTTTTGAAGCACCTTGTATCCTCTAGAATATTTTTAAAATGTGCATCTTAACCTTACCTATAACTTTCATATTTAATTTTTTTTTGTAAACCTCGAAACAAATGAGATAATGGACTTTACTCTATTGTTGACTCACCCTGTACATATCTTTTTAACTATTTTACATTAAAAACGAATTGAGACACTAAATACTAGAATATTTACTAAATAGGTACATTAAATTCATTCTGCATATGCTGCCTTAAACATCTCTTAAACATATTTACAACATTTGAGGCCAATGTCTAAAAACACAATTAAAATTAATAGAATATCCTAGAATATCCAACAGCTTGCGGTAGTCAGTTGTATCCTTTGAATAAGAAAACTAAGGAAGGAGCATATAAAAAATCTTAGGTACACTGCGATGGGCCTGAAATATGGCCGACTTAAGGTTTATCAGTGTCATTCTAATTTTATTTAAAAAATGTAAAACTATGTTGTAGGGTAGACGTGGGGTAGACTCAATAATTTGTTGTTTTATTTTACGTTGTGAATAAATGTTGGTAGTTATTAAAATTGTTATAAAAATATATAATTCTAATAAAAATAGATAAGTTATAATAACTATTTATTAACACAAACCTCCGATACGCTACTGAAGCAGGTAAGTCAAATTAACGTATCTAAATTCTTTGACATCCAATCTTTGACAAGTAATAAATAAAAGCTAAAATGCAAGAAAAATATATAATTAGTTAATTTAAGTGAATTTCATAAATGATCGGTTTACTACACGTATGTATATTATATAGTCACTTACTAGCGAAAAGTTGTTCCATTATTTCACTCAATTTTTGCCGAGATCTACCGCACACTCCACAACCAACTATTTTGGAGTCTTTTTCGATAAATCGCGATAGTGTCACTGTTAATTTAAGTTCTGCCACAATTTCCATCTAGATTTACTACCTTTATACAACTATCAGTAGTAGAATAAATAATAAATAACATAAAATAAGCTCCGTAAAGACTGACAAATCCACAAAATTTCAAATCAAATTCAAATGTGTCAAATCAATCGTCAAACAGAACTGTCAAGGATCCCCACCCTAGAGTGCTTTTATGGTGTTTTTCCGCCCACCATGCAGGAATATATGGATAGCATTATGCTCCTTCCTTAGTCTTCTTATTCAAAGGTTGTATCCATAGAGAAAGCCAAATATTTAGCTTATAAAACAATAAACTTTTGATTTCTAACCACAATTTCTCTTGACGGATGATAATCAAAGGTCAAAATGACATTTTCTACTAAATGTCTACCACTAATTTAGATGTTCTGAATGCTTACATTGAAATTAAACAAACAAACTTCTACGCTAATTGAAACCGCTAATTTATTCCACTAGTTGCGAGGTTCTGAATGAAGCATTAGAATTTTGATGATGGTCCGTGAGTCACTGTCGAAATTAAAGAAATTTGACAAGCGATAATTCATAAACCAGGAGGTATAATTTCTAAAGCCTCTTCAGCCATCGTTCGCCATTACGTCATCATTATTTGTCAAATATGCCTTTTAGGGTGTGTCTGAAATCAGTTCATATTGTTTAGAAAATTTTAAGTACGTTCCTATATTCTATATTATTCATTTTGTTAAAACTATTCATCAGTTACGATCCTTCTAGAAAAGGATAGTACACGTACGGCTGTGCTCGACTTGGCGGGGGCACTGCTGTGCCACCAGATAATAAGTTTGAAGCCCCGTTTCTCAGTACTCCGACTGTCCGACACGTCAAAAGAACCAATGAGATTTGTACAAAATTCAAACAGCTGTCAATTTTAAATTTAGTACTGCTCTCATTGGTTGTTTGAAATGTCACACTGTTTCGCCAGCCACACAACGTCGTTCTGAGAACAGGGCTTGAGACAAATGAAAAAAAAATCTGCCAATAGTTTTGCTCTCAAACAGTTTTTCAAATCTTTTACTTTATATCAGCCTGTACATTTCAATAGACATAATAATTCTCTAATTTTAAGTAGAAGTTAATATTCTTTAGTTAGATTTACTGCAGTTTTTTTGTTTATTGTAACATGGTATTATTCATTTAGCTTTGCGTTTATGTATTTTTTTGTGTTCTACGTTATAATATAGCATAGATTAGAATCTTTGAATATTTTTTTCTCAAAAAGTCCTGATGAATGGGAAATCTTTTTTGCAGTTGGATGCGTTTGAGTTTCTTGGTAGACCAGAAGGGCAAAATTCCTGTCAAAGTCGTGGCAAGGACTTTTGCCTCTGGAAGAACTGAAAAATTAGTCTACCAGTTCTTAGCTGAACTAGGACTACCCAATGAAAAGAATGACAGTATTGAACGTGAAGCTTTTACTTTCGAAAAATTCTACGCATTGTATCACAAAATTTGTCCCAGAAATGACATAGAGGAACTCTTTAGGACGATGTAAGTATAGTCTGTGCAACGACAAAATCCTTAACAATGACAGATGTGTCTGTCATTTTAATTTAAAATTAGTTTATTTTATTTTGCAAAGAAATAAGTTGGTACAATTGGAACGCATAGCAGGAAATTAATATATTTAAAATTTGAGGGACAAGTGATTACTTCAAAATATTGTGAAAAAAAAAACTGTATACAACTGAAAAAATCTTATCGATTTATTTTACTTAAAAAAATACTGTATGTGTTAATATAAAATAAACAAGGGTATATTTTAAACAAAACACCACATATCAAAAAAATATATAAAAAAATATTACTTTTAAGCTTTAAGAAACTTCCTTCATTTATTATTATGTTTATTAATACCGTATGATCGAATAAAAACGGCGTCAGCGATGGCGCTATGAAATGAACATCGATGACATTTTCCATATAAAATGACAGCGATCTTCATTTCATAACCATCGCTGACGCCATTTTTTTTTTCGATCATACGGTATAACTTATGTACAAATAAAAACATAATATTGCACAGGAATAAATAAAACATAACACTTACTGAATTTTATACATTGATTAATTTTAATCTTAATTTTAAACCAGTACGTTTTGACAATATATTTCTGCAGTTCTAAAATCTATTATTTACTTATCGTGTGATGTCGTTATTTTACAGCTACTCCGGTTTTTAGTACCATATAAGATATGGTATACAAACTTTACTGGTGGTAACTTTATTGGTGTATAAAACTCTCTGTCTGGGCACCGAATATTAATTATAAACTGTGCTCTGGGTCTACAGTTAATTTTCTCTCGATTTTTCCGTCACGTAACTTCAAAAAACACAAAACACAATTAACAACACGAACCAAAATGCAAAAACAATTTGCAAATATGTATTGGACATAATTTGATACGAATTATAATCTATAATTTGGCAAGACTTTGACAAGCCTCCAAAATCTTAAGTCGTCCAATAATATTGAAATGTGATGTCTTTTTTGAAATAAACCAATAAGACTGGATAAAAACAACAACAGACGACACATGACCGATTTATATATAAACCCATCCTTAGTTAACTTAAAACATGTTAGAAACTTTTTTAGTGAGATAAATGGATTGATATATGGACGTCATCTACCTTTTTTCTGTCATCGTCTGTCGAAATATTCCCTGAGTCGTAAAACAGAGTATTCTCACATTACTTATTTCTTTTAGAACAGAAGGAAAAGCCGATTATATGAATTTAGAGCAACTGATTAATTTTCTTAATGAAAAACAAAGAGATCCTAGGCTAAATGAAATTCTGTATCCGCTCTATGACGAAAAACGAGCAGCTGAGATAATTCATACCTACGAACTAGATGACAGTGCCAAGGAAAATTTAAGGCTGAGCAAAGATGGATTAATCAGGTAAAAATATATTCTGAATTTAACCCCTTAACCGCTACACTGAATCATTCTCCTTTAATCGCTACAGAGTGGTCTGGTAGACACCTCTATTGAATTACATCATTTAATAGAAAATAAAATGTTTTTTTGTCTCTCTATACTTTTCTGAATTTACATGAGTTAAGCTTGATTTTCATGCATCCGTTATACGTTGATACGTTGGTCCGACGGTGCTCTGATTGGTCATAGCGTTTTCGCGCCACTTTTCATCCTTAAATATTTTACTTCAGCTCGTCAACCGAACCCTTTCATACGATAACAGACGTTTTGACACTTTTTTGACAAATTTAATCTAATCTTAATAAAAATATAAGTAAAATAGCAAAATCGTCATGGAAACGAAAATATAAAATGACACCAACGTATATCCGATAAACGGAGGCATGAAAATGCAATAAATTTAAAAACTGCGTTATTTTCTAACCAAAATCTTTAAATTCTACCAATAAAATTAATATCGTATCAACGTATCATCCAACAACGGATGCATGAAAATCATAAAAAAGTAATATTTTTACATACAATTATACTCGCAGCAATTTAAAATGTTTTTTTACCGACTGTACAGAGATACTCGACGTTTCTTTTTATTTTGGAAGAGCACATAGAGCAAAGACTTCTCATTTTCTAGTCACTTCTTACAAATCCTATAAAAATCCTAATTATGAATTTGTGTTTGTTATTTTCTAGGTATTTAATGTCAGATGAAAATGCTCCTGTGTTCTTGGACCGGTTAGAGATCTATATGGACATGAATCAGCCTTTGTGTGCTTATTACATTAACTCTAGTCATAACACTTATTTGATAGGAAGGCAGTTTGGAGGAAAATCATCGGTTGAAATGTACAGACAGGTTTTGTTGGCTGGCTGTAGATGTGTTGAATTAGATTGTTGGGACGGTAATACTCAGATTTTCTAAATTCTTAAGTCTCTGTTTATTTTAAAACGTTTCTTTTTTCCAAAATTTGATAAAAATTATTTTTAACTTGTATGACAATTTTCAAATTTTAACTTAAATAATATAATACTTTGAAAATGTGGCAACATCGGAAGTAAATTCAATTTAGATAACGAAAAACTAAAAAAAAATTCGGTGGCTAAAAATTATTGCAATTTAAAAAAAATCCAACCTAGAGAATTTATTTTTCCAAAGCAGACCTACAAAATATATGTGTGTGTGTACTTGTAGAATATTATATATTAATATTAAAAATAATTTTAGGTAGAGGCGAGGACGAAGAACCTATAATAACCCATGGACGCGCTATGTGTACGGATATTCTATTTAAGGACGTCATATACGCTATTAGAGACACGGCCTTTGTAACATCGGATTATCCCGTTATTTTGTCGTTCGAAAATCACTGTTGTATAAGCCAGCAACACAAACTTGCCAAATATTGCGACGAAATTTTTGGAGACCTGCTCCTGAAGGAGCCACTAAAGGAATATCCTCTGGAACCAGGTAAAGCCACGTCTAGTCAAAACGTATCATGTAAAACAGTGTGTGCAAATGTAAGACCAAAACTAAGACTCCCAATGCCTTGGTCTTGGTCTTGCACATGGGGGTAGCTAGGTTTTTACTTAGGGTGGGGCAAAAAATGCCACAATTCAGTTCAAAATCTGCTTTACCTTATACTGTACTCAAGAAAATAGTACCTTCATTTTAAAAATTATCTGCGAGGGCTCCGAAGATTCATTTAAGAGTTTTACAAGTCCTACATATGGATGAAACCGAAAACTTTTGATTATTATCTTATACAAGATATCTGAATCAATTGAAAAAAACCGGTGCTCTTGAAAGATATTTCGCTGTATCATAGATAAAGGCAAAGAAATCGAAAACATTTGTTTTTTGCTGCTCTATCAATGGGCTACAGAAGAGCTTCAAGATTGAGGCTAGGCGCAAATTGAGTCGCGTGTATCGTGTGTGACATAACCTGGCGCGACGCGAGTTTTTGTAAACTACAGAAATAAATGGGACAGCGTAAATTGGCAACAAAGCGCAGCGTAGCGCGACCCGCGTGACCTGACCAGCGCGCGTCTCTGTAATTCAGACACATTTTAGGCGCGTCGCGTGCCTCGCGCGCTGACACTCCACGGTTGGCAACAAGGAATTTAAAAATCGCGCCCTTGATTACGTAACGAAAAGTTTAATTGGTATCGCTTAAATATTTGCTTTTATAGTTATCACAGCTCCAACATAACTCGACTTTCATTCGTTCATCTTGACTTTACTCGTTCAACGACAACAGTTTACAGTTTATCTTTTCAACATGTCTAAATATTATTTTATTTAAACTCAATAACAATGTGCTCATTTTCACTCAATATTATCTATTATATATGTTGATAGACTTAATTTTTTTAGGGTGTCCACTGCCTCCACCCTCAAGTTTGAGGAGGAAGATTTTGATCAAAAATAAGCGATTGAAGCCGGAAGTAGAGAAACAGGAATTGGAACTTTTTAGGCAGGGTCAATTCGTTATCGTAGATGAAGAGAAAGAAGATGCCAATGCCAGCGCCGATCGACCAATACCTCCCGATATATCGGCCGAAGTAAGTTAATGTAAAGAAATGTACTAAAGACTGTACAATCATCTTTCACCGTTACGTCATCATTATTTGTCAAATATGAGTTATAGGGTGTGTCTAAGATCAGTTCATATTGTTTAGAAAATTTTAAATACGTTCCTGTATTATTGATTGAACGTGTTCCGTTTTTTTCGGCATTAATTAACTTTTTCTTCAACTCTTCATCAGGTATGATCCCTCTAATTCCAATCCTTTGGACTGTTGGAATTCCTATTTCTAAAGCATCAGCAACTCGCTATATTATTTAAAAACGCTATCTATTTGTATTTTACATAGGAATATTACACCTTTGCATTCTACTTACTTCATATACGGGGTCCACGGTCAAGAGTGTTCTACCAGCGCCTCTTTCTTGAGAAAAATAATTTATAAGCTTAGCAATGAGCTGCAAAATTGATATTTTTTAATTTTTTTTACAAATATCAAATATAAACGGTAACGCAGTTCAATCTTTCCAAAAAAATCCTGTTTGGGTATTTCGCCACTGCACTGCAAGAAAATCTACAAAATAAAATAATTATTTTTTGTAAACACTTCTGCGTTAAACCTAAACGGACGCTGCTTGTCAGAAGTTATGTTTACGGTAATACAAATTTGCCTAACAAAGCAAAAAAAAATGCTTAACGTTTCGGAAAGTTATCTCTTTCCGTCGTCGGAAGCAAAAAAATACAAAGAATAAAGAAAAAAACTATTTAAAATATATAAAGTCAACTATTCGAGAACACTTTACTTTTTTAAAAAAGATACTTCTACAAGAAACCGTTGACGTCATTTTAACAGAACGTCAACGTAACGGTTTAGTATTTTTCTGTATGCACTAAAAATACCTTGGCGATTGTTTGGCCAGTGCGTATTTTTAAACTTATACATGTTCGTTTCTTTTAATGAAGACTCCGGCAACAGACGTTCCACCTGCCGAAGGTGCTGAAGTAGCACCGGCCGCGGTGGCGTATCAAAGCTCGACCACCAACGTGCATCCGTGGTTGAGTTCGATGATCAACTACGCTCAGCCTGTCAAATTCCAGGGGTTCGATGTTGCTGAACGTAAGCATATTACATTAATTTGGTAGACAGTTAAAGCACGGCCAAAGACGTAAACGTATCGTTTGTAGGTATGCTTGCACAGCTAGAACTTTACTTGCGCTTACGCATTATAGTTACAAGTTAATCGCCGCGGGCTTATAGATCTATTGTGGTCCCCTTTCTCGAGTTATAACTCGTCATACCGTCTCGGGGCTTTGACAAAAGCCAGTATCTGAGACGGTTTTACAAAGGTTAGTTATTTTCAATATCAGTCGTACCAAAGTTTATGGCACCAATGTTTGTCGTCTCGACGCACTCAGTGATGAGGTGTACTTTTCCCCATTTTCCCCACAGAATCTACATTCTCCGTTGTTTCTTAGCTTCAGTCTACTGAGATGTTCATTAAGGAGACAGGGTCCTGTTGAACCCCGTGACAATCCGAAGATTGTTCTTATTTAAATCAAGGAAAATCTTTGATTTTTCTCGTGCGTTTACGCATACGTGGTATGTCATCTTTACGTACTTCTAAAACGCAAACGATCGATGCAAAATAAATTTGACAAACCCAGTATGCTGAAATGCGATAAAAATTGATAACACAGCCTTTCTACAATTATAACTTTGGTGCCCAACGTGGGGCAGAGAACTGGTTTCAATACCCGGTTAGTTATTTCAGGAATTTTGGTGTTTGTGTAACAAAATAAACCGTTTTAGATATATAGAAAGATACGTATAAAGTTTGTGCCGTGCTTTAACTCTCTGTAAGTTATTTTTTGATATATCTAAAATATAAATAGCATTAGGTTAAATGGTACCCACTTTTTTTCTTAGAAAAAAACATCCACCATAACATGTCGAGCTTTTCCGAACCGGCTGGCCTCAACTATTTAAAGACACAGTCCATTGAGTTCGTGAATTACAACAAGAAACAGATGTCACGAATATACCCGAGCGGAGCCAGAGCCAACTCGTCAAATTATATGCCTCAGGTAGGTCAATTTCTTTCTAATTGAGAGGTTCTGAACGAGGCTTTAGCGTTAAAATGACATTTTTATAATGACGTCTGTAACGTTTGAAAAAACATTTCTTTTTCAGCCATTCCATTTTTTTCTTAATTGGAAATAGTTAATTTTTTAAAATTTCTACTTGCTGATAAAGGGCGAATTTTGTTTGGATTTTAGGTAGCATGTAATTCACTTTTTAGGTCTTTTGGAACGCAGGTTGCCAGATGGTGTCTCTTAACTTTCAAACGTCCGACTTGCCAATGCAGCTGAACCAAGGAAAATTCGAATACAACGGCAACTGTGGTTATTTGTTGAAACCGGATTTTATGAGAAGACCGGATCGGATATTCGATCCTTTCGCTGAGATACCGGTAGATGGCGTGATTGCAGCTCAGTGTTCTGTACAAGTGATAGCAGGACAGTTCTTGTCCGATAAAAAGGTTGGTGGTTTTCGATAAAAAATTATAGTTTTTGGTCGTTTTCTAATTTTTTTTTTAATTTAAAATTTGTTCTGCATTTTTTAGAAAATGTCAAATATGTCAAAAACCTTACATTTTAGTCATATACTTCTCTAACGAAACTCACCTTTATTTTTTCCCTAGAATTAATATATAGGGTGTTCCATTACAAAATTCACAACTTTAATGTGTAATTTGTTATGGACACCCTGTAGGATTCTATATATTTAAAGAAAATGCTTGAAATTAACCTATATACTTACCATATTAGCCACTTTATTTCCGTGGTCTGTATTTTAATGCAAACGACAGAGATAAATATATAAGACTAGTTGGCAGGCATAAAGAGGTGTGCTACCCTGTATATGCAACTGGTTTTAGATTGGAACCTATGTGGAGGTAGATATGTATGGCTTGCCCACCGACACGATCCGGAGAGAGTTTAGAACGCGTATGGTTCCCGCTAACGGCCTTAATCCTGTCTATAACGAAGAACCGTTCTTGTTTAGGAAAATAGTACTGCCCGATCTAGCAGTACTTCGATTCGGAGTATACGATGAAAACGGGAAGTTACTGGGACAGAGGATTTTACCTTTGGACGGTTTACAGGTAAGAATTAAAAGCAAAATTGTATTGTCTTGAATTCTTGAAACGTTTTTAAGAAAAAAAGTTCTTCCTTTCTGTTCTACAGGGTGTTAAAAATTAAAAAAAAAAAATCTTGTAATATGTCACATATATTATGAGGGGAATCAAACCCTAAATTTTATTGACTACTCAAGACTACTGTTTTTTAATGTCATGCTAATATTTAAGAAGATGATTCTTGGACTTATTCTAAGAAAAAAGCTTGATATGAGTGTATGTTATAAACGTCTTAAAATGTAATCTCTAACAAAGTATAATCTGTACCAAATAAACTTTTAGTCACGTGATTAAGCTTGACCGGCACAGCGTTGCCCACTTTTACATATTTTCTTTTAATCAAAATATTTTAGGCAAGAAAAATAAATTAATTATAAATTTACAAACAGTTATTATTAGCAGCAGTTATAATTGGCAATTGGCAGAGTATGCACCATAATTATAAAATAAAAATATTTTTTTAAATTTTTATTTTTCATTATTATCGCTAGTTTTGCTTATTATAGACAACTAACGACTGAGACACGTTCAGATGTGAATAATGACCCTGTTGTTATTACGAAAAAGGTATTTTTCAGAAAATTTTACCATCTTGTATCTAAAAAGTTAATCGACGATAATTTTGGCGAGGTCAGTCTCTAGATGTCACTTACTAAAAATTGACATATAACTTGTCAAAAATTAACACTAATTATCGAAAAATTAAGAAAGGAAAGAGGCCTTAAGGCCTGTAACTGGCAATAAGCGCCGTTATAGTTATTAACGTAATAAGGCCGATAAACAACAAATAACGGCCGGGCTGAAGTTTGTGATCCGAGGCGATAGCCGAGGATCATAAGCAGCCAAGGCCGTTATTTGTTATCGGCCGTGTTGCGTTCTAGATTTTTCGTCATACTGCAGATTTTTTAGAGCAATAAACACTACTATTTAATAACAAATTTTATTGAACAATAACACAAGTAAGGATAAAAAATACATAATGTCTTATACTAAAATTCATTTTTCATGATAATGAACATGGAAATTAAAAGTGCACTTGTTGTTCTTAGAAATCTGTAATCCTTCCCAGGGATTTACAGATTTTATAGAAGAAGATGATGCTACTGAAGAATGGCAAATATTTGTATCCACTAAAGACACATTATTTTTGGAGCTATCATGAAAAAAGTTGATTTGTTATTTTCATTCTTTTGGAAACTGATTTTTCTATGTAAGTTTCTGCCACTGTTGAAGACTCCCATCCTCCTAGCTCCTTTAGCGATAGTAAATCACCACCATTTTCGGCGAGCATGGTTGCTGATGATCTACGAAATGAATGCCCTGTATAACGTTCTGGATTCTCCAAGTTCAAAAAATTTTGCAATTTTCTGCGGTACGCTCCCGATGGTATGTATACCGACGATTTGCTTAACACACTTGCCTTTCTTGTAACCAATGAAAAATTTTGGATTGTCAAAGTTACGAGGACGCAGGTTGATGTATTTTTGTATAAACCATAGGCATCAAACGGAAGGCCCGTTTTTGGAATAAGAAATTTCCTATCTTTCTTATTTTTAGTATTTCTTAATGAGACAAGAATATTTTTCTCCGAATCTTCGAAATCATCAACTGTGAGTGACCAAAGCTCGCTGCGCCTACAAGCTCCAAGAATACCAAGCACCAATACAATTTTTTCGAGTAACCAGGTGTAATCATCGGCATCCAGTAGAAAATTATTTATGTCATTCTCCGACAGAACTTTGGCTTTTTTGGTGAATAACCTTCGTTTTTGCGCCTCAGAAACATGAACAGTTTACCAAATCTATGAACAAATATAATTTAGATGAGTATGATTAAATATCGAAGAATATAATGGCTTTTACCTTGATATGTCGATGTTTTCATATACTCTCAACGCAAGCTTCAGCATGGATATCTTTGTCCACAGTGATGTAGGAGAATACATTTCAGACATTCTTTTAGCATAAGCCAGCAATACCGCTTCATTTACGCTGTTTATACTTCTATCCTGCCGCCACTTCAAAAATTGTCATATTCCTGCTGATATCTCTCTCTGGTTATAGTCGGAAGTAAATTTTGAGTAGCCGCAGCCGCTTCCTCCTGTATTTCCAACGGAATTTCTCGCGACATCTCGCTATGGTCTATTTTCCCAATTTTTGAAAAGTCCAACTGACAATAAATAGTCATTGTTGCAGGTGACAGACGTTACGATTACCTTAGAAACTTAACGGCCGCCGGCCGTTATGATAACGTCCGGCGGACGTTATATGCATCTTTTCCATTCTGATTTTGCTTATGTTATAATAATATAACAATATAGTATGACGAAAAAAAATAAATAAGAGTACTAGGGCCAAGTAAATGACGTCTAGGGGGTACCCTCGCCAAAATTATCATCGATTTTTGTTCCCAACCCTCTTTGACGCGTTTTTTTTTTCGATTGTGTGGTATTATGGTTTTGTGTTTCTTTTTTAGGCTGGTTACAGACATATTTCGTTAAGAACTGAGGCTAATTTCCCCATGTCTTTGCCAATGCTGTTCTGTAACATAGAATTGAAAATCTATGTGCCCGATGGTTTTGAAGACTTTATGGCAGCGTTAAGTGATCCTAGAGGATTCCGGGGTTCACAGCAAAAGCAAAACGAACAAATGTCCTCCATGGGCATAGAGGTAATTTAACCAAAAAAAAATGTAGCCTAAAAAAGTTCTTCTTCTAAGTGTGGCTAGTTTCAGAAGTCCTAAGTCGAATTCATACGCATCTGCCTAAAAACTACGACAGACAACGCGTGACAAATAAAATTAGAAACTTTTTTTACTGAAAAAGATGGATTGGTATGTCCGTCATCTGCCTTTTTTCTGTAATTGTCTGTCGAAATCTTCCCTGAATCGTCGTGCAGACTATATTTAATATTACGCTAATACTAATAAAAATAAAAAGAACGTGTTAAGAATATTTAAACTGAAATAATAAATACACGGTTTTTTACGTAACTTCCAAAAGAAAATTGTGTGTGTACTATGTGCGCATATTTGAAGTGAAACTTCATAACAGCTATTAAATTGAGGGATTTGAATGACATGTTTGAAAAAATGTTAAATTAAAAAATAATTTGATTCGCTTTCACAAAATTTGTATTAAAATGACTGTCTGTATTGTATTGTAATTATAGTATCTAATTAATAAATAATTTGATTATAATTTTCACAAAATTTGTATTAAAATATCGATATTTTTGATAAACACGTGGACTGCTCACACTGCTCTGCCCTTGTGTGTCACGGCATTGAATCTTTACTCCCAGCGCGCGTACAGTAGTTTCACTTAAAAATAGCACGTTCTATTCGGAGTAAAAATATACTTATTTTTTAGGTAACCGATCAAAATAATGTAGAAAAACAAACGAAAAAAGAAGAGAAAAAAGTTGGTAAGAATTTTTTGTTTGTTAAGAATTAAATGTGACTGTTGTATATTTTTCTGTTTTTGTAGAACCAATGGTATTTGAACCGATAACCATCGAATCCGTGAAGCAAGACAAAGCGTATCAAAAAACAACGAAAAAACAACAAAAAGATTTTGATATTCTAAAGAAAAAACAACAAAAGGAAAAATCGGCAGTTCAAAAGTCTCAGTGCATCGCCATTGACAAGTTGATTAAAGGAAAAAAGTGAGTCATTTTTCTGGTTAACGATGGGATCGGAAAAAAAACGGCGTCAAAGACACCTGGGAATGACAATCGATAATAATTTTGGCGAGGTTAAGAAAGGCGTTATTTACTTGGCCCATACTCTTCTTCGGTTTTTAATGGCGCTTACTGCCAGTTGTGGTCTTAAGAAGGCCGTAATTTATTTTTATTACAGTTGGGAGTTGGAATCTTTGGTATCACAAACAGCAAAATAAAACACTAATTCACCACACACACCAAAACACTTTACTTTTGCACTGGACGCACGTTTCGCTAAGCATGTTAGCATCATCAGCAGATATGCTAAAGACTGATTTTTAATTAACTGTGCAAAAGTAATGTGTTTTGGTGTGTGTGGTGAATTAGTGTTTTATTTTATGTTGTTCTGGCCTGAAGGATGCTAGGGGCTCAAATACTTCCATCCCTGTTCCTGCTCTAGTTTTGGAAGCATCAGTATTCCACGTTATGGTATGCTCTTTTAACTGCTAAACAAACGTTTCTCTCTTCCAATTCTTTTTATTGCTCAATACTTCAGTGTGAGGTGTTTCTCAAAGTTGTAGTACATTCTTGGTAGGTATGTCATCCACTGGGAGTTGGAGGAGTGAAATTTTCCTTTTGAGGGTGTTCCAAGCTCATGAGCTGACAATTCTCCCAGTACTGTTCCGTCAATGACGATTCTAATCATTGTCGCATTGGCATATTTACCTCTATCTATCTAGTATTTATTTTTGACAAGTTTCATGTCAATTTTTAGTAAATGACAGGTCTATAGATTAACTCCAGCAAAATTATCATCGATTGTTATACACAAGCTCCCTTGAACACGTGTCATTTATTAGCGTGTCATTACGGAACATAACCTGTATATTTGAATTTTTCCTAGCAAAAACGAATTAGTTAGCAATCCAGCGGTGCGGAAATTAGTGACAGAGCAAACGTCAGAGTGGAGTGCTCTCATGGAGAAACACCGGAAACAAGAATGGGAATTTCTACGGAATCAGTTGAACGATCAACGCGATTTACTGCGTAAACATATGGAACTATTGCAGGCGCAACAAAAGCGACAGCTAGATGTCAAACACGATAGGGAGATGAAGGAAATCAACAGTCAACAGGCTAAGATATCGGTTGAGACAGCGAAAGAGGTTAGATTCACTTTTTAATTATTATTGTGGAAAATTAGACGGCGTTTGTTTCTGTAATAATATAATTTCGTTTTTTCTAAAATTAACTAATTTATATAATTTTTCTTGCATTTTTGCCTTTATTTACTACTTGTCAAAGATTAGATGTCAAAGAATTTAGATACGTGAATTTAAGTGTCCTGCTTCAGTAGCGTATCGGATGTTTGTGTTTATAAATAATTATTAAAACTTATCAATTTTTATTAGAATTATATATTTTTACAACAATTGTAATAACCTCCAACATTTATTGACCACGTAAAATAAATCAACAAATTATTGAGTCTACCCTATATTAACCTATATCATATTTTTACGCGTTTTGCGGCACTGATAAACCGGAATTTAAGTCGGCCATTCTAAAACCTCGTCGCGTTCGATCTAAGATGTTTTATATGCTCCTTCCTTAATCTTTTATTCAAAGGTTTGTATCAATACTAAAAGCAACATACTTATAACAAAAAAAACGCTACCTTTAATTCGATTTTTAATGCTTACTGCTAATTTTTCTTATCAAATTTTCATAATTTTAACTAAATATAGACATGCATTAGTGGATAAAAACGTATTAAATTCGTGTTTTAATTGCGTTTTAAATAAAATGTCCCTTAAAACAATTATATAATCAATAATTCTTTTTTCTAGATTAACAATGATAAAACGTTGAAAACGAAAAAAGACAAAGAAAGAAGATTGAAAGAAAAACAGCAGAACAACACTAAAAAATTTTTGGAAGAACGCAAGACGGCCTGTATCAAACAAACGAGAGAAAAAGAAAAACTGCAAATAACACACGATAAACAGTTAGAAATGTTGGCCCACGATATTCAGAAAATGATAGAGATGTACCAAAACGAAGAAAAAGAATATAATATATCATCTAAAACCGAATTTTTCGCTTAAATTTATTATGTTATTAATGTATGTATGTTACTTGCAGAGCTGCAACAAGACAGTTTCAAAAAGACTTAAATTTTTCGGCCGGTTCCGAAAAAAACTTTTTATTTGCTAGTGTTATTGAGGTTTTTTTTAATCTGCCACCTAACAGTTTAAAAAGACATACTGCTGTTAAAAATTTATCACAAAAATATATAAAAATATGATATGCCTTTTATAAAAAGACTTAAATCTTTTTAATAGCCATAAAGTCTTTTTTTTAAAGACTTAAATGTTTTAAAACGTTTAAGCATTTTTAATGACATTAAAATGATTTCAATCAAAAAAGAATTGTTTTCTGTGAGCTTGCAGCTCTGTATGTTATTAATGTATGTTACTTGTTATAAAGTATACAAAAGATATTTAAATGTTACATTATTACTATCACCAATATACCGTATGATCGAAAAAACGGCGTCCAGTTGGCTTGGAAGTTTCTCATATAATTTTACAAATAAAATGAAAGCTATCTTTATTTCATAGCCGTCGCTGACGCTGTTTTTTTTCGATCATATTGTTGCATTTAGCATATTGCACTTATAGTGATAAAAGCAAACTTAGTTGATCTATAGATACTATAGATACCTATAATATATTTATTTTATTAGAAATATACTAAATAAATTTATTAGTTAATGCTAATTTATTATAACTATAATTGTTATATATATTTTAAAACTAAGCAGAAAATATTAAAAAAATTAAAGAAATGGCGCCCAATTTAGGCCACCCTGTATGCTTAACAGTTAATTGTGTTAAATTGTATTTATAAACTATTCTTTATTTAATACATTTTATTAAAGTTTCAATGTAGTTTCTTTTGAATCCTTTGGCATAGCCTTTAAATTTAAGGCAATGCAACTAACGGTTACGTTATTGGTAAACAATGTGGTACCAATCACGGTTACGTTATTGGTAAATTCAATAAATATTAATCTAGTTGCCTTTAATATTAGCACAGGTTATACAGATTATAACCTTTCTTTTTTCTTTATTGTTTTTCGTGGTTCCAATTTTCGGAATCGGGCACTAGTTAGGTGACTAGTTTACGCACATAGCACGCCCACTTATGGCCTCTAAAATTGTGCACAGCGCCTGACCGGCACAGATATTAGAGAGATATCGGAAAACCGAATAGCGTCATCCAGTATTTACGCGTACCTTATCATGGTTACGATATGCGCGAGTCAATTTTTAACGCAACACCCGCTAATAACGTTACCGCCTGACGTAATTTGCGGATCAATTACACCAAGCGCTCTTTCTAAATAACCTCTGATAACGTTTAAAAATTGCTTAAATGGGCATGTGCGGATATTTGACAACCGGAGCCGGCCGGCGAGATCTTTTATTTTAGGTTATGTTTGAATTGTTTTGAATTATTGCTTTAGTTTTATTAGGTAATTTGATATTTAAGTAGCTGGGATTAGTTTTAATTAAATAAATATGGCCCAAAATATGGATTCCACCTCTTCCAATACTAAAGAACCTATAAAGAGTCTTAGGTTTACAGCAGATGACGACTTATCCCTTCTAAGAGAATTTGTTGCTTGTTGCCCTAAACCCACTGGCAGACGTTGAACAATAAAGCACTGGAAATAAGCACTTTAGCCCTTTAGTTTTAAAATACCTAGTAAACAAAACAATTTCAAAGTTAGGTCAAGTTTAAATAGCGGACGCGACGCGATTAGAATTCTTTCCGATCCAATAACTATAAATGAAGAGAGCATGGGATGAGAGTTATACCACCTCACGTAAAGGAAATAACACCTGGCCTTATTAACGTCCATGCACGCTATTCGGTTTAGCGATATCTCTCTATTACGCTGTTTATTGTTATTTTACGCGAGTTTATTTTTGCGCACAGGAAATTTGACTCGTTTGTACATCGTCATAAAAAACAATTTTCGTACCACGAATTAGAGACAAGATTTTTATCTGTATAGGATACCTAATCTGTGATATTAGTACATTAATTTAATTATATATAGGTTACTTCTTAGTAGTTATTCACTAAATATTTGATTTCTTTTACCTCAAAACTGCCACATCTAGCACCAAACATGAGCATTTTTAAAAATATTTTTCTCAAGAACATTAAAAATAAAATACTACTTGTCCAACGAGCTCGAACAGTTAGACGCGTTTACAAAAACGTTAATTACTGAAAAAGTATTTAATAAACAGAAGCACCTTTGGTGCCAATCGATAGGGAATTCAACCCTCTATCTGTACACAAAATTTCACCCCCCTAGGACAAACTTTATTTTTTGGAGCATAAATGAGCAAAGGGGTTACCTACTTTGAAAATTTTTGGTCTGAAAAATTTCGAGGGGGATGAAATTTTGTGTACAGATAGAGGGTTGAATTCCCTAGCGATTGCCACTATGGGCACTCCCATATCTCTATTAGGGAGTTATTAGCTTTTTAATTTCGAAAACGAGGTCAAAGTGTTAGAGTCGACAAAATTCAGCGTTTCTCTATCTCTATAGTGTTAAAAATTTGCTGTAGGTGTACTAAAATTTCGCACTGGGCAACCAAATCCTGTGCGTTTTTGTCACCAAAAATTTAAGATTGAACAGAAATGAGATATATTTATCAGAATCATATTTCTTAACGTGTATTTTAGGTTGCTATTTTATTTCTTTGTTAGGCAACGGCCTAGCTACGTCGAAACACCGGTTCCCATTAGAACACCAAAGTTCAGTGACGTAAGGCGATACTAGTGGATGGCTCGCCAACTCGATATCCTTACATTGGAGTTCTGGCAAAGCTGGTGATACGTCCCTGCTTGCCGCCCGGTGTTGGAGAGCATTCCAACTGTCTTTTTCTCTCCTTGCCGGAGCAGAGGTGAGAGGTTCTCACTCTCTCTCTTGCTCTTTGCTGGAGATAAAAATTTGCAGAAACAAAATCCTTAACAACTACTCAGAACTTTCTACTATGGACTCTACCTAGGATCTCAGAAAAACACAAATCTGCCGATTGTAGAAAACACAATATATTTTTATATGTTCTATTTACAATGTGATATTAATAATAAAATGTACCGTTTTAATAATAAATTTTTAAACTAAATTAAAAACTATTTCACTTGGTAAATGCTAAATATTATTGTAATTATACAATATTATAGTACGCAGGGTATTACAAGGGTAGCCCCTCTCATACGACGCGGAGGCTCCAAGGAAAACGACACTCTATATTGAAACGAAATTCTGAGAGCATGTTTAGGTTAATTAAAAGCATTTTTAAAATTATATAGATTTATACAAAGCTTCTTCTTCTTCTTCCTTCTTCATTTTTGCAACTTTGATGCATAATTTTTTTTTGATGATACCCTATAGAACTCTTTATATTAAAAAAAAGTTCTAAATTAGGTTAAAGGTCTAGTATTTAATATTTAATATTTTATAACTCTTACATGATTATATCCATTTACAATTTTCCTATTGTAAAATTTTATTGATACGCCTTTTTTGTGTTCTGTAATGTTCATGTATGTTTTATTTGTAATTTTAATGACGTAAATTTTTTTGAATTGATTTGTAGTGTATGATATTTTTTATTATCTGTATATTTTTTGTGCTTTTGTTTGTTTTATAAATGGTTTGTTGATGAAGCTATTTTACCTTTTTTGTACAATAAAGCGTTATTTATTATTATTACTATTATAACCTAAATATGCTCACAAGATTTCATTTCAATATAAACAGTTGTTCTCCTTGTAATCTCCCCGTCGTATAAGAGGCGCAACACTATATAAGGTGTTAAAAATATAGTGTTCCATATTTCCGTAAGTGATTCTATGGAGAAAGATAAATCATAGCAACTTTTATTTTATTTTTATCTGAAGAATCACCCACTGATGTGTGGTAGGCTATTTTTTCATATTATTGGAAAAACGGAATTTTATAAATAATACGTTAAATTTACAGGAAAGTAACCAAATCTGAAGAATACCGTCCTTTCTCGAAAACGAATACGCCTAATAGCAAAAGAGAGTGATTTTTAATCTCTTTCCATCACTATACTCACGTGCAGGTTTTACCTTGTCATTCAAACGGGCTTTGTGGTCACGGTGAGAGTATTCTATCAACGGTATGAGAAAAGTTTTTAAGGTATTCAGAAGTATTTCTTGATACATGATTGCAAATAATATGGTATATGGTATGGTTTTTTTATGGGTCTTTTCTTGTCCTAATTATTTTATTATATTTATATAATTATTCACTATATAATTATTAAATAGTTTAATAAAAAAATCTGATATACGTTTTCATTAGTTTGAAGTGTTATTTGGGTACCTATCCATATTTAGGTGCCTTTATGTTCAATTTGTTTTTGAGAGAAAATTTTATACTTTATTAATATATGTAACAGAAAACAGTTATTAAGTTATGTGCAACTGTATGACTGACAGTAACTAAAAATGAACATTTTTGTTTTAATTCCTTTTTTATATAACACAAAAACTAAAAGGTATTCCATATTTGGTTACTTTTCTCTAATATAAAGAAAAAATACCAATCAAATCATAATTTACAAATTTTATAATATTTAAGCTATGTATTACGTACTTTAATTATAACAACTAAACTTTCTCACCTTAGATATTTTTGTTAAGTAATTAAGACAACAGTAAATCAATCAATTCTTCATTCTTCCCCGTGTATGTTAAACAATTTGGCTACTTCGTTGAGATCCTCGTACTTCTTCTGATCTTTCAGTACTTGTCTTGCTATGGACATACGGTTAAAAACGTTCCAGAGAACTATACCAACAACTATGTCATCGCGCAGATAGAAAATGACGCCCTTGCCATAATCTTCACCAGCAAATTTATTGGGCATCAGTTTCTTCGAGTCTTTCAATTTTACTTTTTGCTCATCTGATAAGTACTTGTCACATTCTTGAGGAAGCTTAAAATAAATGAAAAAATATATAAGTTATCACTAGATTTCAATAATAACAAACATTTAATAGGCATTTATTATTTTAACTAAATAAATATCGGGAAAGAGTTAGTCGAAAGGGAGAATAGTCGAGAGAGAGTTAGAGAATATTCAGAAGAGTTAGAGAATAGCCCAAAGACAAAAAGAGAGAGTTAGAGAATAGTCTAGAGAGAGGGCTAGAAAATTATAGAGAATTAGAAAATAACCAAATGAGAGATTTAGAGAATAATCCGGAGAGTTAGAGGATAGTGTAGAGTTAGAGAATAGTCAGAGAAGCTGAACAAATTAGGAAAAGAAAATAAAGTCTTCCTACTCTGGGTGCCAGCTCAACAAGGGATAGAAGGTAAAAAGCAAACGATCTAGCTAGAAAAGGAGCGAATACTCTATTAATTGGACCCGAACCGTTCTGCTTCCCAAGTGGAAACCAACTTAAAGCAGAACTCAAGAACCTAGAATACTCCATCCATAACCTGGAATGGGAATCTTCCAACGGTCTAAGACACTCGAAGAAATTTCTCAGGAGTTACGACCGAGAAAATAAAAAAATCCTTGATTTAAGTAAGAACAATCTTAGATTGACACAGGGTTTTTAGCAGGACACTGTCTCCTCAATGAACACCTCAGTAGATCGAAACTAAGAAACACCGGCGAATGAAGATTCTGTGGAAAAACATCAGAACACCTCATCACTGAGTGCGCCGAGACGACAACCATTCGTGCCATAAACTTTGGTACGATTGATATCGGAGATGGAGAATTAACCTCTGTAAAACTGTCTCAGATGCTGGCTTTTGTCAAAGTTTGACACTGTATGATAAGTTATAACTCAAGAAAGGGGGACACAATAGGTCTATTAGGTCGCGGTGATTAATTTCCCCCCTCCCAGACAATCTACAATCTAGAGAACAACCAAGAGACAGTTAGAGAACAGGCGAGAGAGGGAGAGAGTTAGAGAATAATCTAGAGAGTTAAGGTATAGTGTAGAGTTAGAAAATTATCAAGTGTTAGAGAATAGTCACAGGATAGGGTTAGAGAATAGTCTAGAGATAAATAATTATCGAGAAAGTTAGAGAATTATCGAAAAATAGTTAATGAATAATCAAAAGAGAGAATAGTCAAGAGAGTTAGAGAATAGGCAAGATACAAACATAAACCGATATACCAATGAATTGGAGTAAATTGTAGAGACAAAACATAAAAAGAAAATTTATTTTGGTGTAAAAATACTTATGTAGCTAATTTATTTAATGGCAAATTTGATTTTTTAATGTCTTTTAGAAAATTCGTTTTTTTTAAATATTTTTCGTGGTATTTCTTATATATTATTCTTTTATTTTAATTAACAATTTATAACCTTACCTCCTCCGTCGTCGAACGAAGATTTTCGTTCGTTCTCTCTACCAAGGCTTGAGGAGTATCGGCTTCGGTAGCCTTGGCGAACACTCCCACAGTCGGTAGCGAGGAATCTATAACGCCTATGGCTTCGTATCCCACTTCGGGACCCAAGTCGCTCCAAAACATGCTCTGGTGCCAGTAAGGTTTACGTGCACCAGCCATGTTTTCTCCTAAAATCAAGTATATACCGAGTTGGTACCGTACGATCGATAAAAAAGAACACGTTAGAAATCAGGGCCCTTAGTCAGGTGAGTCACCTTAAAATTGACGCAAATTTTAAGCCCTGTTTAAAGATGGAAAATATACACAGGATATCAATTGAAACTGATTAAAAAGCGATATTTGAATAGTTTTTTCAATGGAAAACGTAAATTTTGGCACGAATTGGCATAAACTTACCTGCTAATCGACCAGAAACTACAGCATGATCGTGATGCTCAATACGCCGACGTCCCAAACGAGGATCATAGAAACACGTACAATCGCCAGCAACATATAAATCGGTACGAGCCTAAAAATGATACATTACAAATATCGTGGTAGATTTGCGTTCTTATGTTATACAAGGTGTCCCAATATTCCGTGGACATAGAACTACTACGTATTTTTGGAATGAAAATAAGTTCATTGGGAACAATTTACCTCTATACAAAAGTGCTTCGTTTGTCCGCTAGAGGGCATCAAACTTTAATAAAACAAACACATTTTTTCAGATGTTTTAAAAACTGTTATTCCCATTTGAATGATATTTTGGATGTCTATGTTTTGCTAAGTGCTTTAACATCTGTCTAAAAATATGTGCTTTATATATAAGTGCTATAATAACTGTCACAAAAACCAAGAAAAAGTGTCATTGTCCAAGAAAAAGTCTATTGTGGTGGCGTTTTTTTGCAAAAGACAAAAAATGTAGTAAATACTAGAAGGATAATTTTACGAAAAAAATCGGTCGTCGGTTGAGTTGGAAAATATTTATACTAAACTGTATGTAGGGGTGGGGGTAGTTTTCACTCTTCCCGTACTTTTTCATGATTTTTGTGAAAGTCAAATGTTAAAGCACTTAACAAAACATAGACATCCAAAACTAATTCAAATCGGAATTATGGTTCTCAAAATATCTAAAAAAATGTGTTTATTTTTTTAAAGTATGATGGCCTCTGACGGACAAACAAAGCACTTTTGTAAATGAACTTATTTTGATTCCAAAAATACGTAGTACTTCTATGACATACCATCCACTTTGGTACGGCTGATGTTGAGGATGGAGAGCTGGCCTCTGTGGAGCCGTCTCAGATACTGGCTTTTGTCAAAGCTCTGAGATTGTATGTTGAGTTATAACTCAATAAAGGGGAACACACAATAGGTCTGTAAGGTCGCGGTGATTAACCCCCCTCCTAAACATTCTACATTCTATTGTAACGAAAATATTTTCGTTACATTTTTCCTTTTATATCGTTTATCCGTTTTTTTATATATTATCGATTTTTTGCGGAACCTCGATAGTGGTACACATCACTAGCGATGGTTGTTAGTTTAAATTGTTTAAATATTTTATATATTTTCTGGTTGCCTATGGGTTACCGATAATAATTTGTTTATTTTTAATGAAAACGAAGGTTTATTATTAATATTTTGTTTAGTGTTAAATAATTAAGATGCAATTGTTACACACATTTTTTTGAAGGTATGTAGGAAATTTTATCGTATTTATTATTTTTACTATTAATTATAAATTTTTATATTGACATTTGGTACTTAACGCATGTCTAAATGAATTCTATAAAGGGACTTGTTTTGCCGAAAATCACTCTCTCTCATCTCGATCTTCTTTGCTTAAACACCTAGTTTTTTTTTCCAGACACCGGCACGAGGTACGACTTGGAAATTATTTATTAGTTTTATTTTTTTAAACATTTACTATCTAATATGATTTAATTATTTGATTTAATTATTTAATTAGCTTGTAACTTTGAATTATCCAGTTTTGTGGTGGTTAAAAGAACACCACCACAAAACTGGGTACTTATCAATTGTGTTGAGTAGAATACTGCTGTTTGTTATCTTCTAGGAAGATACGAGAATTGACCCTCCCCATAAGTAGCTCACGCACTGAGACTGGTGGAGTCTCACAAGCTCTCCAACGTTAGCCGGACAATCACGCTACCCACCAGCGGACGAGTGCAGCGAAGAGGGTGAGGCCTTTCTCCCAACCAACCGAAGCAGAAACACTTAAGTATTCCAGTTGCATATCTAATCTCATATAATCGAGACTGTCACAGCCAATTACATTGATTGTTTATAATTGTTAATTAAATATAAGTCATTAATGAAATTTTCTATTGTCTTATTTAATTCCAAAGCATACTTCCACAAACCAGTAACTTTTAGAATTTCGTGGGTTATACTATATCCATGGAATATTGGGACACCAATGTATGTATATGAACAACATATGTATATGAACAACACCAGACTCCCAGACAGATTATTGAAACAGTAATGACAGAAAAATACATTAAAACCCTAGATCATATATATACTCTGTTTTTTTTCTCAGGTAAGATTTCGACTAGCGATGGGAACTATCGAATGAATTAGACTATCGAATGGTTACTGAATGAATGATTTCAACTATCGAATGGTTTTATTCGAATAAAATCATTCATTCATTTGTATACTAAAGCATACGTGACAACCTCGCCGTGCCACTAAATGGTTATCGTTGAGCCACGACTATCGAATGCTTTTGATAAATAAAATTTAGTATCCGTTTGATTTTTGTGTGCGTCAGTGCATTATTAGTTCTTCCAAATTTTTATAACTTCGCCGTATAAATACTGTGCTATTTTTGCGTTTGTTAAAATATTTAAAATACTAAAATAGTAGTTTTTTTAATTGACGATTGTGTGCGTGTGCAGGTGGTCAACATTTTTCCGAAAATTTTTGTGATTTTCTGTAGCCCGATCTTTCAATTATTTAATTTTATATGGTATATGGTCTATTTTTAATGGAAAATTTTGAGAAGCAGCAATTTTTAAGAGAGATGAGATGAACTTACAATTAATTTTAAAAATAGATATTTGTATTTTAAATGTTTTAATAATATGAATGAGTTGAACTTAATAATCATATTTAAGTAATGTGGTTAAATAAATGGTTATCGAACTCAAACTATGGGGTGAGAAAATTAAATTGAAAGTTTTACACGTGCCAAGTAAGGTCCTCGAGAAAGACAAACCTATTGAACGTTTCATAAGTGCAATAAAGAAGGTTTGAAAATGGCATGTCGTGATGTTGGAGACATATTTTTTAATGCTAAACTTATGGCGTTGATTTATCCACGTAAGTATATATGATCTAGGATTAAAATACTTTAAAATATAGGTTAAACTACTGTTATCTTACTATTAAAAATAATTACTTGCAATTCCGTGTTCACTAGGAAACCGCCGAGATCCGCGTCTACTTCCAGATCCGATTTCTCCGCAATTTGGGTGTTGGCCTCCACTCCAGCAGTAACGACCACGAAATCGACCTGTAAGCACTTTCCGCTGGAGAGTCCAAGCTCTACTTTACCATCCTTCGATCTTACACTGACAATTTCACTATTGGGAATCACCTAAAATGCGTTCAGTATTAAAAAAAAGTAACTTTTTTATCTTTTTTACGACTTGACGAACATAAAAAAAATACGCAAAGAGGTAAAACAATGAAATCGGGCATTGCAGATCATGTGTGGTCCAGGCACCACAACATAAAATGGTCGGAAGCCCGGGTTGTCCAGAAAGAACCCCATTGGAAAAAGTGCAAATTTAAAGAAGCCGTATTCATTTCTAACAATAATAAAATCTTTAGCAATCCAAGTATGGAAATTTCAACCATATGGCAACCACTCATAAAATGCAAACGCTCCAATGCAGGTATTCTTAATGGAGAACCTCATGCTTGACTGCACCAACTAATTCACTGATAACGGTCTGTGATATTTTTGACCGAAACGTTGTTTAAGCAAAAATAAATAAGATAACAGAAGTCCGAAATTCTTTTAGTTTTAATACTAAATCATTGTCTACCACATTGAAAGTAACAAACATCTATACATATAAACTTTCACCTTTATAATATACAGGGTGGTCCGAACTGTATTCCGGAAACTTCGGTAGTATATTCTGCAGATAAAAATAAGTAAAAAAGTTCGTATAAATGTATGTTTTAATTTGCTTAGTTTCGGGGATACAGGGTGTAGAAGTTTCACTTTTATTTCGATTTTTTCCAAATAATTTCTGAAGTAACGTCAATATTTGGATGAAAATTGGTGTCTGGGAGTTTTTTGACATGAGAAATGTTGGGACAATTTTTTGAATTTGTGAAAATGTCAATCTAACTCCTATTTGTAGGATGCGCCAGTTACATGTGTTTTAACTGTTTTGAAGGGTAATAACTTTTCGTCCGTACCTGTATAAAACTACTGAGTAAAAAAATATATATTCCCGTGTCTTTTTACATAAAAAATGTCTCTTGATAAAAATCGCTACTAATAGTCAATACATGTCATTATTGAGAAAAAAATAAACACGTTGAGTATAGATAGTTATTTGACTGAAATAATAAATTTGGAAAAATTTTGTTTTTTAAATGAATCATAAATTTTTCTGCGAAAAAATGATGATAAAATAGTTTCTGTTGAAATTTTGACACAAAAATATTTCAAATTTATGATTTCAGTCCCATAGCTATTTAGTCAACATGTTTTATTTATGCCAATGGCGATAATTGTTGATAATTTCGTTTCAAAATATCTCGAGAACCATTACTCGTAGCGATTTTTAACAAGAGACCTTTTTTACGTAAAAAACGTCGTGAATGTATATTTTTTTCACTCAGCAGGTTTATTATTAAAAAATATGTAGGTAGCTCTCTACAAGTAGGAGTCATATTGACATCAAAATCAAATTTCTCATGTCAAAAAAACTGCCAGACACCAATTTTCATTCAAATATTGACGTTACTTTATAAATTATTTGAAGATAATCGAAATAAAAGTGAAACTTCTACACTCTGTATTTCCAAAACTAAGTATTTTAGGACATACGAACTTTTTTACTTATTTTTATCTGCAGAATATGCTGCCGAAGTTTCCAGAATACAGTTCAGACCACCCTGTATACATATATCAGAGTATGTTAAAACTTACATTGACTCCTTCTGCTCTCACTTTGTCAGTCGTCCAAAAACTGAGATATTCAGGTAGAATTTTCCCCATACTCCCGGTCTCTCTAAATATTTGATATATTTCCTTCGACTTCCTTTTATCTACAGGCAAATCAATATTGTACCTTACCAATACCATTCGATCGAAAAAAAAACGGCGTCAAAGGCGGCTAGGGAAAGACATTCGATGATAATTTTGGCGAGGACCGTACTCTTCTCTATTTTTTAATGGCGCTTACTACCAGTTGGCTTTAAGATGGCTGTTATTTATCTTTATATTGAATAAAAATAATTTTTAAACGGTGTAATACGCTATTCAAGAAAAAATACATTTTTGGAAATAGATTTGTGTGTCTAGAAAAGTGCTATCCTTGTTTAATCTCTCTATAATTAGTGTTAATTTTTGACAAGTTTTATGTCAATTTTTATTAAATGACCGGTCTAGAGATTTACCTCGCCAAAATAATAATCGACTGTCATTAGCCAGTTGTTTTTGACTCCATTTTTTCGATCATGCGGTGGAAATTGAAGAGTTTGGCGCAAAAAACTGGTCAGTTCTATCAAAAATTACTTTTTCAATTATAATTTAAATATGCTTGGGACGCTAAATTATTTGAAATGAAAATGGGGCAGTTCCATGTTTTTACTTTTTTTTTTAATTAGTAATGAAATAAATCGTATTTTTAGTCATACAATTAGTTTTGTTACAGTTTCATATCTTTTATGTCAAAAAACAGACAGCTCCGTTTAAAAAAAATGTTCCATACTTTCATATATTTTCATAAAAAATGTTTTCTAGTGATTTTTTCTTTATTGATAACTTTCTTTTTCAATTTTTTTTCCATTTTATACCAAAAATATGAATTTACTTTGTTTCCAAAAATACCTAGTAGTTCCATGTCCTATGCAAAAGTGCTTCGTTTGTCCGCTAGAGGGCATCAAACTTTAAAAAAACCTTACCTTTAAACCATTATTGCCCGATTTGAAATTCTCAAAATATTTTCCAACTCAACCGACCACCGATTTTATTTTTCGTAAAATGGCCCTTCTAGTATTTACTACACTTTTTGTCTCTTGTAAAAAAATGATATCGTGCTTATTTTTTAGGAAAGAAAAATTTTTCCGAAGCTGACTTTCAAAAAATGTTTCCGTCACATCAAGCTATGGAGATGCATAAAATCTATTATGCTCTTAATAATCAGGTTGGTGAAAATATGGCATTTTATGTTAGTATAACAAATTATATTTGACAATAACCTTCTTAGGGAACTTTAGGAAACTAAAATTAATAATTTTGAATTGCCAAACGTTCGGGTTTATTTTTGATTGATGCCCTCTAACGGACTTATGTGCAATTAACTTATCTTGATTCAAAAAATACGTAGTTGTTCTATCCCCACGGAATATTAAAACTTACGTTTTTGGTTTGGTTTGGTTTTTTTCCTCAGCTTAAAGCCGGTTTTAGCGACTAAGTCGGGATAATTCTTATCAACGACCTAATCGCGGTTCAACACAGTGCGAACGATAGAACAGGTAGAAAGAATTGTGGACTTCTGCATGGTGGAGATGATTCTTTCCGGGTTGTGAAGTTCGAGTTTTTTAAGGCTTTGAACAAGGTTTACGTCTACTGCGTCTACTAGAATACAGGTAGGTATTATTGGTAATATAAAAGTCTTGCTCAAATCGCATATAGTTTTTAGTTCTTGCGCCAGTGCTTCATATTTTGTGATTTTCTCTTTTCTTGCATTTTTAATATTTTAGTCTAGTGGTATTGTGATGTCCAGCAGGTAAGCATGTTTTTATTTTTTATAGAAGACTTACTAAATCAGGTCTATTATGCTGCACAGTACGATCTGTGATGATGTCAGTATCCCAGTATACTTTTACGTTTTCGTTTTCTACTATTTTTTCAGGTAAGTATCGGTAGTACGGTGTAATTTCATTTAAAATATTTTCTTTTTTGCAGATTTCTTGGTGTAAAATACCAGCCACCTGGTTGTGCCTGTCCAGATAATGCTGCGGTGCAAGATAGGTACATCCAGAGCAGATGTGTTGAATTGTTTCCGGAAAGGCATTGCATAGTCGGCATCTGTCATTAGGTAGGTCCTTTTTGGCTATTATTTTTAGGAAATTTTTAGTTGGTATTTGCTGGTCTTATATAGCTATAATAAATCTATTTGGATGTATATGGATTCTAAGTTGGATGGATATGGATTCCACTCTTCGGTTAGTTCCTCAGCACCCCTAGTACCTGCAGGTAAGCTTTGACCTGCTAAGTTTAAAGGTGTGAAATTCCTGTCGGCGGTCTTAAAAGCTGAAAGGAGAGGGTCATTTGATTGGTCAAAGTAATGCTGCAGACTTCTGATGTGCCTTTCATGCATAGCAATGAGACTAATAATTCCTCTTCCACCTTTGTCCCTTGGCATGGTTGAAGCATGGGGCTGGTGCATTCGGTGCCTTGTCATTGATGTTCTGACTTTCCTATCGAGAGACTCCAGGTCGGTTTGTGACCATTTTAGAACTCCGAATGTATTAAGAATTACAGGTGCTGCCCACACATTGATCGCAGCTATTTTATTCTTCGCATGAAGCTCTGTTCCCAAGACTTTACAAACCCCCTTCATAAATGCATCCTCCGCAGTCTGCTTTATTACTCCATCATCAAAACTTACGTTATCATTATATTATTTAAATTATTAATTTTTATCAATATTATATTATTTAAACTGTGTATTACGTACATAGGTTTACTTTGGAAAAATAATTTCTCCAAATTTTTTTTTCTCAAAAACTATGGGATGTGGCAATGGAAAACCATGGTTGTGAAATAAAATTCGGTCGTGGGTTAAGTTGGTAAATATTTATACTAAAATTTATGTAGGGGTGGAGGTAGTTTTCACCCTTCCCGTACTTTTTCTTGAATTTTGTGAAGTCAAATGTTAGAGCACTTAGCAAAACATAGACACCCAAAATCTCATTCAAATCGGAATAACGGTTCTTAAAATATATCTGAAAAAATGTGTTTATTTTGTTAAAGTTTGACGCCCTCTAGCGGACAAACGAAGCACTTTTGTATAGAGGTAAATTGTGTCCAGTGAATATTGCGACACCGTATATAACAGTTTTATGATACCGTAATTTTTATTAAAATGGAATTAATCAGTTTTTGCATCAAACCCTTCAATTACAAATGAAAACTTACCTTTTCTGCCAAATGCACAGGCCAGCTCACTACCTAGGAACCCACCTCCGATTATAGCCACGGATTTAGATTTGTTAAAATCGCATAAAATATCTCTAAAGTCGTCGACGTTTCGATATACTTTGATTTGCTTCTTCAAGGTTTCATCAGAGGCAGCTACTTTAAAAACGGGCGTCAATCTAGGCTTAGCTCCTAAAAATACAGTGACGCCATCAATTGTTAAGCGCATAATGCGAGCAATAAAAAAGAGTGCATCTTAAACTCTCTCGACTAGATAATATACAAGGCGTTTCAAAGACATGTGCCATCTCTCGTGGGGTGATTTCTACATGTTTTTTGAAAAACCCTGTATAAAACGACTATTATAACATACCCGTTGCGATGAGGCATTTGTTGTACTTAATTGCTTCGCCGTTTTCTAAGTAGGCTACGTTTTCGGTAACGTCGATATGATCTATCGACCAGCCTCGAGCTATGGCAACACCGCCATTCTCGCTGTCCATTAGTTGCTTACAATTAATATAGAAATCTTCCGGTTCGTAAAATAAACTGAAAAAAAATATTTTAAAAATTATCTTAAAGGTGTTAAAAATATAAAACACAGGCTGTAAATTGTTGACACTTAGTGTTTCTCTAAGTGTCTACGGGTAGTCATATTTTCATGGCTAATCTTACTGTAGGTTTCGGCCGATAATTTCAATTTTCTTTATTATTACAGTCCCCACGATTCTTTGTTTATTAAAAAATATATAGGGTGTCAAAAAAATAGTGTATCTAATTAACTTCGGTGGGTGATTTTACTGATAAAACTAAAATAAAAAGTTCTTATACCGTCGAAATGGTAAATAAAAACAATATATTTTGATTATTTTTAAGAATATTGGTAAACCGTTTTTCTAGAAATTTGGTACTCATATTATAAACATTTTAATGCCAAAGCGAATGGCGATAGTGTAAAATTCCGAATTCTGTACTCTACCTTAGGATAGAGAGTACAACTGATGGTACTTCTTTTATTCTTATAGATAAAGTGATTTCAACAAATGACATAAAAAGCTAGGACTTTTTTAAGTAAAAAAGGTACTCTTCGTTTAGTTAGGTTAGGTTAGGTGACCGATTTTCAAGATATTTGGGTTTAAAGGTCACGATGCATCGATTTCAGTATTAGTGAAAGGATAAAATGTAAAGAAATTAAAAATAAATTAATCTCAGTTTCGAAATAAACGAAGAGAACCTTTTTTATATAAAAAGGCTAGTTTTTTATGTCATTTGTTGAAATTACTGTATCTATAAGGATACATATAATATATCATATTCATATACATAGATATACCGGGTGTCCCACTAAGAATAGCTCTCGGCTGTATCTCGGAAAGTATTAGCCGTAGGGTTTACGAAAAAAAAATATTAATAACTAAAGGGGCTATGAGAAATTGCTGGAAATTATTTTTAAGTTTGTAGAACGACCGCTAGGGGGCGCAACTGCAACAAAAATTATAAAAATGGAGTTTTTACACAATTTTGCCTAGATAAGGTGTACTATAAGTAATAGCTTCACAATCCTCAGTAAATTTTGAATATTTTTTGTTAGAGCCATTTTCCCCTATCTACCAAAATAAAGTAGTGGGGGAAGGTTAGATTTGTTTTTATTTAAATATTCATAACTCTGGACTGGATGATCGGAATCCAGCAAGCAAGGGCTAGTTTAAAAGAGCGTTGCTTACTCTATATTGTACCATATAAACAATAATATTAACCTTTTGAACGTAGACGCTAGGGGGCGTTGTCTTACAATTTAACAAACATTGTGCGTTTTTTCAAAAAAATTAAATGCAATAGTATATGTAATTTTAGCTGATAGTAAAGAGTAGTAAAAGCTTAAAAAGTCAGCGAAAACCGCATTTTGATATCTTCTTTCAAACCGAAGATATTAGCAAAATTATAATAAATACCAAAAAATAAGCCCTTAATTACCTTATTTTTACAACACGGTATCAGAAGCTCTCTTAATTATGCCCATTCTAACAAAAAAAAAAATAAGATAGAAACAGTTAGTTTATTTTAAAATCGACGAAATACCAGAATATCATAATACCAGAGGTATTAATATCTAATAATTAAGATATTAATAAAACCATACCTTCTTTCAGATCCATTCCATTGTTTGAATGTTAGGTTTTTCACAGCCGTTTCATCGTCATTAAACCATATCTCTTTGGACAATGGCGGCCTCATGTAAGGAAAATGCTCTTCGTTTGAAATTATTAATATCTAGAAATCAAATAAAAGATTGTCGTATTAAATATATTGCATACAGTTGCCGCATCTAAAGAAGAAAACAGGACACTCTCTCCTCAACGAACACCTCGGTTGATTGAAGCTAAGAAACAACGGCCAATACTTTTAGCGATTTTTTTATGTAAACATAATTGTTCCATGATCTCTCTATATCAACATATCTCAAGTATTATTTATTCTTTCAGACTGTGTTTCGGAGGACAAAATTAATAGAGGACTGGAGTAGAGGACTCTATACATCCATAGTCTCTAAGTTGGTAAGTTGACTGTTTTGATTAGATACATTTTCCTTGCATGTTACAATGTGTTGTTTTTATTTTGTATCTAATGGCAATTTTGTTCCTATTTTGGTTAGGCTCCAGTAAAGTTCTTCTAGACAAGAAGAGATGGCAATGAGTATCTTACATACATAAGTTCTGTTTGCCTCTTTATTAACCTTTCCAAACTTTTGAACAGCGCAAATTATCGATCTCTGTTTACAATTTATGATTTGTTGGTCCAATGTGGCCATGCATTCAAGTCTAAACCGCACTTAATTCCGAGGAGCTGGTAAAGGTGGTAAGGACACTGGTAAAGGTGCGTCCAGATCTGACGTGACGAGAGCGACACATCGTCTATCCATTTTTTGAGGAAAGCCTGCCATAAGACAATTGAGTTGGGTCATAGTGAACGGAACTCAAGAGCCAGCCTACCAAAAACACGTCGAGACTGTGCCGCGAACTTTCTTTAATCGGCCGTCGCAAAACCGACAGAGGACGGATAGCAACGAGGCTCCGTGGGTTGTCTCGCGAGGCTCTCACGAGATTCGTCCATACTTAACGAATTTGGAATGTCTCGCGCTCGTCTCGCTCTCGTCTCGTCAGATCTGGACGCACCTTAAGAGATTGTTAAGGCGCACGGTTTTTTCTTTAGATGCGGCCAGTTTACAATGGTTTACGTACCTTTGCGGTAGGATCCGAAGATTTGATCGCCCGAAAGGCTGAAAATGCCGCAGTACCACCCCCGATAAGCAAGTAAGGTACGTCTTTCGGAATATCCTCAGCGCTCTTTGGATCCTTGAACTTCTCCTTACCTAAAAACCATTTTTATTTCAGTCGATAAAATCAAATAAATACACACAACGTTGTGTACTATACCTACTAATTTTTTACCAACTTTCTTCTTCGTAGAGGCATCTGTGGGTTCTTTACCTAAACCAACATAATACAGCTAAAATGAAGCTAGTTTTTAAATGCACAATCTCCGATAATCTAGCAAGACTTACAACACCAACCGAGGTTATCGCTACTAAAGTACCAAATAGTAAGTACCGCCTTGCTCTGGTTCTGTATTTATTTTCGTTTTCCTCCCATGGTCCCTCGGGGTGTGGCATTTTACTCAGTTCGCTCGGAGGTTCGCATTGTGTTAAAGACGGCATTTTCTAAAAAAGTATATAATGTTATGCATAGGCTCATATATGCGGACATACATATACCGGGTGCGTCTCAAAAGTGGCTTACCCCTATAACTTTTTTATTTTTTCAAATAAATAAACGACATTAGGTATGTATAGTGGAGTATATGACATAAATTTGGATTGATTGACGTATTCAATTGTTTTCGCTCATTTCCTGTTTCACCGAAAATGACTACAACTTTTGATTTTTAAATGAGACCCTCGGTATTTTTTACTTTATCCGATAGAAAATGAATTGAATGACATATCATATGTCAACTTTTAACATTTTCGGATACGGTTTATTTGGAATTGTAACATGCGGTTCATAACGACTTCGCGTCGAATTAATCATTTGTAATGGTGATGATAAAGCAAAGCAAGAATTTCCATTAATATACAAACTGGATAAAATTTTCTCACATTTATGTCAGCATGAGAAAAAACAATATGGCGATATTATTATATAACTTGGTAATATTTGGGGGCTTTGAGGGGTAGTTTCATCTCGTTGGAATTTGACTTTGAAAAAATCCGTTTGCCAAAAATAAACTTTTTACGTCAAGCAGTTTAAGCAGAATCGTGGTTAAGAAATTACCCAACTTTTTGGAACACCCTGTATGATTTTTTAAAAAATTTCAAAATATGTAAAAAAACCAAATAAATTATGCTTGTCCAAGGGTTTTCCCTAAAGACTAACCGTTTTTTAAATAACAAATATTGTAATATTTGAGGGGCGTTTTCACCCTCTTGGAATTTGACATTCGAGAAACCCCTCCTTATCGAACCTCTACACCCCACAGTCAATCCGTTTACCAAAAATCAGCTTTAAACGTCAAGCAGTTTAAGCAGAATCGTGATTACTCAATGGTCATATTTTATGAAACACCCTGTATAAATTTATAGAAAATCTTAAAATATGTAAAACAACAAAATAAAATATACGTGTTTAAGAGTTTTTCCGAAAAACTCACCGGTTTTTAAATAAAAAATATTTTAATATTTGAGGGATAGTTTCACCCCCTTAGAATTCGAGTTTCGAAAAATCCCTTCTTATAGAACCTCTACACCCTAAAGTTAATCTGTTTTCCAAAAATCAGCATTTTACGTCAAGCGCTTTAAGCAGGCTCGTGATTAATCAATGACCAGATTTTTCGAAACACCCTGTATACATTTTTAAAAAAATCTTAAAATATGTAAAAAACAAAATAAAATATACGTGTTTAAGCGTTTTTTCGAAAACTTGACAGTTTTTTAAATAAAAAATATTGTAATATTTGAGGGGTGGTTTCACCCTCTTGGAACTGGAACTTCGAAAAATCCCTTCTTATTGAACCTCTACACCCTAGAATCAACCTGTATGCCAAAATTGAGCTCCTTACGTTGAGTGGTTTGAGCAGGATCGTGATTAATCAGTATGTCAGTCACTTAAGGATTTTATATATTAGTATAGATTTTGCTTTGTATGAGGGGTCTAAATAATTAAATAATATGATGTGGGAATATTATATTTAAAGCCATATTTCTTCTGTTTTCTTAAATACATTGTGTTTTCTAAAGCTTCAACTTATTACAACCTCACCTCAAACCTTTGATCTTTGAAAGTTACATACATAGGTTACATAAACTACACCCTCTAGAACTACATTAACGACATGTAATGTAGTTTATGTAGTTTTTAAAAGTAACATGTAGTTTTCCGAACCCTGGTGTGTGGTACCAAACCTTTGAATAAGAAGACTAAGGAAGGAGCATAATGCTATCCATGTATTCATGCATGGTGGGCGGAAAAAGCACTCTAGGGTGGGGATTCTTGACAGTTCTGTTTGACGATTCATTTGACACATTTGAATTTTGTGGATTTGTCAGTCTTTACGGAGCTTATTTTATGTTATTTATTATTTATTCTACTACTGATAGTTGTATAAAGATAGTAAATCTAGATAGAAATTGTGGCAGAACTTAAATTAACAGTGACACTATCGCGATTTATCGAAAAAGACTCTAAAATAGTTTGTTGTATAGCGTGCGGTAGATCTCGGCAAAAATTGAGTGAAATAATGGAACAACTTTTCGCTAGTATGTGACTATATAATATACATACGTGAAGTAAACCGTTAACCGTAAACTTAAATTAACTAAATTATATATTTTTCTTGCATTTTAGCTTTTATTTATTACTTGTCAAAGATTAGAATTAAAAAAAAAAAGTTGATATATGATGTCATTCTATTCAGGGTGTCATTTTCTAACGAATAAAGTAAAAAAATATCGAGAGTGACGTTTAAAAATCAAAAGTTGTAGTCATTTCCTGTAAAACAGGAAGTGACCGAAACCTATTGAATCAATCCTAATTTATGTCATATACCAAATCTAGTTTTTTTATCTGAAAAATTAGAAGAGTTATAGGGGTGAGCCACTTTTGAGACACACCAGGTATATTTGATACCAATTAAACTTTTAGTTTGGTTTGGTTTGGTTTGGTTTGGTATTATTATTTAACCGAGGGCGAGATTTTTAAATTCATTATTGCCAACCGTGGCAACATATTCGTCGCCGGGCTGACTAACTGGAATTTAAATTTTCCGCTGGGGATTCAGGTGGTAGCTCTGCTGTAAAAAATGTCAAGTTGCAACATTTATTTATTCATTTCTTGACATTGTCATTCGTTTTGACACTTTAGTTTTGTATTACGAGTTTTTTGGTTTAAGTGAATTGTGTTGTGATACTTTAAGCTGAAACATTTTTACTAGCAGATCTTGCAGTCGAACATTTTTCTTTTTAAAACCTCTTTTAGTGCGAAGAGTACAAGATAGCTTAATAGCCGTAAAAAATAATCGCAACTTTAATAGAATATTTTCAATGGAAAAGTGGTAGTAATGGCCCTTTATGTCCGTTAAGTGCTGTTAAGGAGGTGAGTTTTGTTGATGTAAATAATAACGGTTTATATATTTATAATTAATTTATTTTGGTTTCCTATAATATTTTGATTCAAAGAAAATATGTAAAAGTGGGCAACGCTGTGCCAGTCAAGCTTAATCACGTGACTAAAAGTTTATTTGATATGATCTATAGGAAATACCATATAAATTTAAAGTTTGTCGTTTATTGATCCACTACTGATCTTATAAGAAACTATTAATGGAATTTTTTAAAGTACTGGATTAGATCAGGCTATCTCTCCACTTTGAAACTCCTCCGATAAGCCATTACATAAATTTAATTTATTACTTTATTTTATTATTATTATAAATCTATTTTTTTAATTTTTTTGTTTATTTTTATATAAATAAATAAAACATAATTACATTTTTCTATATCCCAAAAGTTAAGCTGTTTAGGACATACATTCATATGAAGTGTTTTTTTTATTCAAGAATCACCCCCTTAAATATTAGAACGTCTTTAAGAAACACCCTGTATATTTAAAATCTGAAAAACAAGATTTTAAAAAAATTAAAATATACAGGGTGTTAAAAAAAGCGAAGTTATAAATTTTTCTTAATTTCTTTTCAACATTAATTTGTTTATTATATTTTCACTTTCTGGTTATCTCCAATAGGTAAGGCTGTAGCTATCGCTTTAATTAAAAAAATGAAAAAAATTACTGACATAAACCTTGTCAAAAATTAACATAATTATTATACGTGGATTAAAAACGGATAGAACTTTTCCAGATAGACAAATCTATTTCCAAAAAATTATTTTTACTCGAATTTTAAACTACCCCATTTAAAAATCATTTTTACTCAATATAAAAATAAATTACAACCTTCTTAAAGCCAACTGGCAGTAAGCGCCATTAGAAAATGAAGAAGAGTACAGGCCAAGTAAATAATGTCTAGGGCTTGACCTCGCCAAAATTATCGTCGATTGTCATTCCCAGCCGACTTTGACGCGGCTTTTTTCGATCGTATGGTACTTTACTTTAGTATATAGTATATATCATACCCTATCAACATAAAGATTGGCTTTGAAAGGATTAATTTCTATCGGTTGGCACTCTTTCAATTTGACAGCTTCCAATGTCTGGCCAGCATTATTAAGTTCTACAGGATTTGGGGAGGGATGGGATGTTATGGAGGGACCTTCATCACATACCTTTTTTCCACCATCATCTGATAAATTTCGTCTAGGGACCACTATTTCTGGAGATATTTTGCTATTGGCACATCCTAAAAATATATACATCTATTTTAACAAACAATTAACATTTTGACATACTCGGAAACGGATAGAGATAGCTTAAACTGGAGCAAAGTTGCCTGTTGGTGAGTGCAACGATAATCTGTTGAGTAATCAAATTTTAAACTAACAGTAACTGACAATCTCTAAACACTAAAGCAACGTGAAATAAAGGGCAGATCACTTAGAATTGTTCATAAAATGATATAGTATAATACTTACTGTATATATTTGAAACTCCTCTGGATCTTCCAAAAAATTGTGAACCCTTAAAAGATGCAGATTCAGCACACTGCAATAAGACTAGTGTTCTATACATATTGCTTAGTTTTGTAACTGATTGAACACTTTAGGGTTTATAGAAATGCTGAAATGTTGAAAAATGTCAGTAAATACTGTTTTTGAAGTACTGAAACTGTGCCTTAAACTAGTTCTATATGTTTTTATAGAAATAATGACTGTACAAAAAGTCGCTAAATATATTTGAAATACTTCTTGTCTGACACAATCTTAAACTTGTTCTATGCGAGAAAACCATAGCAACAAACTAGTATACATTATTATTGTTGACTCGTAATTATTTAAATAAATGTATTCTATTTAATAAATGATTAATACTACAGAGATCCGATTAGGAAATGCAAAAAAACACCTTTGCTTTTTTAACTTTAAAATTTAAAGTAGGGATGTGCCAAAATAACCGGTTATTTCGATAACCGGTTTTTTTTCACTTAGTAACCGGTTATTAACCGGTTAATTTCCTACGTCAGTTTAACCTAATAACCTTCAGCTTTGATCAATAACCGGAGGTCGGTTATTTTCTATTTTAACTAAGTTCGGTATTTTTATCTTACATATTTCAGAACAGTTTTTCTTTATTTATCGAGATTTGTCGGAGCCATAGACAAAGAGTCGGAGCATAATACCTTTATTATTATACACTTCTACTCTACTACTCCCAGCTACTCCTTCAAATATGAAATATCAATAATCTGTGGTCAATAATGTCATCATACTGTCATGTCAAAGTCAAACTGGCATCCTTCCTTAACCTTAAAATTAAAAAAAAATCGTTCTCTTCTCATTTTGTTCTCATACGTATGTATAATGGGCTTTGCTTTATATTATTTTGCAGTATTTAGTGATAGTGCTTTTTATTTAAAATTAAATACCATGGCAGACAGCTCAGAACAACACCTAGCAGGCACTTCCACTTCAAAAAAAAGTGAAGTTTGGACCTTTTTTTCCAGAAAAGGTAACGGCATTTGCAAGTGCAATTTGTGTAATAAAACTTATAAGACTGGTGGAGGCACAACAAATTTAAAGAATCATTTAAAACTTAAGCATCCTTCCGCTCTCAAAGACACAGATAAAAAAACTTCTCTTACAGCAAATCTCTTTTCGGCTCCATATAAAAAACAAAAACCAGAAACAAGTTTCGATAATATTTTGTTGTCAGATGAAGAATATGTACCTGAATTTGAAAGGTCAGTGTCTTCGGCTTCTGTATCAACATCAAGGCCACTTACGCCAGCCCAGTCAGAGTCTGACATATCGTCAGTTGCACTTGTTGATGTTGAGGACAGTAGGAGTAGTAGTGTGGATGTGGAATTGGATTTGGTAAATACCTTTTTTTACTAATAAACTGTTATAAACTAGTTAAACTAAAACGATATCCTTTTTAGTTAGCGAGTAGGGCACAAGCACAATACTCTTTAAATGCTCAAACTGCCCAGGACAGCAATTTTATACATTTAGGCAAAAAAAATGCCGCAGTTATTTCCAGCCTACCATCAAAAATGCATTTAAGGACCAACGGAGTTATGAATGTAGGTATTAGGGCAGATATTATTATATTATATTGTTATAGTTAACTTGTGGATTGACATTATAAAATGACATATTTTAATTGTATTTTTATGTGAATCCACAAATTAACTATAACAATGTTTTTATAATAATTGCCATGGTTCTGCTGTTATTATGTTCTACTATTAATTTCGTTTTTGTTTTTAATAATTTGGATATATTTATGTTTCAGCTGGGGGAACCAGAGAAGCAATAATAACAAATTCTTTAATATATATGATATGCAAGGATAATTTGCCCCTAAGTTGCACAGAAAAGGAAGGTTTTAAAAAGTTTTTAAATACAACAGTCCCTTTATACAAACCTCCAAGCAGAAAAATGGTAAGTTTGGCCACCAACTGAACATACAATAATTCGCACACTGCAGAGTGTTGCATGCACATACATATCTTGATATAATGGTGAAGGGAAAGAGAAAAATATCAAAATTAGTTACGCTAAAAATGATGTTTTAGGTACATAGGTTAAAATAATGTAATTTTTTAGATTACATTAATGATTGAGCAGAAATATATTTCACTTCAGGCAATTATCCATAGGAAATTAAATAATATTGGAATAATTGCTCTCACCACTGATATAGCTACAGTTATGAATTCCACTAGAAGCTTCATTGTTCTAACTGCTCACTATATTGGCAAGTTGTATTAACTGTAGTGTTTTGTTCTGTTAATATAAATGTTTTCAATTTTAGATGATGAGAATGCTACTTTTGAATCATTTTGCTTGGGCGTTAAAAATTTAATACCTCACCACACTGCAGAAAATATATGCAGTGATCTCACTGAAATGATTGATGCATGGGGTATAAAAAAAGATAATATAATTTCAGTTACTACAGACAATGGAGCTAACATAGTTGCTGCAGTTAATTTATTATTAGGGAATAAAGGTCATGTTTCATGCTTTGCTCATAATATTAACTTAGTTGTAACCAAAGCCCTTGGAGCTGTTCAGGATGTTGTAGCTATAATTGAAAAAGTCAAACGTATTGTGGCATATTTTAAACACAGCAATACAGCCCAAGATGATTTGAGAGGTGAGCAAAGACGAGAAGGGAAAAAAGATGGCACTTTCCTATATTTAAAGCAAGAGGTGCCTACCAGATGGAACTCTACGTATTACTGCTTGGAAAGGTTTATTTTATTATCAGGCCATATTGGAAAAATTTTACTTATGACGACGCATAAAAAAGCACCACCTATGCTAACTGCAACTGAACTGTCAATAATTGAAGAGTGTCTTCAGTTACTCGCACCCTTTGAATCAGCAACCAAAACTATTTCTGGAGAAAAATATTTATCTGGCAGTTTAGTAATCCCACTTATAAATTGTTTAAATTTGTCTTTGCAAAGAATTATTGTCTCTCACGACCTTTCGCAGAAACTCAAAGAGGAACTTAGTCAACAGATCGAACGGAGACTCCGTCCTCAGGAAAAAAATATTTTGCTAGGTGTTGCAACAATGTTGGATCCAAGATTTAAAAAGATCCACTTCAACTCTCCTTTGATGGTATCCAATATTATAAATCGGTTGAAGACTGAAGTTCGAGAGAACGCTCGACGTACAGAGATAGAAGACAGAGATACTGAACCAGATAATGTTGGCACTGCCACTACCAGCAAAGATATATGGGGTATTCATGAAGAAGCTGCTGCTAGTCTCTGGTCTGCATCAGATATAGATAACCCTGGAATGATCCCAAGCGAACTCAAATTATATTTGGAACAGCCGACAATCCCCAGAAATAGTGATCCACTGCGGTTTTGGGCCTCTAATAAAAATGCTTATCCTGGAACTGCTAAAGTAGCTTTAAAGTACCTAACTACTTTGGGAGCCTCCGTCTCTTCAGAACGAGTTGTTTCGTGGCTAAACTATGTCTGTAATGACCTTCGAAGCCGTTTGACTCCAGAACACACTAACCAGTTGGTTTTTTTAGGTGCTCTAGATAATAAGTACTGGCAGATTTAAGAAAGTTATTACTTTGTTATTAAAATAATAACCAATTTAATTGAGTGTTTATGTTTTATATATTTATAATTTTGTAGTGTTTTTCCTTCACTTTTTGGTGTGTTTGAATTTGTATTGGTTTTAATAAATTCATTACAAATATTACAATTAACTGTATCTTTTATTTTTTACACGGGATTCGAATCTAAATTAAATAGGTAAAATAACCGGTTATTACGATAACCGGTTATTTTAATATAAATTAACTGGGTCCGGTTAAATTATTATGTAAATTAACCGGTTAACCGATAACCGGTTATTTTACAATAACCTCCCATCCCTAATTTAAAGCAAGTTAGGTTATAATACCACAGAATTATTAGAGTATTGAACGTAGAATCAGACCAAGGGTTGTGTATTTTTTAGATCTGTTCGATAGCGTCAAATTATCGCATTGGTAACGACGTTGCTTACGTCAGTAAAGGGCCGCTATCAGTGCTATGCAGAAGTGCTATGCAAGGTACAAGGTGAGTCCAAAATAACTGAGTTATAATGCATTATTTAACTTAATTCGGGGTTTACCTAATTCGGTAATCAAATTAATCGAATTATTTACCATGTCTTCAAATTTTTGTTACTGCCTATTCCACGCTAGTTTCGAAATTACTAATTATTGAAAAATATCAATAATTCTGATGAAAGTGCGTATTATCTAAAATCTGCACAAGTATATTCTCAGTGCATTTTATTAAGATAACACGATGGAAAGCAAAATTATTTGGTTAATTTAAATTAAATTATATAATAATACTCTTTTAAATTAGATTGATTTATGTTAAAAAGTTAAATAATGCATTTTTTACCTTATTTATGAAACTATATAAATATAGAATATATTATAGTTTTAGAAAGTTTATGACAAGGCAAATAAAATAAAATAATAAAATACAGAGTGTCCCATCTAAAAAAAACATAAGTTTGAGTCATATCTCGAAAATGAAATCTCCCAGCGAAAAACGAGATACGCCAATAGTTTCTACGTAAAATACTTTACGGGACTTAGTTTTCACCTTTTGGATAACTTATAGGGTAACTGAGATACGAAAGGGGTCGAAAAATGCAACAATTTCAAAGTCCTGTATTTCAAGAACTAAGAGGAATCTGTGTGTAGCATCTTTGGTTTTATAAAAAGTAGCACAGTAATGTGAAAACCGCGTCTTTGTAGCTTCACTTATAAATGAAAAATGCTGTAAAACACACGAAAATAGGCCACCCTGTACAGCAGTTTTGTCCGTTGAGTAAAAACCGTGTAATAATCAAAATAACCGTGTAAGTATAGAGCTAGGCGGCTTAACTAGGATTGCCAGATTTTTATAGTTAAATTCCGGGAAAGCAAAAGAGCGAGCAAAAGATAAGAACAATTATCGTATATTTAAAAAAAAAATATTAATTTGAAAAACAAAAGACACTTTGAATTTTAAGTAGTATGGATACTGTGAAGGGAAATTCGATACAATAAGCCTACTTGTAATTTTTAGTCGGCCGACTATTTAGTTGCAACAGTGAAAACAATACATTCTTATGAGGTCGATCGGCCGACTATTTGATTGCGCAGCTCCATAAGGATATATATTTTGGTTACAAATATGCAACTAAATAGTCGGCCGATTATAATCAAATATTGGGTCGATCGGTTCCATAAGAATGTATTGTTTTCACATTTGCAACTAAATAGTCGGCCGAGTAAAAATTATACGTCAGTGCGTACCCTAATTATCCTAAAACAACGCACAAGAGAAAAGCAGAAAAATGCATGCTTCATTTAGAAATATGTAATAATTATTTTTATTCAGATATGCAATAAAAGATATGCAGATATGCAAAATCATTTTTGATATATCCAGATATATCAAAAGTGGTTGACCCCTATAACTTTTTTATTTTTTCAGATAAAAAAAACGAGATTTGGTATCTAAAACATACCAAATTCGAGCTTCCGCGGCGTATGAGAGGCGCCACCCTGTACATACCGGGTGCGTTTTAAAAGTGGCTCACCCCTATAACTTTTATTTTTCAGATAAAAACGAGATTTGGTATGTTAGTATATGACATAAATTAGGATTGATTGACGTATTCAATTGTTTTTGGTCACTTCCTGTTTCACCGGAAATTACTGCAACTTTTGATTTTTAAATGGCACCCTCAGTATTTTTTTACTTTATTCGATAGAAAATTACATTCTGAATGGAATGACATATCATATGTCAACTTTTGACATTCTCGCTTAATAAAAAATTGTATTTTAAAATTAATCAAGGAGCCTTGGAAAAATAGATTTGATCGTCTAATGTTTTTAGTGTCTTGTTCTGGCCAGTTAGAAAATGCTCAAATCGTATTCTTAATCATATCTCAATTTTTTGTCAAATGGATCGAGGGTCGCTCACTAGCATATTTGGAAAAAGCATTTTTTTACGAATAATTTGATACCACACACGTGATATTTCGAGTCAGTCATTACGAGCCGCAAGTTATAATGTCAAATAAACCATATGCGAAAATGTCAAAAGTTGACATATGATATGACATTCTATTCAGAGTGTTATTTTCTATCGAATAAAGTAAATAAATAGCGGGGGTGCCATCTAAAAATCAAAAGTTGCAGTAATTTCCGGTGAAACAGGAAGTGACCGAAAACAATTGAATACGTCAATCAATCCTAATTTTTGTCATATACGAACATACCAAAACTCGTTCTTTTTCGTTTTTTTAACTCAAAAAATAAAAAAGTTATAGGGGTGAGCCGCTTTTGAGACTCACCCGGTATACCCTACTATCGAAAAAAAAACGGCGTCAGCGATGGCTATGAAATGAAGATCGCTGTCATTTTATACGTAAATTTATATGGGAGATGTCATTGGTCGTCATATCCTAGCCAACTGGACGCCGTTTTATCTTGATCATACGGTATAAATAAACAAAGCTAAATCGAGAAATGCAGTTACAGTTAGATTGACGCTTTCCAGGATAGTATAATTATTTTCCGGGATCCGGGATAAATTAAATCCCGGACGTCTGGCAACCCTGTCTAAGAGGCGCCACCCTGTATAACACCGCCCTTATTTCCAGACGAAATCAGGTTTAAATTTCCTTTTTAAATTTTCCTGGCTATCACCGACTATGCGCGAAAATCACACTCGGAAAAGATGCTTTCGCGAAGCATGACAGTGGTCCAGAAACAGAGAACGGCTGAACGATAGAGATATTAGAGCGCTTTATATCGATCTGTTCTCTAAGACTGTATTCGGCGCGATTTCCAGAGCCCTTTTCATATCCACACGCTCGCTAAATTCGAAAGCGATGTAAAAAAACGTTTTTATAAGCATTTCCTAATAACTAAGCGACAAAAACAGTTATTAAACATGGCTAATAATAGTGATAGAGTTGAAATAAGTGATGCTGGGTTGAAAGTGCGTTTATTAGAGCTCTCGAGCTCTAGGCGCGACTCTAATATCGTGTTTAAGCTCAGATAAAAAAAAAATAATCAAATTTGGGAGTTTTATATCATAAAATTGAGTTTTTTCTTCGACAGAGAATCTTAGATTGAAAACATGTCACCGGTAGTATTAGGATTGGTTTTGGGGTCACTTTGAAAATTACAGCAGTTTTATTTCAGAGGTAAGTACTGTTAATATTGTTTATTATTGTTAAATCTTTTCTCTGGTTAATTGATTTTGGCGTTATTTTATATACTGTATGTCTCCAAATCGTTTTTACAACAGGAAAATCTATTTTATTATAAAATTTTGAGAAAAATGCATTCTTTTTAGAAATGTTTGCTTGTTCTAAAATGCTTAATCCCGTTTATACTTTTCCAAATTTCCATACCGTAATGTCATATTTTCCTAAAGTCCTAAAGTGGTTGGTAATATCATTTTTAAGTTTCTCATTCCCTGATAGATTGGTTATTATATCATTTTTTGCTGTTGCTAAAGTCGGTGTTAAAGTATCATCATTAACATTTTTATACAGGGTGGTGCCTCTCATAAGACGCGGAGGCTCTAAGAAGAATGAAACTTATTTGTATTGAAATGAAATTTTGTGATCATATTATCTAGGTTAATTAGAGCATTTTTTAAACATATATGGAGTTAAACTACGGGCTGTCCCCAAAAATGTTACACAAAAAATTTTGAATTTCAATAAAAGCTACCTAAATTGTAATTTATCGTGTATAGTCTGACATTTAGTTAAAATAACCATTGTACTTTAAATCAAATCAAAAATTATACAGGGTGAGACAAAATTAATATTGAAAATTGGTCACTTTTAAAAGCAATATAAGTTACTCTTATATCTTATATATAGTATTACTTCGATATTCAATGGAGAATTCATCTCTCTTCACTATCGAGGTTCCCTTCCGCTCAGACAAAGATTTTTCTAGATATTTTCACTTATATGATTTAGTGTCAATAAATCTTTATTATTTGATAAAATCTAGGTGGCTGTGATATGCTTGACGTTACTTCAATATATCTGTCAAATTAGATCAACTTTGACAGTTAAAAAACTTGACAGTTAAACTGGTTAAAACTTTTGGTTAAAACATGGTTAAAACCAAAAAAATAATTCTCAGAAATTTGCCGAAAATGAAAACTTATTCTACAGCACAGAAAATTGGTTATGATTCTATTAATTGGTGAATGGCAGTGTCCAATCATCAATTAATAGAATGATTAATTGCTCCTGATTTATCTAGTCTGGACTTTTTTATGAGGATATGTTAAAGGCAGTGTTTACAAAACTCAACCAACTACTGTCGACAATACGCGAGAAAGTATTGTGGCTGCTTTTCGAAGTATAACTCCACATAATATGCTTCTTAATGTGAAAAGGTCTTTTGAAAAGACAGTCTTTTACTCATGCAGTGAATGGGAAAAGAAGCATTTTGAGCATTTGATATTATTTTGTTAATTGTTGTCACATAATTATACGTTTACATAAATATCTAGTTTTTCCTCCGCGTCTCCGCCTAACCTAACCACCCTGTATAATTATTTATTTGAAGCAATGACTAAAGAATCCAAGGACAAATAACACCCGAGAGCAAATTGTGCCGATGTCACCAAACAGTGCCGTGGCACATATTTTTCTTAACCTAGCTGTTTGAAGCAATATTTATATTTTTTGATAATTGTTTTGACTACGCCTATGGTGTATCATACTAATTAATTACGAAAAAAACGTATTAAAATGTTAACAAAAGGTACAAAACTAGTATCGTAATTTATCGTGTATAGTCTGACATTTAGTTAAAATAACCATTGTACTTTTAAATCAAATCAAAATTATACAGGGGTGAGACAAAATTAATATTGAAAATTGGTCACTTTTAAAAGCAATATAAGTTAGCATCCTTATATCTTATATATAGTATTACTTCGATATTCAATGGAGAAATTCATATCTTCACTATCGAGGTTCCCTTCCGCTCAGATTAAAGATTTTTTCTAGATATTTTCACTTATATGATTTAGTGTCAATAAATCTTTGTATTATTTGATAAAATCTAGGTGGCTGTGATATGCTTGACGTTACTTCAATATATCTGTCAAATTAGATCAACTTTGACAGTTAAAAACTTTGACAGTTAAACTGGTTAAACTTTTGGTTAAAACATGGTTAAAACAGCAAAATAAAACACTAATTTACCGCAATACACCAAAACACTTCTACTTTTGCACTGGACGTGCGTTTACCTAACCATGTTAGTATCATCAGCAGATTATTAAAACTGGTGTGGTGACAGTTGGAGTATCCACTCTATCCTTTTATTCCAGCCTTTCTTGGTTATTCCCAGCATATTTTATTCCATTGAGCGTTGTGCGACCTCCAGTTTCCTTATAATGTCCGTTTTAAGTGTCCAGGTTTCCTCCAATATTATTTTCTTCTTTAGATATAATGGCATTCTTGATTTGAATATGATTGAGTTTCTTCCATAAGTACTCCATGCTAATTTAATTATTTTGTTGATTTCTGGTAGTCAAGATCCAAGATCCCGAGCTGTGTATTAGTTGTCCTGATATATATATATATATATATATATATATATATATATATATATATATATATATATATATATATATATATATATATATATATATATATATATATATATATATATATATATATATATTCTTCTACTATTTCCAGTGTTTTTGTGTTATTTATTAGAATGTCTTTTCTGCTTTAGTTTTTGCAAAATTCACTTTGTGACTTGCTTTATTGCTGGCTGTATTTAGTTCGTTAAGAATTCATTTCACTAGTCCGAAATAGTAGCAAAATAAGCGTTCGGCATTTAACGTTTTATGTAAAATTGGCTAGGTATTATTACCACAAATGAATTAAAAAGGAAATTAAACATAAAAAAAGTACAGCGTAATAGACTCTTAATTTATGCATAGTTCTTCAGGACCATTGACACTATCGGACTGATGGCTATAATATAAAAAAATCTAAATTTCTGCAGCCACATTTCAACGAATTCCAAAAATATCTTTTATTTTGGACATTTTAATTTTTTAGCATGCTGAATCTGTTTCATACAAAATGTTTTAATACATCTTACCTTGTTGTAGGATCCCCAGCTGACAATGACAATCTCGAAATTGGCGACGAGATTCTAGATATCAATGGAAAAACCTTAACAGAGTTAGTCACGTATGAGGCAATTATAAAACATATTCACGAGGTAAGAGAAATAAATGTTCAATTAATTTTATAGCTTGTGATTTATTTCTTTTTTTTTCTATTTTACCCACGTTTTTAATACGCTATAATATCATATAGTAGAGGAAAGTAACCATGGAATATTATTCCTAATATGGAATACAGCTTTTTCTCAGAAACGAATAAGTCTAATCGCAAAAAACAGCGATTTTTAATCTCTCTCCACCATTAAGGTGCCGCTCCGCGTCGCGTCGCGCAAAACAATTTTTTAACATATACTTTTGTGCGCGCTAAAAAAAATACACTTCAAAAGTACATGTTAAAAAAATGTTATGCGCGGCGCAGCCGGTGTGAACGCACCTTTATACTCACGTGCAGGTTTTGCCTTGTCGTTCAAACAGGCTTTGTGGCCACGGTGAGAGTATTTTCTTTCAGCGCTATGAGAAAAGTTTTTAAGGTGCTCGGAAAGTAAGTATTTCTTAATACGTAATTGCAAATAATATTGATTATTATGACAATGCATTGATTACATATTTGTTTGATTGTTTTAGGGGTCTTTTTTATCTGAATGCGTTTAATAAAAAAAATTATATACGTTTTGATTAGTTTGAAGTGTTTGTTTTATATTGGTTCATATTTGGGTACCTATTCCATATTTAGGTGCCTTTATGTTCAATTTGGTTTTGACCACAGATTTAGGAAGAACAGATATCACATTCTGCATTTTAACCCGATCAAACATTCGGAGGTTGACTACGTACTGTAAAAACCAACTGAGATAGAGAAGGCGACATTGCCACATATCAAATTTGCGCCTATCTACTTAGTTTGATTTGCAGAAAAGGTGAATTTAAAACCTTCACCGGATATCAATAAATCTCAATTTCTTAATTAAATTAATAGTTTATTTTTAAAGAAGCATGCGTAATAATATGTTATTAACCAGAGGATATATGCGTTACTATTAAAGGACATGTTTACTGTTTAATGTGCTGAAACGTCTAGAACTATTGGTAACGTCGCTGCTAGTCTTCCAGAATGAAATGAGCCGTCCGTCCCATCACCCCTCGCGACGGCCCATGGTCGTTCAGGTATTTCTGGAATGGAAATTTAATGGCAAATCTACAACTTGGTTTGAAAATATGTTCCGGCCACCTATGTTTACAAAAATGTCTAAAATGTGCCTAAATGCCTCCATATTCTGAAAAAAAAATTGAAAGAAAAGTCACCAACCACAAACCTAATATAGAACTGTTTCGGAAGCCTGAGTCACCCTGTAAATATTCAAAAGTAACTGAAAGTTTATATAGAAGTAACTGAAAGTTTAAATTGAAAATCGACGTTGGAGCGATTTTCGAAAACTACTAACGTTTCAACATAAGTATATGTGGGATATTAATTGTATTATTATATTAGACCTTATAACAAAACTCATCTGACGAAAAAGTGTTAATGTAGTATATTAATATGGAGTAAAAATTTTACTAATTACTTTACTTTTACTTTACTAATTAAATTCGTTCCAAAAAACGATACGCCACTGGCCAGTAGAACAATCCAAATGCGCCTAATTGCCGGGGTCGGAAATTTTAGACTTCTCTGTCTCTTCTGTCCTTGTTTGACACATTGGAATGTTTGATACACTACCAACGAGTATTTATGAATGAGATGTTCGGTCTATCTTTATAATGTCTTTGGTTTTGACAAAATTTTATGCTTTAAATTAATATGTAACAGAAAATGGTTATTAAGTTATGTGCAACTGTATGACTGATAATAACTAAGAATGAAAATGTTTGATTTACAATACATTATTTTTTATATAACGCTAAAACTAAATGGTATTCCATATTTGGTTACTTTCCTCTAGTCGTAACAAAAAGTAATAATTATCTATAATAATAATAATAATTGATTTGATTCTTAAGAGTCCATTTCACTAGTCTGAAAAAGTAGCGTTCGGCATTTAACGGTTTATGTAAAACTGGCTAGGTATTTTTACACAAATGAAGAAGGAAATTAAAGATAAAGGATTATGCTAATTCCGTATATTGTAGCACATTTTTAGACAACTTCTTTATTTTTAAGATTTTGATGGTCAATCATCAACAAATTATTCCTTATGTTTGGACTAAATTTTTTCGAAAAAAAAGACATAATTTAAAATTCCGTTACAATACGGAAATAAATTGAAGTTTTGTAATTACAGTGATATATAATTTATATGGTTTTGTAACAAATTGCTCGTTATTTTATGGCAAATGCTGAAGCTCTGCAAACCTTAATCAAGTCTTAATCAAAGCACGTGTGTTTGGAATTTTGGGTGTGACTTAACACGACAGGATCGGGTTAAGCCTTAGACAGATTTCTGAAATATAATATATATTTCCTTCGGCCACACACCCGCTTTAACCGACCCCTGAGAGCGACCCGAAAGTACAGCGTAATGGACTCTTAAGCAAGTTAAGAACGAATATAATTTTTTCTTTTTTTCAGTGTATCAGATCAAGGACAATATGTCTTCGAGTAAAGAGGTGCAGTGGCGCACGATTAGGTAAGAATAACTCAAACTAAGACATAATTTAACAGAATATAAAATTCTGCATACGATAAGTATAGTTTTGATTCTTAGATTTTAATTAATATATTTTTTACGGTATAAAAACTCGAATTGTTTTTTTCAGTTTTAAGACAAAATAAGCGGATCTACCACTGTCTCTCCCGGGCTCTCCCTCAAAACTATTAACATTTCAGCACAAACTAAGACATATTCTAATAGGATATAAAATTCTGCACACGACAAGTATAGTTTTAACCCTTTTAGACCTTTATTAATATCTTTTTCAACGGTATAAACACTCGTATTGTTTTTCAGGTTTAAGACAAAATAAGCGGAACTACCGCTGTCACTCCTTCAAAACTATCAACATTTCAGCTAAAAATAAGACATATTCTATTATCTAAATTACCTGCGATGACTAACTATCGATTATGGCATGTTTTAAGTTCATTAATGGATAGGATACGTGTACGTATTATTCCCCTCTCTTCCCCAACAGAAAAAAAATATCCTTGAGTTCGTCACGATTCGGCAACATTCGTTCGTTTGTTCCGTCCGTCGCGGCCTCCCGCGACCAGGTAAAACGGGAAATAAAGGTAAAACAAAATAACGGCGTATACTACAGCGCAATCAACTTACCAGCGACTTGCCCGTGCTCGTCAGTACGTACATTCCACACGATAAACTAATCTGTGAAACCTATATAACAATAGCGCGATTTATTTATTTTTCCTGTCCTCTATATCAAATCAATTTAAGTGATACATTCTCGGTGGTTCGGTTTATAGTGATTTAAAGAATTATAGTACCATATTGGTCTGTGTGAAAAAAGTGTCGCTGTCAAAAAAGATCCTGTATTGTGTATGAGTGTGTGCGTTTACTCTCTAGGTATAATTATATATGCAAGAATGTGAGCTGATGTGTTGTGTCTTGTTGTTCGAGCTATATACAAGGAGATAAAGGATGCTTTACGCGATTTCAATCAAGTATGATCGTGGTTGTGTGATCGGATTTCGTGGCTTGACCTAGAATTTAAATCACCGCAGATAGGATTGGTGAGTATACATATTATCTGCGAAAGTAAAAAAATTCACGGTGAATAATTATACAGGGTTATTCAGCTCATTCAATACGGAGTATCGTAGCAAAATTATTAGATTTATAGAAATTGTGAGTGATGAGATCGTTGGAGGCATACTAAAGCTACAATTTGAAATTATTTTCAAAAGGTACAGAATGTCCCCAATAAATAAAAAAATTATCAAAATTGTATTTTTTTAAATGGAACACTGTGTATATTACTACATTTTTACTTTCTACGCTTAAAATATAGGTAAATTTGATTAAGGTTTGCCGCACTAAAATCTTACCGTTTTTGAAATATTTACGATTTTGTGAAAATACAATAACAATAATTTTAGTCCGGTCAATTTAGACATTCGAAGGTACATAAATTTACAACAAGCTGAAAATGCGTGTAATTGTTTAAAACATAATTAAAAATAACATTTTAAAATTCCGAATCATTCTGGTGCCTGGAAAAAAAATTATGCGAGATCAAAGGTCAAAAATCTCTAAAAAAATTGTTTTTTGCGACTTTCAGCAAAATGGTAAATTTTATCTTAAAATTACTTCAAACAAAAATTATAGATCATGAAGTTCTCTATAAAAAATGTATCAATACTTTTTTCCTTTAGGGTTACTGTTTCTGAGATATAATGAGTCAGAGTTATAATCGTCATAATATGCACACGTTTCCACGCAATATACTTAGCGCGTTTTTTTAACGTGGTTTCCCCTGTAGGCCTATTCCACATTAGGGTTCCCAACTTGAGCATCGGCTATTCCGGGACAATTATTTTTAAGCTTTTAAATAATTGAAACAAGACATTAAATATTAGAAAATAAAATAAATTATGTGTGTAGTACACATTTTTTTAGTTTCCAGGTCCCGGCCAAGGCAAAACTTTCGCCGGGACACACTTTCTGATTCCTGGTTAATCCCGGCTAAACCGGGACGGTTGGAAACCCTATTCCACATGTCTATTGTGATTCTGTTTAATTGAAAATTATTGGAGAATAAAAGATATTAGTAAGGATTGGAAATTATAAAAGCGATGGAAATAAAAAATAGAAATTTACTAGTCTGATTCATAACCTTCAAATACCTCTTGTTCTTGTTGTTCTTCTTGATCTTTTTCTTTTTCTTGATTTTAGTCTTGTTCGCTTTCTTCATCCTGGATGTTAGTAAATTGTATCAATAGTGATTGTTGTGATCCTGAGTTGGACCACCGTTGTCACCAATCTTGTAGTCCTCTATTTGACTCGTATCACCACTTATGTTGGGAATGTTATTATTTATTTTTATATAATTAAATTCTTACTAATTTGTTATTACTTTTTATTTTTAAATGTTTAATACAAAATATAAATTTTTACTAACAAAAATTCAACAATCTTAGGTCTATGAAAGAATTTTTATGAATGTTCCCGGTCCCTTCTGCGACCGTGTTTTTATGAGAATGCCCTCGAAAATCCACGGGCGTACCTACTATTTCTTTATAATATTTTATGGTAGGTTTGCACAGGGACAAACATGACCGTTTCTTAAAAGTAAATAGAAACCAGACATCGCGTCTGAAAGTAAATGAATTACAAAGGAAAACTAAAATTGACGCACCTAGTTATGACTATTTTATATCGCATGTTTCTTCGTTGTTATCAAACGAATCCTCTACTATTGGTGATTCAATATTAGAACATGACCGGCCTTGACAATTTGTACATGCCAGAGAACGAAGAAAGAAGAAATAAGAAAAGAAGATAGAAAGAAGAAAGCGAATCCCTTAGGTCTTGTTGACTTAAATTACTTTTTTTGAAAACTTCAGCACAAGTCTTGTTTTTCATTTTAAAAAGTGTTGTTTTACTCCTTCTGTAAAATGCAGACGTCGCGCGTCGTATCACAGCCAGTTATTGCATGTAAAAATAGTACATGACTTTGACTCTGTGTAAAACTGGTTGGACTGTTTTGTTCTCTGGCATGTACAAATTGTCAAGACTGGTCATGTTCTAATGTTGAATCACCAATAGCAGAGGATTCGTTTGATACCAACGAAGAATTACTATTGACGCAATTTACTTACATTCAGGATGAAGAAAACGAACAAGACGAAGATCAAGAAGAACAACAAGAAGTATTTGAAGGTTATGCATCAGACTAGTACATTTCTATTTTTTTCATTTTCATCGCTTTTATAATTTCCAATCCTTACTAATATCCTTGTTTATTCATATACAAGGCTAATATCTTTTATTCTGCAATAGTTTTTAATTTAACAGAATCACAATAGACATGTGGAGTAGGCCTACTGGGAAAACCACGTTATAAAAAACGCGGTAATTGATACAATTATTGATACATTTTTTATAGATAATTTTATGACCTACAATTTTTGTCTGAAGTAATTTTATGTTAAAACTTACTGTTTTGCTGAAAATCATGAAAAACATTTTTTTCGAGATTTTTGACCTTTGACGTCGCATAATTTTTTTTTCCAGGCATCGGAATGATTCGGAATTTTATAATGTTATTTTTAATTATGTTTTAAACAATTACACGCATTTTCAGCTTGTTTAAATTTATGTACCTTTACTGTTGTTTTTTGGTCTAATTTGACCGGACTATTTTAATGCTTCATTTCTCTCGGCGTATTTAACTTTTTAAAACCAAATATTGTATTGAGGTTTTTCTATTTACTAAATTTTGTGTTGCAATAATAAAAGTAATACTACCTTGTAGAGAGTGTCTAAAGTTTTATTTTTAATAATTACTAGCTTTAAACCTGTATATTTGACAAGAAACAGATGGCACAATTTAATTGTCTATCAAATTGTACCTATAATACTATTTTTTATCTATCTTTTCAAGTTTTCGTAGAAAATACATTTTCTTATAATTTAGACCTCATTTATCATATTAATATGATAAATGAAGTCTAAATTATGCGATAAACCTATGGAATATTGACATTTTAGTGACATTAAAAAAACTGAATTTTGTATGTGTATTAGACTGGTAAAAAGTAACACCTTAATAATTGTATTTTTTTGACGAATGAATATTAATAACAACATATTAGGTATGTAATTAATTAATATTTCGGCGAAAATAATCGTGGCATTGGTGGCAATAATGGTGACATTAGAGGCATAATAGTGGCATAGTTTTCTTTTTGTAAAAAATTGGAAAGGGTTAAACGTCAACATTTTTTTAAGTTCATAGCCAACTATGATTTCCATTTAAAAAATTATATTTTTTATCATTTCTGACAAAAAGAGCAAGTATAGAAAAAAACTGACTACGCCACTGAATTATGCTTAAAAAAGTGCTTTAAGAAGGTTTTTACAGAATTTTGTTATACCGCGAAATAAAAAAGTTATGGGCAATTTTCAAAATGGTAAAAAATTCAAAAAGACCCTGTATCTCAGTTGGCAGTGAAAATATCTACAGGTGATTTACGCCATTAAACGTGTCTCAGAAATCGAGCCCATGACATCTATGTCGGTTTTGCTCTATCTAGTCAGGAAATAGGTTTTCTCTGTTAAAACAGGCCAATTTCGACCACCCTGTACATTTTGCACATTTGCTGCTTTAAAAAAAATCAATATTCCATCGGTATATGAGGTCTAAATTATAAGGAAATGGCATTGATAGGCAAAAATGGTAAGAAACAATTTGATAGATAATTAAATTGTGCAGCTGATTTTTGTAAAATATACAGGGTGTTCCATTTAAATTTAACAAGTTATTGCCGTTTAAAGCTAGTAATTATTTAATATAAATTTTTATACACCCTGTATAAGGTAGTATTATTTTTATTATTGGAACCACAAATTTAGTAAAATTAAAAACTTCAGTACAATATTTGGTTTTAAAAACTTAAATACGCCTAGAAAAATGAAGCATAAAAATTGTAAATATTTCAAAAACGGTAAGATTAAAGTGCGGTAAACCCTAATCAGATTTACCTTTATTTTAATCGTAGAAACTGAAAATTTAATAATATATAGGGTGCCCCATTTAAAAAATACAACTTTGATATTTTTTATTTATTCGGGACACTCTGTACCTTTTGAAAATAATTTTAAATTGTAGCTTTAGTAGTCCTCCAACGATCCCATCACTCACAATTTTTAAAAATCTAATAATTTTGCTACGATACTCCGTGTCGAATGAGGTGAAGAACTCTGTATATTATTTATTACGAACACTCGTTACTTAAAGAGGTATTTTCTAAAACTAATCCTATTCATTTTTTTCTGTTGTTAAGCCCCATACCACAGCCCATACTCACACTTCGCTACTTCACTTCCTTCCTTCGTCGCGTCCCTTCGTCCAAAAATCTTATATTTACTATGGGAAATGTCGATTTTATGCGACTGTGTGTTCCTTCGTTCCTTCGTCAAAACGCTCCTTCGTCCGTTTACTTCCTCGAAACGCTCCTTCCCCGTATTGTCGGGTTTTGGACGAAGTAGCAAAGGAATTATCACGAACACAAAAAAATATTAAAATATATAAAATATATAAATCGATCTTGGATTTCATTGGTAGTTGATTTCTTGATTTGGCAGTACGTCTGTACAGGGCGTCCCATTTTCGTGTGTTTTGCAGGGTTTCTCGTTTATGAGTCGAGATACAAAGATGCGGTTTTCACATTACGCTGTTACTTTTTTATGAAACTAAAGATGCTACATACATATATGTCATAGCTCTCTTACTTCCTAAAATACAGGGCGAATCTGAAATTATTGCATTTTTCGATACCCTTTGTATCATAACTTATCGAAAAGGTGAAAACGGTCTCCCGTACAGTTTTTCACGCAGAATGCAGTGACGTAACTATTTCTTGGTTGAATCTGTCTTTTTTTAAATTGACTAAAACTTATATGTTTTTTTAAATGCGATATTTTGTATATTATTTTATTTTTCTTGTTACGGGCTTATATACTACTAATACTTATTTTCATAAACGGGGTAAAAATGCATTATTTAACTTTATTACATAGTCGGCCGGTTTAAATTAGGTAATCAAAACAATCAACTAATTTATTCGACGTAAAATGTTGGTTATTGGCATGTTCTTTAAAAGCAGCACAAGTTCAGTTTCCATGTAGTTTATCAAAATATCACGATGCAAAGCAAAATTATCTGGTAAAATTAAGTTAAATAAAATAAGAGCCGTTTAGCAGTACCTAAATAAATAAATATAGAGTATATTATAATTTTCGAAAGCTCATAATAAGGCAAATAAAATAAAAAATAATATATAGAGTGTCCTGTTAAAAAAAAAAAGAACATAAGTTTGAGTCATTTTTCGAAATAGACAGCTCCCAACGAAGAACCACTTTTGTCACTGCCATTCTACCTGAAAAACGAGACACGGGCGGTGGGTAAGTACTCAATAGGTAGAACAAAACAAAATTAGGGTATCCGGTATATACCTGTACATTTAGATGAACAGTCTAATTTTATAAAAGGTATTTCCAACGACCGCATAGTAAATACCCGGTATAATACCAGTAATATCACGAATACGAGTATATCTACAATATTTCTTATATATGTTGTAGATATTATATATTGGTATATTTCTATTCCCGGTATTATACCGGGTATTTACTATGCGGTCGTCGGAAACTCCTTTTATTAAAATTAGGATGTTCATCTAAATCTACAGGTATATACATATATACCCAGATTTTATTTATCTACAAATTGGGTACTTACCCACCGCCCATCACTGACCCTTTTCACATTTTCGATAAGTTATAAGATCATCGAAATACAAAGGTTATAAAAATGCAAAAATTTCTACTAATTAAAAAATAAGAAGTAAAAGAAAGAAACATGAAATAACTTTGAACTGAGAAGGCTAGGATAAATATGTGTGTAGCATATTTAGTTTCATAATAAGTAGAACAATGATGTGAAAACATCATCAGTTATCTACGACAAATCTGATTAAAGCAAATTTGCGGGCTGTCCACTGCGCATCGAGGGGCGTCTCTTATTTTATATTTCTCACGTCTCTAGCTATACTTGTTAAGTTGTACATCTAGCAATCGCCAGTCGATATAAAAATAATTCACACACAATAGTCTAAAAAATGGAAGAAAAAAACAATATTGTCTTCATATTTGTGAAAAAATACATGTCCATATTTATGTAATAGTAGCGACAAAAATAAAAAAAATAGAAATAGTGTGCATGATGCCTTTACAAAAATATCTGAAAAAATGGGGATTGACTTCATTAACGTTTAATTAGTATGTCATATTTCATGGTTTCGATATAAATTACATAGTAAACTTTACTCTTTTGTTGATTCGCCTTGTACATTCATACTGATATACCTTGTACATGATACTGAAATATACAGTTTTATTAAAAAAATATATATTATTAAAATTCAATTTTTATTTTTGACACGACAAAGAATTGCAGTTTTATAAAATAAAAATTATGCGCCTTTCGGATTTCTTAAAAATTTTAGAGGTTACTAAATATTTCGTAATAAACATGTAGCTGCTATATTAAAAATATTTTGTGGTGTGTTGTTGCATAATTGACTAATTCCCAAGCATCGAATGGACGAAGGAAGGAAGCGAAGGGACGAAGGAACGCGAGGAAGTAACGCGAGGAAGTAACGCGAGGAAGGGACGAAGGAGCGAAGTGTGAGTATGGGGCTTATTAGAACAAACTAAAATAGCTTTATTTTTATCGGTGATATTCGCTTTTGAAGAGAAGGCATATTTTGCATTGAAAACATTCCTTTACTGTCGATTAGTGTCGATCCTAATCAGCACAGCTATGAAATAGTGTTTACGGTTTTTATAATGCCATTTTCATTGAAAAAAAACTAGCGCTTAATCCCGTGGTTCATTGGATGCGTGTCCGTGCATTTTTTTTTTCGTACATGAACGGACGTGCACGCAGCAAAAAACAAACAAATGGTATCTACGCAGGCATCTACATTGCATCGGAGTTTGCGCGTCCGTGCACGTACGTCAATTTCCGTTGTAGTGATGGGCAAAACCAGTACAATTGGTTGTACTAGCACACTTCGTACAGTACACTTAATTGTATCGTACAGTGCGTGTCGTACAATTGTACGACGAGATTCACGAGATCACGGGCGGACGGCAACGGAGTAGAATGAGTAAGAGTCACCCGTAACAGAAGCGTACGAGTACAGTTGTACAAATATAGGAAGAGACTTGGGGATAGCACCGGTCGCGTGTTATTTTATATTTTTCACGTCTCTAGCTATACTTGTTATGTTGTACGATACGTATATATTTACTATATGCTAAAATACTTTATACTTTACTAATGTACCTAGTAATAAAATCTACAAAATAGCAATACCTTCAGAATTGTTTAACTATAATTATTATATTTTTATATCGATAAATCAAGTTCTAGAATACCTACGTATATTTTGAATTTAAATTGAAAATCCTAAAAAAATACCTATTTGAATTAGGATATTAGAAACTAGGCATATTATGCATACGTAGAAAGTACCTATAAACTACAAAAATAAATGGCTACTAATTTTCAAGTTAAACCACAGTACTAATAAGATAGCACACCCTATAATATACACAGTACATCAATTCACTACGTACGTGCGTATTACTGCGTATGTAGTGTACGTATTTTGGTTTAAAGCTAATTTAACCAAGCAACAGTTCCCGTAGTATGTTGTGTTGCCGGTCCCCGGTCCCGGGTCCCGGGTCCAGTGCTTGCAAAGATGCAAAGTACAATGATAATGGTGGATTGTACGTTTCGTACAATAAAATTGTACGACACGTACACCGTACATTGAAATGTATCGTACATTTTGTACGACACGCACACGTACTTCCCATCTCTATTCCGTTGGTCAAACTGGTTTGTTTTTTTAATACGTGCACGTCCGAGCGTTCGATTTTTTTTTCTCTGATCCCAAAACATTCCCGGAAAATTTGAATATTTTTGAATAACAGGTTTAATTTTATTTGAGATATATTAATGTTGATGGAGACATTCTAAAATATCCAAACAAAATTGTCCGGTTGCTGTTTTAATTCACCAAATGTTTTGCAGTACGTCTGTGTCTATGAAAGGAATGCGGACAAAAAACATTTAAATAAACAGCAATATATTTTATACGTCGACTTGACGAGTATGTCACCGCAAATCGCTCCGCCCACTCATTTATTGGCTACTTGCAAATTTGTCGAATTTTTATTGATGGGACGCGTCGTCTAATTTTTTACGAAAAACATTGAGAGAATATCGTTTCCCCTCTCACGGATACCCCGTAGCTACAGAACGGACAGACGTACTGTACATATTCCATTTTTTTCTACTCTTCTTGTATATAAATGATTTACCCAATGTTTTCGTCTTTTCATGAGTATAATTATTTTAACATTATATTCTCACATTGCATCAAAGTAGTGGCACTTGTTTTAACAAACTGGATACACAGCACACCATGAACGCGCATCTAAGTGTAACCACAGTAATAAAGTAGTCGTACGAATAAATTCCGTCAGAGCTTGCACTATAAAAAAACGCATGGACCCGCGTCCAATGTAACCACTGGTTAGTCTGGAAGTTGATCTCTATGATATTCAATTGAAGCACCAATAATCGATACAACTTCTATCTAGTTTTAAGACTGTCTCTGCTATATAGAGTAACTGCCATTTTGGCAATACCCCTCGATCTTTTATATCCTTCTACTAGCAAAAAATTCCTAAAAATACACTAATTCACCACGATACACCAAAACACTTGACTTTTGCATCGGACGCGCGTTTCGCTAACCATGTCAGTCAGCATCATCAGCAGATGATTAAGACAGTTTTAATGTTAAGAAAACGTATAAAGGAACTTAAAAAATAAATAAAGACAATAAAAGTCCGAAATTTTTGTAATATCACTTTTCAGGATAACACGTTTCAAACATGTTATTCTGTTTCAGCTCTAGACCTGGACTTGTGCACGGACAATGTACAGGATGCTTTCGTCATCGCCGTGGAGCAACAGGCTCGCGAGAGGCTGGAGCGCCTGTCCGCGCTTCACAAACTCAAACCCGTGGATATGACGAAGCTATCGCAACAGGTCAGTAAAATTACGTATACAGGGTGGTCCAAATTGTTTTCGGGAAACTTCAGCAGCATATTCTACAGATAAAACTACGTAAAAAAGTTCAGGGAGATTCAGGGTGTAGAAGTTTCATTTTTATTTCGTGTTTTTTTTCCAAATAGATAATAGAAACAAATTTAGATTGGAAAGTGCCCATAAGGACAATGTAAATATTATTCTTACCACGGTCGCTCTCCAAAACTTTTGATAATTTCGGAGCGGTTCGGCTTTTTCCGGAATTGTCGCCAAATATTATTTATTCAAATTTATTATTATTTTCTTTTAATTTTTTAAATAAAATACAGTGTGTTGCATATAAGGAACTTTATTTTTACATGAAATACCTATGAAACATCGGAAACCGACGTTATGCCACGATTATTAACTTTTCGGTATTTTTTATATGAGGGCTGTTTAAATTTTTAAAGATTTTATATTTTTTGAAGATTCTTTGATGCTGACCTTTGATTTGATGATTTATTAGCCGACCATACTTGTTGGTATGGTCGGCTAATAAATAGGCAATGGTCCAAAATTCTTTTAGTTTCAAATATACCTAAGTTGTTTTTTTTATGTAATCACCTGGCCTGTCCAGCTGAAATGAGTTTTTTAAGTTCTAATTTCATATAAAAGGTATAATTTTAGATTTTTATAAAACTTTTTTAGTTATAGAATAAATAAAGAAATTAATAATAACTTATATTGCACATTTATGTAGATACTTTGGAAACAAGTTTTCCATTCTAAGAATTTCTATTCTACAGGGTGTTTCAAAATTTGCCATCTCTCGTGGGAAGATTCCTCACGTAAAAATAAGATTTATTTTTTATATGAACATAGGTCCGATTCTGCTTTGTTTCGTAGCTACAGGGTGTTAAAGTCTTAATATTTTTTAGATTTACTATAATTTTCTTCCAAGTATGGTAAAAGTTACTATAAGTGCGACATATTTTAAAGCTAAAAAAGTGTCGACATATCCATCAGGGACGTGCATATCGGTTATCACCGAAATATTTTTCTAAAAAGTATGTGCGTCATTGACTTTCTTTTCTTGTTAGCAAAATAGTGTAAGCAATTTAATGCCGATTAAAAGTTGTCTCTTGATATTTTGTCGATTCCGGCCTCCTTGATGAAATAAATGCAATTTTATTAATTTGCCTTGATCCAAGTTGAATAGCAACCTTTAAAAAAATTAATATACCTAATTAACTTACGAAAGTTTTGAATAAGTACTTGGTAATTCCTCATCAAAAAATATGAAAAAAAGTTCCTACCATGGGTATGGAAATGCATAGTTTTAGAGTTACAGGATGTTAAAATTTTTCAAATTAGGTTTTTTTTTGTAATTATCTTAAATACCATTAATTTTTTATTTGAAATTGCTGTAGGTTGGACTAATAGTAATAGTATTTAATAATAAATTAGATAAAATATGTAATTTATTAATTTTATTTTTATTTTAATTTTATTAATATTATTATGATTAATAAAATTGTGTTTATCTTATTAAGGAGGCTGAAGTCGACAAAATATCAAGAGATAACTTTTAATTGGCATTAAACGGCCAACACAATTTTGATATCAAAAGAAAAAAAGTCAGTGGCGCACATTTTTTTTTTAAATATTCCCTCACAAACACACCCTCTAGCTAGGAAACAAAGCAGAATCGGACCTATGTTGATTAAAAGATAAATTTTAATTTTACGTGAGGAATCTCCACACGAGAGATAGCACATGTTTTTTGAAACACCCTGTATAATCTATAATCTTGACTTTTTGAAATTGTAGATAAAGTAAGAGACAAAAAAAAAACAAATCAACATATTTAAATAATTATTACATTATGTACTCTATTTACCTATGAAGAATACTCTGAAAGGGGATTTTGAGGGGTGTTTCAATAAAAAAATGTAGAAATCCTCCAAAATCGTGCGAAATCACCCGAAATCTCTCAAAATCGGTCAAAATCCGAAATCTTATCACATTTGTCTCCTAGTGAAAAACCCCTCGCCAAAAACATTACAAATTTGCTATTTCAGTCTTCAGTCTATAAAAAAAAAACTAATAAATTTTCTTTTCAGTTAAATCAGCAATCAGCAGCGACGTCAGAGGAGTTGAACGGGTTCATAAGCAACCCCCCAATCTACGTCAGTTCCTTGTCGACGGCCAGCGAAAGTTTAGCCATCATAGGAAGCAGGTGGGTGTATTTATTTTATTGTTTAGATTCGATTAATATATTTGTTGCACACTGCCTTAAGGTCCCCACAGACGCTCAGTTTTATCGCTCAGGTCACCTGTGCTAATCTGGTTTGTGCAGGTATATTGGTACTGGTTGTTTATTATAACCTCGATTACAACTCTAACCAAAAAACCGGCCTTACTTTTTCAAAGTGTTCAATGTGCTCAATTCAACTCAATATTATGGTATCGATATTGATAGACATATCATCATCATCATCGGCATTTTCAGCTTAGTAAACAATTTCCAATTATGGTGTAGCCTCCCTCACATATTAAGAGACTCTCTTTGTAGATGGACCCATTGTTGTCTATTGTTGGCTATGCGGGCCCAAGTTATCCCTGCTAATTTCCTAATATGTATCATGGTCCCATCATAGGTTTGGTCTTCTTCTAGGTCTCTAATTCCTCGAGAGTACCATGTTTTAATTTTTGTGGTCCATCTGTTGTCCGTCCTTCCTGCCAGGTGTCCTGCCCATTGCTACTTGAGGGATTTGATTCTGTGGATGACATCTATTACCTGGGTCTTTTGTCGTATCCACTCTATTCTTTTACGGTCTTTCTTGGTAATTCCCAGCATATTTCGTTCCATTGAGCGTTGTGCGACCTGCAGTTTCCTTATAATGTCCAGGTTTTGCTTGCATAAGTAATGACTGGTAGTACACATTGATCGAATGTTTCCTTCTTTAGATAAAATGGCATTCTAGAATTGAATATGATTGAATTTCTTCCATGCTAATTTAATTCTACTATTGATTTCTGGTAGAGAGATCCCAAGCTGTGTATTAGTTTGTTGTCCGAAATGGTATTTCGAAAACGTCGGCAGCATATTCTGCAGATAAATACCATATGGTACGTAATGGAAATGACGATCGATGACATTTCCCGTATAAATTTACATATAAAATGACAGCGATCTTCATTTCATAGCCATCGCTGACGCCGTTTTTATTTGATCATACGGTATAAGTAAAAAAGTTCGTATGTCCTAAATGCTTAGTTTCGGAGATACAGGGTGTAAAAGATTCAGTTTTATTTCGATTTTTTCCAAATAATTTCTGAAGTAAAATCAATATTTAGATGAGATTTGGGAGTTTTTTGACATGGTAAAGTTGATTTTGATGTCAATAAGACTTCTACTTTTGTTCTACTTGTAGAGGGCGCTACCTACATATGTTTTAACCTTTGAAAAAGGTTTTAACAAAGGTTTTAACTGGTTTCAAAAGTAATAACTTTTCGTTCGTACCTGTATAAAACTACTGAGTAACTAAAAAAATATAAAATATTTCATTGACAGCTTTTTTGCGTAAAAAAGGTTTCTTGGTAAAAATCGCTGCGAGTAATATGGTTCTCGAGGGTTCTCCAGATATTTGGAATCGAAATTATCAATACCAAAGATCAATACCTGTCATCATTGACATAAATTAAACATGTTTATTAAATAGTTATCAGACCGAAATCATAAATTTGAATTGTTTTTGTGCCAAAAGTCACAGAAACTGTTTTATCAATTAAAATCATTTTTTGGACGAAAAAATTACGATTAATTTAAAAAAATAAAAAGTTCTCAAATTTAACATTTCAGTCAAATAACTATCTACTCAACATGTATATTTCTTGTCAATAATGACATGTATTGATTATTTCCATTCTAAATCACCTAAATATCTTGAGAAAGCTTGAATAAATGGATTTAAGTTAGAATGACAAAGGGGATATATCAAAAACACAAAAAAAAACTATAAGAAACCATCTTTATTGAACTGAATATAATAACAAAAACACACACTTAAAAAATATGAAAAAACACAAGAACAGAGCCGTATAAAAATCAAAAACAAATCTAAAACACGGTCTACGGATAACGGGCAAAATAAAATATAAATTGACAACTGTTGACAGGTTAAATTTTACATTTGACGGTAAAAGCTAGGTAAAAACAGGTAAAATTTTGAATTTTGTAATTTTTTTTGCTAATTGCGCCCCCTCGTAGGAGTCGAGTCATATTGACATCAAAATTAAATTTCTGATGTCAAAAAATTCACAGACACCAATTTTTATTAAAATATTGACGTTATTTCAGAAATTATTTGAAAAAAATCGAAATAAAAATGAAACTCTACACCCTGTATCTCGCAAACTAAGAATTTTAGGAGTTACATTTATGCGAACTTTTTACTTACTTTTATTTGCAGAATATGCTGCGAAAGTTTCCGGAATACAGTTCGGACCACGTTTCCGGAATGTCTTTTCTGCCTACTGGTTCATTGTACAGGGACATCATTTTAAGTGTCTCACTCGATTTATAATTTTCCTGTTTGGTATTTAAAGATAGTAGAAAGATTTTCTAATGTAATTTTTCGCGAGGATGCCGATTCTCTACACCAAAATTTTTTAAAAAGTCAATTTTGACAGATACGACGCCATCTTGATTTTTTTTAAATGGAAACCACATCAAATTTTAACACCGCCCGGTAGACAAATTTTAGCTAATTTCCAAAATATATAGTTTAGTATACTTTGCATTTACCGTTTTCTATATACAGGGGGTTGAAATCAAGAATTCCTCTAATTTTTATGTATTTGAATATGAATGCCATTCAGTTACAACTGAGTGGCATTTGTATACAAATGCATGAAATTTACGCAAATTGAGCTATCTTATAATAAATAACTTAGCAATGACTAGCATAAAACTAAATTTTAAATTTTTTTTATATACAGGGTGGTCCGAACTGTATTCCAGAAACTTCGGCAGCATATTCTGCAGATAAAAATAAGTAAAAAAGTTCGTATAAATATATGTCCTACAATACTTAGTTTCAGAGATACAGGGTGTAGAAGTTTCATTTTTATTTCGATTTTTTCCAATTAATTTCTGAAGTAACGTCAATATTTGGCTGAAAATTCGTGTCTGGGAGTTTTTTGACACGAGAAACTTGATTTTGCGCCACCTACATGTGTTTTAACTGTTTTGAAAAGTAATAACTTTTCGCCCATACCTGTATAAAACTACTGAGTAAAAAAATATACATTTTCTTGACTTTTTACGTAAAAAATGTCTTTTGATAAAAATCGCTACGAGCAACCTTTATCAAGATATTTCAAATGGAAATAGTCAATACATGTCATTATTGACAAAAAAATAAACACGTTGAGTATATAGATAGATATTTGGCTGAAACAATAAATGTGGGAATTTTTTATTTTTTTAAATTTATTATAAATTTTTCTGCGGAAAAATGATGATAAAACAGTTTCTGTTGAACTTTTGGCAAAAAACATTTCAAATTTATGATTTGAGTTTAGTAACTATTTAGTCCACATGTTTAATTTGTGTCAATGATGACAGGTATTGATAATTTCGATTCCCAATATCTCGAGAACCATTACTCGTAACAATTTTTACCAACAGACTTTTTTACGTAAAAATCGTTATAAATGAATATTTTTTCACTCAGTAGTTTTATAGTACGTATACTCAGTAGTACGGACGAAAAGTTATTACTCTTCAAAACAGTTAAAACATGTGTTTGTCGCGCCCCCTAGAAATTGGATTTATATTGACATCAAAATCAAATTTCTCATATCAAAAATCTCCCAGACACCAATTTTCATCAAAGTATTAACGTTACTTCACAAATTATTTGGAAAAAATCGAAATAAAAATGATACTTCTACAACCTGTATCTCCGAAACTAAGCATGTTAGGACATTTATACGAACTTTTTTACTTATTTTTATCTGCAAAATATGCTGTCAAAGTTTCCGGAATCACTGCGTATGTAAAGGTCATATTGAAGAAGAATCAAAGTATAAATAAATAAAAAAATTTAAGCGTCGTAATTGTCAAATTTGACATTTCAAGAATTTTAAAATTCGAAAATTGTAAAATAATTCTAAAGATTTCATTTTTAAATCCACTGTATATCGAAAACGGTAAGTGCAAAGTATACTAAACTATATATTTTTGAAATTAGCTAAAATATGTCTACCGGACCATGCTAAAATATGTGGGGGTTTCCATTTAAAAAAAATCAAGATGGCGTCGTATCTGTCAAAATTGACGTTTTAAAAAATTTTAATGTAGAAAATCGGCATCCTCGCGAAAAATTACATTGAAATATCTTTTTACTATCTTAAAATAGAGAAGAGGAAAATTTTAAATTGGGTGAGACACTTAAAATGATTCTGGAACAATTCATTTTTAAATCCACTGTATATCGAAAACGGTAAGTGCAAAGTATACTAAACTATATATTTTTGAAATTAGCTAAAATATGTCTACCGGACCATGCTAAAATATGTGGGGGTTTCTATTTAAAAAAATCAAGATGGCGTCGTATCTGTCAAAATTGACGTTTTAAGAAATTTTAATGTAGAAAATCGGCATCCTCGCGAAAAATTACATTGAAATATCTTTTTACTATCTTAAAATAGAGAAGAGGAAAATTTTAAATTGGGTGAGACACTCAAAAAGATTCTGGAACAATTCATTTTTAAATCCACTGTATATCGAAAACGGTAAGTGCAAAGTATACTAAACTATATATTTTTGAAATTAGCTAAAATATGTCTACCGGACCATGCTAAAATATGTGGGGGTTTCCATTTAAAAAAAAAATCAAGATGGCGTCGTATCTGTCAAAATTGACGTTTTAAAAAATTTTGGTGTAGAGAATCGGCATCCTCGCGAAAAATTACATTAGGAAATCTTTCTACTATCTTTAAATACCGAACAGGAAAATTATAAATCGAGTGAGATACTTAAAATGATGTCCCTGTACACTACTTTAATTTTTGCTAAATTCATTTTGCGAACTACTTTATTGCTGGCTGTATTTAGTTTGTTAATTTATGCTTGTAGTTCTTCTATAGATATTACTATACCCTCGTTTTGATTTGTTTCTAGAAAAACCGACGAAAATCTGCAGCAACAGAGTCTGGACGTTCGCAATTTGAGCGAACGCCGTTCCTCGTCACCCTTCCAGAACGGTCGTACCGAGCTGCTCCTCGGCGAAGACAATAACAAGCTCAAGACCACCGCCGTTGTGGAACACAACAATAACAAACTTAATATCGAAAACGACCGTAGGTAAGTCACCATCAACATATTTTATTTTATCTATAACTATTTTTAGTGATGACTATAGTGGCTATTCTTCAATAAATGTATAGTGGGCTCTCATTTTATTATTCACACGCGTAAATATTCACACTCATTAAAAAAATAAATTGTAAGGTTTTTAGTCCTACATTACCAAAAATGTCTTACGCTGTCAAATGTATTAGATTGATAAAAACTATTTATTGAAATTGGACATCCTGTATATTAGAAGTGTATTGGATAGTATGTTTTTTATTTCCACATATGATCCTTTCTTTTCATCAGTTTTGTGGGAAAAAATCTATTAACTATCATTAATGTTAATATGTTTATCCAAGGTAGTTAGAAAGCTAGCCATACTGTTTAGTTTTGTATATTATATTATATTTTTACACATTTATATTAAAAAATGTAAGTCTAAAAACGAGTTTTATTTTATAGTATGTCTCAAAATAAATTTAGCAAAAAGTAAAGTAATGTACAGTGTCGGTCAAATTCGGCGCTTTTAAATGGAAACACTCTTTTCTATAGGAGATACCTTTCTATATAGAACTCGAAAACATATTTTTCCAGCAAGACGACGCACCGCCTCTGAACGCTGAAGTTATCAGCAAATTTTTGCAGCCAATTTCAAGAATAATTGAATAGCTAACCAAGATCCCAGCCGTTGGCCGTCGAGGCCGCCTGACTTAGTGCCCATGGATCTAATCCTATGGATATATTTGCGGAAGAATAAAGGTTCCTTATTCTTCCGTATAATTTAGACAAGTTTTTTTTTTTAATTTTAGACTTCCGTATAAATTAGAAATACTTAGCAGTTATAGAGGGTATCTTTCACTATCACCTCCACTGAGTTAATGAATTCCGCGAGAAATGTTCAAAAACTGTCCATAACAGAAGACGGTCGATATGTCGAACACCTGTAGCAAAATCTCATGTCTTGGTTTGCTATTTATTTTTATTGTTATTAGATATAGTGTTGTGTGTGATGTTGGTTAAATTTATTTTAACTTGTTATAAGATTCTGCATCTCTCATAGCAAATATTATTTTCGTTTTAATTGATGCTCACAGCTAGAATTTTTTTGCATTACAGCCGATGCCGTTCCAAGCCTACTTGTTTAAAGCGGGCGAATTTTTATATATTCTATATATCGAAGAGGAATCGAGTAAAATATCAAGTGTGTTATATTTTTGGAAAGGTAATTTTAAATTCTTTTCAATAAATTAAAAATATACAGGGTGTCCCATATAAAAAATCAAATTTTCTGTTGATAATTCTTAAATTATTAATTGTAAAAAAATTATACATAAACCATTAAATTCTACGTAAAAAGGTGCTTTGGAAATGTTTTCATAAAAATAAAAAAATTTCCATAGCAAAAAAGTTACAGCGATTTCTTAAAGATGCATATTTTTGAAAAACACCCCGTAACTCCGAAACGGCAACATATATCGATATGCGGTTTTTACCATCATGTTTTTGACAAAAATTGAGCTCCAGACACCGATATTAGTTTTTGTCTATCTCCTATAGAAAAGGGTGTTTCCATTTAAAAGCGTCGAATTTGACCCACCCTGTACAACGAACTATAGTAGACCAAAAAATATATTTTAATAAATAACTAAACATTGGAATAGTGGATTCTACTATTCCCAATGTTGAGTACCCAAATCGTAGTACTCAAAAGATTTGGAACAACTAATAAACAGCTCAGGATATCTACTACCAGAAATGAACAGGGTTAAGTTAGCATGGAATTCTAGAATGTCGCTTTATCGAAAGAAGTGGCAATGGGCAAGACGCCTGGCACGAAGAACGGGCAACAGATGGACCACAAAAACTGCAGCATGGTACCCACGAGAAATTAAGAGACCTAAAAGAAGACCACATCTGAGATGGGAGATGGGACCATGATATTAGGAACTTAGGAGAGATAACTTGAATAACCAACAATACACTACAATGGGCTATCTAGATATGTGAGTGAGGCTACAATATAATTGGAATTGGTCGAATAAACTGAAAATGATGATGATTAAATGTTATGTTATTAAATTTTAATAAAACCATTAATAAATAAAAGTAGTATGAAAATGTGGCATTTGACAGCGTATGAAATTTTTACTAATAAGTAATAAAACTTAACTTGATTAGGAACCCTATAATTTGCTTATTTAATTAATGCTCTATATCCAAAAATAAAAAAGGTCTTAGGCTGAGGACACACGAGGCGGATGGTAAGTCTAGCGGGACAAAACATCAGTAGCGTTGTTTGAGATTTAAGTAAAATCTAAGAACGTAGCAAATGGTCTAATATATAGTAACCATAGAGTTAAATTCATTTATTTATTAACAACTTAATTTATTAATAAATAAATAAATACAAGATTGTTGTCCCGCTAGAATGACCATCTAACGCACTGTGCGCCGCGAGTTGTTAATACATAAATAAATGAATTTAACTCTATGGTTACTATATATTAGACCATTTGCTACGTTCTTAGATTTTATTTAAATCTCAAACAACGCTACTGATGTTTTGTCCCGCTAGATTTACCATTCGCCTCAGTGTTCCACGCCGCTTCGACGAAAATCCGCCTCGTCTGTCCTCGGTCTTAGTAGTTAAAAGTGGGGCAAAATAAACTGAAAATACTATACAGGCCAATACAGGGTTTTCAGAGAGATTTAGTGCCGTACCTGCAGTTTTACCTGTTGGAGGTAGTAAATAACTTTAAATCTACGACTATTTTACCTGAAGTACCAGAAAGGGACATAAAAATAAAGGAAAGTTAAAGGAAATTGACTTTTCTTAATGGAACGCTACAATTTCATTTTTTAATAAAAAATGTTCTCGGAAAAAACTCCAAAAACAAAAAAAAATTAGTCACTTAAGAGCGGAACAAAATAAATTGAAAGTACTGTACAGGATGTCCCATTTTCGTGTGTTTTACAGGGTTTCTCGCTTATGAGTAGAGATACAAAGATGCGGTTTTTATTTTTTATGAAACTAAAGATGCTACTCTTGGTTCTAGTCCCCTTGAGTTCCTGATATACAGGGCTAATTTTAAAATGTTGCATTGTGACCCCCTTCGTATATCTTAGTTATCTTTTAACTTATTGGAAAAGTGAAAAATGAATGCCGTAGAGTTTTTCACGTAGAATTTTGTGTCTCAAACTTATGTTTCTTTTAAATGAGATATCCTGTATATTATTATGTATTTTATTTGCCTTGTTATTGGAATTTTAAAAAGTAACAGACAATAATTTTATTATATTATAATAATAATAAACAAATTTTGGTTACTGGCTATTCACGCTAATGTCTGTGTGTCATTATTGCACAAGTGTAAGAAAAGTATTATCTCTGATTGGCAACGTGTTATCTAAAAGCTGCACAAGTTCATTTTCAGTACAGTTTATTAAGATATCACAATAAAAAGTAAAGTTATTTTGTTAAATTAAAAAATACTTTTTTAAGCTAGGTTCATTATTTATGATATTTTAATTTAAAATATCAGATAACTTGGTATATTTTTTGTATTCTGCGCTCTGTGTTACGTCAGTGTCTTGAGCTTAAGGCTAAGCTATACTTGAGTAGAGTGAAAAAGAATATAAAAATAAATTAGTAGATATATAGCCACATTGCCTTATAGGAACATTTACTTTAATTATCTCTTCAAGCAGCTTGTAATAAGTTAAACGGTTAAACCATTAGAGTTAATATTTTTTTGACAGTTATCAGTCATAACTTTCTTTTCTTCAAAAGTATTAAATGTCTGTGATAATTTTATATATTCAGTTATCCATATACAGGAGGTACATTTTTTACACTTATACAGAGTTTTTTTAAGTAACGTGTCTATTAAAAGTTTTTTAAAGACTAATTTAAATACCGGGTGCGTCTCAAAAGTGGCTCACCCCTATAACTTTTATTTTTCAGATGAAAAAAAACTAGATTTGGTATGTTAGTATATGACATAAATTAGGATTGATTGACGTATTCAATTGTTTTCAGTCATTTTTCCTGTTTCACCGGAAATAACTACAACTTTTGGTTTTTAAATGGCACCCTCAGTATATTTTTACTTTATTCGATAGAAAATGACATTTTGGTTTTAAAAAAAAAATTCGATCATTCAAGCAGAGTGCCATGGCTGTATTAAAAACACTAACTTTTAATCAAGGACCGTTGGAAAAATTGATTTGATTATCTAATATTTTTCGTGTCTTGTCCTGGTCGGTTAAAAGATGCCCAAATCGTTATTTTAATGATATCACAATTTTTTTTAAATGGAACAAGGGTAGCTCATTAGCATATTTGGAAAAGCATTTTTTTACGAATCGTTTGGTAGCACACTTCGAGTCAAATTATCGTTATGAACTGCATGTTACAATAATTTTAAATAAACCATAAGCGAAAATGTCAAAAGATGACATATATTTGTCATTATGTTGTCATTCTATTTGGACTGTCATTTTCTATCGAATAAAGTAAAAAAAACAAGACTGTCATTTAAAAATCAATAGTTGTAGTTATTTCCGGTGAAACAGGAAGTGACCGAAAATAATTGAAATACGTCAATAAATCCCTAATTTATGCCAAAATACCTTTGAATAAGAAGACTAAGGAAGGAGCATATCAAAAATGTTAGGTACACCGCGATGGGCCTCAAATATGGCCGACTTAAATTCCGGTTTATCAGTGTCGTTCTAATTTTATTTAAAAAATGTAAAACTATGATGTAGGGTAGACGTGGGGTAGACTCAATAATTTGTTGTTTTATTTTACGTTGTGAATAAATGTTGGTAGTTATTAAAATTGTTATAAAAATATATAATTCTAATAAAAATAGATAAGTTATAATAACTATTTATTAACACAAACATCCGATACGCTACTGAAGCAGTCAAATTAACGTATCTAAATTCTTTGACATCTAATCTTTGACAAGTAATAAATAAAAGCTAAAATGCAAGAAAAATAT